TCATGGATTGATGAGGCCATGTTTTTGTTTGGCCACCACTTACTCTTTTCCAGCCTGCACCACCTATATCAGCTAGTAATGCCCGTCGACGTGGGGAGGCGATGGTTAGGCACGCGCAGCACCTGAACTAGCCATCTTAGTCTATGTAACTTTATAGCCTCGTCGATTGATTTTCCCTCTTTGCCCAACACTCTACGCCTAACGTCAACATTACTTACCTTATTAAACCACCTAAAGCGAGAAAGACCGCAGACATCTATGATCAAAAACAGTCAACTCGTACTGGCCATGTTTCAGAGCCATAGACAAGGACGGAGCGAACTGATGAGCAGTACACACGTCCCTTGGTTGATAGCCGGATGTCACGCCTACGCCAGAGATGGTGTAAGCCAGCGAAAGCAGCTCGAGCTTTTTGGATTCGTGCTGAGATTTCGTCGCCAATCAGTCCGTTGGTGCTAATACTTCCCAAATAGGTGAAGTGGTCAACATGTTCTATCACTTCACTCCCTATCACTGAGCTAGGAGTTGACGTAGTCCAGTCCTGTAGTAGCATCTCACATTTTACAACAGGGGCGAATCGCATGCCAAACATACGAAGATTGCTGCTCAAGATGTTCAGAAGACTCTGCATTTTGTCAGCATCCTCCCCTAACAGGACTATGTCATCTGCATATTCTAAATCCATAAGACTATTCCCTGGTAACAAGTCGATTCCTAAGTCATTACGTTCAGTTAAGGATACTTCCATTAGCATATCTATGATGAAGTTAAGCAGAAATAGGGAAAGTAGACATCCCCGCCTGACACCACTGGTTGTTATCAATTCAGATGACAATTCACCATAAGCCCTTGTACGGCTACGTGATTTTGAATAGAGTGCCTTGATTAGGGCAATCTACTTTCTTGGCACTCCCTTCACAGTCAAACATTGCCATAGTACTTTCTCCTACATAAATTGCGTTCATTACAATCCATTTGAATTTATTCCGTGTGTAATATGTAGTGTGGCAACATGGTCTGTTGCACTTTTTTGCAAGGTCATACGTTGAAAACTGAGTCAGTTTAAGTATTGCTGATGTTGATTTGACTATGACTGAGGATTCGCCAAGCTACTTCATCCAAGTATTTCTTGGAGGTAGGCTCACTTCTATTCTAAATACACGTAGATGGGGTCAGTCAATCTAGGGTCGGCAGATGGTATTCGCAGTGGGTTTACATAATGAAAATGGTAACATACTTTGCAAAAATATTGGTTAAAAATTTCAACCACAGATGACTATACTCAACCAACGTTAAATGAGACTAAGGAATAGCTGGTAACCAAGCCAGCACAAACAACAAAGCAGCAGGTTAAGTGTTTTGGAATATCATAGGATGACCTCACCCCATGATGACTTTAGTGTTAACCTTATTTACCTTCGCTAACCACTAAGGACATCACCATGAAATACAGATACCATAAGAGAAATATATCTACATCCATTCCCTATACAGAACTGTGAACCAATGAAATAATTGTTGACTGGAGCTGTTGATTTCAGAAGACTTTCCGGATGATTTAGAGTACAAAGAAAAACACCACCAAACAAGCTCTGGATGAAAAACTTCGACCAGAGAACAGGCCGAATTCAGGAGAAACAAGTCATGTATTGATCAAATCGCTACACTATGGATCATCATTTCACAAATTTTGGAATGGCAGTCACCTCCCTACCTCAATCTCATCGACTTTGAGAAGGCCTTCGACAGCATCGACCGCTACTACGGGGTGCCGCCGACAATAGTACACCTCACCCGACAGTTGTACGACAGCGCTGCATGCCAAGTAATCCACAACGGGAAACTCACAGAATCCTTCGAAGTGAGGACGGGAGTAGGACAAGACTGCCTATTATCCCCAATGATTTTCCTGATTGCAATAGATTGGATAATGCGACAGGCAGCGGGCCGAGCAGCGAGGAAACAGGCATAAAATGGACTCACACAAAAAACTTGGAGGATCCGGACTTCGCCGATAACACACATAAGTCTGATTTCCCACAAACTGGAAGATATACAAGTGAAAAGCGACAAGTTGGCAATTGCAGAAGCATAAAAGATAGGACTTCAGGTTAACATAGAAAAAACAGAGGTGATGAAGATCCCTGGCCAACACCAACAACATTAAGCATAAATGGGAGAAATCTGAAAGAAACAACTTCCTTTACCTACCTGGGAAGCGTCGTTTCAACTACAGACAGAACTGACAAGGATATCAAAGCAAGACAAGCTTTCATTACTCTCAAGTCTGCGTAGATGTTAACAGCGCTCAGCATCAAAAATAAGGTCCGGAATTTCAACTCCAATGTAAAATCAGTGCTTCTATACGGATCAGAGACTTGGCGCGTCATAAAGAGCACCTCAAACAAACTACAGACCTTCATCAACAGTTGTTTTCGCTCAATACTCAAGATCAGCAACAGGGATCTCTGGCAATGAGCGAATCAACCAGGAACCGATTGTGCAACAAATATGCAGGAAGAAATGGAGATGGATTGGCCATACACTGAGGAAACCATCAAGGGACATCACTAGACAAGCCACTGTTCGAGTGGAACCCGAAAGGGAAGCGGCGAGTTGGTCGTCAGTGCAAGGGTGACCTGGAGGAGGTCATGTGAAGAGGAGATGAAAGCCAGGTGAAAACATAAGGAGAGAACCAAAAGCAATGGAGACGTTTAGCTGAAGCCCTATGTTCCTCTAGGAATTAAAGGAAATAATAATAATAATCCTTCATAACTAACTGAGTTCTCAGTAGACAGCTTTGTACGGTGAAAAAAAGCTTCCAAAGAACTATAACGATCTGAGGAAACCGTAAGACAACATGAAGAATAATATGATATGGATAGATGCTGGCGTTCATACAATGTGAATCAGTCTGCAATACTAAAGAACGAACTTTGACATCCTTAATATTCTGTGAAGTATAAATTTTTTTTTAAAAAAAAGTAATCATTAGTGAATGCCAAAGTGTTAATAGACAACATGTCTTTCTTCCTGTCCTGGGTACACTTCCAAGATGGAAACATTATAAAAATGAATTCCTACACAAATTTTTAAACGACGGCAATTATCTTTTTCAAAGGACTTCTTTCCAATCCAAGTAGTACCCAGGGTTAGTAAACCTTTTAAATTGTCACTAGGTAGCTGTGGGGTGATAATTTCTTACATTGTTTCGGGGGGGGGGGGGATCAGCTTCACACGTTCAACCTTCTTTTTTTCCCGGCTAGTACTGAACCAGACGAGATATAAGAATGCGTTGGCGTTGGTCAGTCGAACCCAAGACCTCCCCACTTACACGGTTGACTACCACTCTATCACTGACATATCGTATATTACTAAGTTCCAACATAGAACTTTTCAAAGAAGTGCGGCAGGGGTACAATCAAAAGGATTACAATGAGCAGAAATTTATGGAGGGAAAAACATTGAATGTATCTGCAGCCACTAAGGACGACGACGTTCGACCATGTCACCATCAAATCTAATATCAATGGGTCTCCACCCACACTCCCCGCCGTCACTAAGTAAAACTGAATCAACTGTTAAAGAATTGATGAACGGATGCTGGATTTCGGTTTTGACCACGACAGTTAACGCTAGATATGATAAGGAAGATTTGTAGCTCAGGTGGATGATTTTGATGAGGTTGTGTTCTCTGAGCTGGATAGTTAATTTGCGAAGCTCTCATCGCCCTACTAGGCGGCATATTCAGCGCAAACTTCAATTTAATGAAGTGAGTTTTCAGATTTCCCCACGAGTCTATTAATCATCTCTCCCAGTTGGTGATCTTGGACGCGATTGATTGCTTTTGTGTGTCTTCTCACATTCTAGGTTACTTGTATTGGAACTGATTGTTTCTTTGACCTGAACTTTGACCCTTTGTGTGTGTCAACCGAAAGACTAAACAGCGAAAGAAGATAAAACCAACATCTACAAAATAAATTGTAACAAATGCGAAAAACACTACATTGGCCAAAGTGGACGTCCCCTTCGTCTTCCTATCCATCAACATAAACTAACCATCAAAATACATGATATCCACTCCCTCATATCACTACATACAGACAGCCACGGACGTCAATTCGACTGGGACAACAAGTGTTCAAATATTAGAAAGAAGAAACACCAAGAGTGCTAGAGAATTTTTAGAAGCCTGCCTGGTATTCCAGCGAATCGTCAATCAATAGACACATCAAGATAGACAAAATTTATCAACCGATAAAAAAGAAACCTCACACACAAAGGGTCAAGGTGCAAGTCAAAGAAACAATCACCTCCAATACAAGTAACCTAGAAGGTGTGTAAACACACAAAAACAACCAACCACGTCCAAGATGATCCGCCAGCAGAGTTGATTAATAGACTCGTGGAGAAATCTAAAAGCTCACTTCGACGAATTGAAGTATGTGCTGAGAATGTCGCCTAGTAGGGCGATGAAAGCTTCGCAAATTAACTACCCAGCTGGCAGAGATAACACAACCACCTCACAAAAACAGTTAGCTCTTTTCCAATCTAATGCAACGACGTTATGTCAGGGAAAGTAATGTTCCAGCCATCCCAGCTTATCAGGAAGAAACAATGCACAGTTCTTAAGTAAGTAGAATATTCTCTATAGTCTCCCAAATTTTTATATGTATATTATAAAACACAAAACAAAATCACAAACATTGTGAGCAAAAAAAATTTGAGGATAAAAAAAATAAATCTCAAAACACACATATATATATATATATACTCGAGAAAATAGAATTATTGGTGAGCAGTGACTTTCAAATCCTATTTGCTGCTCAACAGTATAAAATGCAAACAGATAGCACACAGACCACTGAAATTCTCTGAACTCCTACTATCCATATACAACACGGGGAACTTCAGCATACACACAATGTGTACAAGAATGTATTTGTCATAAAATATCAATAGTAACATCAATATTAAACAAAAAACAAAGAAAACATTTTTTATGGCCGTTTACATGACCGTAACAAAGAAGAACGCAAGGAACTTCGTGTACTTCTACAAGTACTAGCACTACTACTTCTTGTGGATCGTATTGACACTGGTGAAGATGTTTCCAGGACACGCGTGGATTTTCGTATCTTTTTACGATCACGTGTCGTCACTGGATGATTTTCAATAGTGCTGTCAGAACTCTCATCCCTATTGTCATTCTTCTCATCATCAGAACTTTCTACGACATTTCTACGATTAGTTGATGTTGATGATGACGTGGCTGAAGATGATTTAGATGGTACAACTTTAGACTTTCTTGAGGCAGTAGATGTAGACTTCCGCTGACGCGAGGGTGTTTTTGTTGACTGATTTGTTTTAGCTAGTGAGATACGAACATTCGGTCTTCGGACAGGTATGATATCAGAGGCGGTATCATCATCTGACGAGGAGAAGGCAAGGATATTATGTGATTTATCTGGAATAGAAGGAAACAGTAATAACAATAATAATAATATATATATAAATACTTCAGAAAAGAAGATTCACGTATTCAACAATGACTGAGAATTCAGTGTACAATTTTGCACAACAATGTGCAGTACCTCGAGACACTACTGTTTTTATCAACCAGGCCAGTCTATACCTTCCTCCCTATACGACGGGATCAAAATCAACAGTCAAGGATTGACTCCAGGTTTTTTTTTTGGTTTGACCCACCCTTACTCTTTAACAACCTAACTCTCATATATCAGCGGATATTGACCAACACGGAAAGGCGGCGGCTTCGTATCCATGACACGTGTTCTAGTCATGACAGGCAGTTACTGCAGTTTCAAAATCTCATTGACTGACCTTCTCTCTTTTTGTTTAACACGTCTCTGCTTAAACTCATTATTACTCACTGTATTTCTAATACTATGACACGAGACTTAGAACGCAGACATTTAAAAGAAAGATAGCCGCTAGCTTCTTCATACCTTCGACTTTCAATGGCAGCCTTTCACCTCGAATACCATTTCTTCCAAGTAGCTAACCAGAATTCAGTTCCATTTTCTGAGCTGAGTCAAACTGAGTGGTTCACCTCCAATGAACTAGGCGCAAAACGAGTGAAACAGCCGACAAGTGACTGACTGGCTGACGTGTGCAGTAGCCAACTACTCATTTCCACCGACCAGGCGTATATACTGTCCTGAGTCCATGCTTTCAGTTTCACAGTAGAGTGCTGATTTTATCATTATTATTATTACCACTACTTCTTGATGTTCAGTGTATTAACTCTAACAGAAAGATTGTGAAAACATGACACACTAAGTTATTCACTAAGTCCCAGGTTCGAAACCAATACCTACTTTCAGATAGTGAAGCTAAGTAGAATCATTAGCAGCCATACGGTAACTGCAGCTTTTAGTCTGATGTAAAAAACCAAAAATATTTTGCATAGGGTATACATAAGCTTAACGGAGGGACAAGTAAACTAGAGTGAAAAGTTTATCGAATGGTGAATCAATTCAACTCAGAGAGATTTTATTCATCAGTTGATGGTGTCTGTTAGCAGTGTGAAACATAGGACGTACAATTCATATTATCTGAGATTCGTCAGTTGGATACGCATGGATTTCTAGTGAGTGAGTGAGTAATCCACTAGCGTGTTGCTGAGCTACAAAAGCCAACTCGTATGCGCAATGGGTACCAGTTTTTAGTAGTAAAACTGAAATGCTCAGTCACTGTTGAGTGCCGAGTTCGAATCTTGTCAGAAATACACCAGCTATCCACCGGGAACTATATATGCATATAACACTAGTCAACATCAGCTTAACCTGAAGACATGTATATATTAAAAACGTTGGTTACTAGAGGCCAAAAAGTGGTCGGTCAACAGAAATACTGACCATTTCGGTTGAATGGAAGAAAACAGGGAGGAAAATCAATTGGAAAGAGTATTTCATAGAGGATTTTCACTTGGGGGAATGCAGAAAAGATGAAGGCAAGTGAGGATTCAGCAAACAGACTCTTTCGCTAACGAATTTCCCATAAAGCTGTATATTCGTATCAATATAATATGATTTTCATACATTTAGTTCCCTTGATAATTTCGATAAAGAAAGGAAGACGAAATTTGCAGTATAAAATGAGATATCGTCATTCTACTTCACAGGTTCTCATCAGCTGCACGTCATTACTTGGAATTACAATGGTTATATAGATGACGAAAATAAAATACTTAAATGGTTGAGTGGTAGTAGAAAAGAGATACAATAAAATTGACGCATCCAAAATGTCAGTATTACACTTTTTAGTTTAAGATTTCATTATCAATTTATGCGCTTTCAAAGTAACCAAATTCATTACATTAATTAGTCATCTTATTCAGTGATCTCAACTCACTGAATAAATCTCAGCCTTATAAACTACAACCGCTTTTGTTTTTTGAGTTTTTATGTGAGCCTACAAACTAACACTGTTTTGTTGATCAATTTTTTCTGTTTTCTGTCTTACCTCTCCCCCCTCTTTTCAACTTTAAAAAGCGTATAAATTGATGGTGAAAACTTAAGCTAAAAATTGTAATCCCTACATTTTCGATGCGTCAATTTTATATAGTATCTCTTCTCCACTATACCAATTAAACATTAAAGTATGTTATTATCATCTGTATAACCATGGTAATTTCAGGTAGTGGTGTGCAGCTGATGAGAACCTGTGAAATAGAATGATGATATCATATTTTATACTGCAAATTTTGTCCTCCTTTCTTTATTGAAATGTATGATTTTACTTGAAATAATAGTGATAATATTGAATAGCTGCACCTAAAAATATTCACGATTATAATCAAAGTTAAACGTCAAGGGATACAAATTATGCTACGTAATATACAAAGAATAGTTCATGGAGTGTGAAAAATCTTAAGAAGAGGGGTAGACTAACTGACTGAATGACTTTCTGGATATAACTTAACATGAATGTACAGCAAGTGCAAGTTGCTGTACCACAGAAAAAAACGACATAAAAGAGACAAAACAGATTCCAAAGAAAAATAATAAGCAGGAATGTGAGCGACGTTATATAATTGAGAAACAAGAAGGTTTAATGGATATGAATGAATATATCTACGCCATTAAGAACGATTTTCAGCTAGTCCTTGATTATTAGCATACCGAAAGGTCCAAAAAGTCCAAAATTCTCTGTGGCTCAAATTAATTGTAAAAATTTTCATTGATTGTTGAAAGGTTTTGAATTGACAAACCTTAACTCTTTTCCAACGTGATCCTATGTTAAGTAACACTGTTCATCAACGAAGAGAGAGGCTTGGCAACTACAACACGTGTTCTAGCCTACTCAGTCGACTCACCTTACTACACTACGCTTCACCTCAATATCAATCACCATAACATATCATCACTCAAAGTAGGATACAGAACGCAGACACCTATGATCAAAGACAACTGTCCCTTTCATAGCCATAAAGGAAGACGAATAAACTGGTGCAGCGCAGTACACGCATCCTTCCATCGATAGACGAGTATCACGTCAACATTAGAGATGATGTGAGTTTGCGAATTACCACACCAACCGTTTTGTATCTATTCTGTGATTTCGTCAACAGTCAGTTTATTTACATACGAAATGAACAAAATAAAAAAATCAATGAGTCAAAGTAAGAGAGGGGACTACTATAAGAATAATTCATTATAGACGGATCACGACTATATAGAAGAAGGAGCGGTTGAGTCAGCCTTTACCGTATATACAGAGCTATTGATGACTTTAAACAATGAGGCTAAAGAAATAAAGTGACCAGTATCAACCACATGTTCAATCTTCCTGCACTTCTGATAGCGCCTTACACTTCGACCCCTTTGTAATCCCACACAGGATTTACACATTTGTCACTTTGGTCGTCGCAACTGACAATCAACGAATAGAGCATAAAAATAGCGAGACCCAAACCTTTACTTCACTTACATCGACGGTTGCAAATCTTCTTTATTAACCTCATTCAACAGAAGCTACATATATTATGAAAATGTCACATCAAGTGATTCACAACGCAAAACTCAATGAAGCATTTGAAGTGAAGCCAGAAGTACGACAAGACTGTTTACCATTACCAATGATATTCTTCATTGCGGTGGCCTGTATCAGGCAACAGATCGTGTGTGTGTGTGTGGTTGGAAAACGACAAGACGGGTGTACGTTGAACCGATATATGTCGAATATTATAATACACAATCTCGAAGATCTACAGGTGAAAACCAACAAAAGCTGGTAGGAGAAGCAGCGGACACAGGACTTCAAGTGAACAGAATACGAGGAAAGAGGCGACAAAGACACCTGAAAACCGCTTACAATAAGAACCAATCACTATAGACGGAAGAAATTCGGAAGAGGTAATTTTTCTTTCATTGTCATTCCATGCATCATCATCGAACAAAGCATGGAATGGTAATCAAACCTGTACCTCCGCTTTATAGACTTTGAGAAAGCCTTCGACAGAGTTGACCACGAAGTAATTTGGAAACTACTCGAGTACTTCGGCGTACCCCAAATATTCGTCAACCTTATTCAACAGCTGTGCGACAATGGCACATGTCAAAGTGATCCACAACGGAAAACTCAGAGAGGCGTTTGGAGTAAACACAGGAGTCAGACAAGGGTGCTTATTATCACCAACGATATTCTTAAATTGTGGTGGACTGGATCATGCGTCAGACTGTGGGAAACGAGAAGACAGGGATATCGTGGACCGACGTGAACAACCTAGAAGACCTGGATCTAGCACCTGGATGATTTATGTTTGATGTCACTGTCACAGAATCGAAGACAAGAGCGAAAACCGACAAACTGGTCGAAGAAACAGCCAGAGAAGACAGGACTCCAAGTGAACATAGACAAGACGGAGGTTATGAAAATAACCAACCAATAACAACAACAGCAACATCCAGCGCCAATCAACATCAACGGGAGGGATTTGAAAGAGGTTACTTCATTCACTTATCATCTAGGGAGCATTGTCTCAACCACAGGAGGAACGGATGAGGACGTCAAATCGAGAAGGCGAGAAACACATTCATCAACCTGAAACAAGCAATCTGGAAATCTTCGTCACTCAACTCAGCATCAACAACAAAATTCAGTCGGATTTTCAATACAAACAACGTCAAGTCAGTTCTTCTGTACGGATCAGAAACTTGGCGGGTCACAAAGAACATTTCCAACAGCCTGTTGCAGACCTTCATCAACAACTAACTGTCTTCACTGGCTCTATACTGAAGATGAGATGGCCGGGCCGGAAAGAATCACCAACAAGAAACTATGGGAACAAACAAGACAAGAACAAACCAATCGCCAACCAACAAATATTTAGGAGCAAGTGGAGATGGATTGGACACTCGCTGAGGACGCCGCTGGGCGACATCGTGCGCGCGTCAGGCTGTCGGTCGAGTCGGACGTCAGTGCAAGGGTGAAATGGAGGAGATTGTGTGAGGAGGAGTTAAAACAGTATGGACTAACATGGATGCAGGTGTAAAAAAGGAGAAGGAAGACAGAAGCAAGTGGAGACGCGCAGTTGAAGCCCTATATTCCACACTAGGAAGCCAAGGGAACAATAATAAACAATACTTTTTTTCATGTTTTTCAACAACACCGTGTCAACTACAGGCGGTACAGATGAGGATATCATCAGAGACCAAATCGGAAAAGCATGACAGACTTTCATTAATGTCAAGGCAGTGTGGAGATCTGCTGCAGTCAGCACAAAAAAAACAAGATCTGAATTTTCAACACTGATGGCAAATCAATCAATTGAAATAATAGAAAAGATTTGTAACTCAGGTGGATGATTTGCAATTAATACTGTTCTCTGAGCTGGTTATTTTAGTTGCGGAGCTTTCGTCGTCTCTCTGGACGGCATGTTCAGCGCAGTATTTAGCATAAAGTCAAATGATCATTTGACACTATTAATTGCAAATCAATCACTTCTTCTGAAGTTAACCTACCTGACGCGTCGCAATGAATAGTATTTTTAACAGACTACCTACGCGCCATGCTCTCGAGTTGAAATAGTTAGAAGGCATTGCGAACAAAGGATTCCTAACAAAACACACCCACCAAGAAATAAGCTAATGCTCAAAAAACATACAGGAAGAGAGGAGATGGATTGGAATCGCGCTCATGATTCCAAACCAAAGAGTACTCTAATCACCTACATAGAAAAAAAACCCACAAAACTTACCCAACAATGAAGTTGTAGTAATATTCGCTGCCAGAGTTCTATTCAGCTGTCCAAAAACCATTGTTGCATTATGCTGTCGATCTACTTTAGGTTCAGTTGAATTCAACACATGTAGGTTAGCCCTTGCCGAGGCAAGTAATGTTGGCTGATGTTGATGCTGACTGTCTTCCTCAGACTCCACATTCTCACCATCGCCATTATTATTACTACTCAAAGAATGATTTAACTGCCTGTCAACATCAAAATTACTCTGATCTGTAGTATCAATTGTTTTATTCGACTTCTCTGTGGGATCAATGCCAAAACGTTGCATTTTCTCGATAAGTTGTTTACGAAAACGACGTAGCATAAGATTTAATGATCTGTCAGCAAACTGTAGAAGAAAAAAGAAAAGGATGTGAACCTGTAGATCTCGACAGCCAATTAAAAAAAACACAAACTTCGTACACTTAATTGGCACGAATAGATGCGGCATAGAAATTGGTGTCTTAAATTGCCAAATTGTTGTCTATTCAGGTAGGTAGTTACCTGGGCTTCCAGTGGGAAGTCGTGACCACCAGTAGAGTGCAGCAGGTCGGGTGTGAGGGCAAATACTTACCGAAGACATTGGCTAGCGTTGCGCTATGTCGTGAATTAGCAGAAGTTGAAAGTCATGGGTCATTGGATCGGGTCCCAGTGGCTGCCTAATGGTATACGAGCTCGCTAGCCTTGTAATCAGAAGGTCCTGGGTTCGAATTCCGGTGGGTGAGTACTACTGAAGAGTCCCAAACTAGGAAGAAACAGCTGTTTAGTACCCCAAGGTTTTCCAACGGTTCTCTAACCAATGCCAGCTCATGATGAAATCCTGTAACCAATCAACGAAATCCCTGAAAAAAACCAATACTTGTATGTTGTCTTAATGTTTGTGCGAGGGGGGTTGGGATACTTACTTAGTGACCAGCACACAAGATCGATTCTAATGGTCTTTAACTTGAAGTTTGATCCACAAGATTGTGGAGCAGCGCCAGGGAGAGGGAGGCTAGGGTTCAATGTTGGCCAGTAACCGAAACAGATTCATATGTCGTACGACTTCTTGGGACTCTCGAGTACGTGTAAACACCATAAATTTGGAATTCGAGTTTCCAGCCTCACTACTAGGTAGAAGACTTGAATATCCTCCACCAGTCCGGTTGTAAGCACCCCATAAGTTCACATTCGCGCATTCACACACGCACACACAGACATGGTGGAATCTTTGAGAAAAAATGACATGAGCTCACATTCACATAAATATAAATCCATTGATTGGACAATGATTATACATTGGTTCTCAAGTGAAACAAGCCATTTATTCTAGCCTATTGAATCACAAGTGCTTCGTACCAATTTAAAACCCTTCAGAAGTACGATTCTCAGGGAAGAGTCATTGACCGAGTACGTCTGAAAAGTCACCAATCAGGACGAAAGTAGTGGTTTCCGATAGTTCCTTAACTTGAAGTCTGTCAAATCTCTACAAATTATACTGGTAAAGATATGGACGATCGGCTTTAGTAAGTGGACAGACAGTCAGTCTCTATCTTCGTTGGCAATGGGTCAACTGCACAGCATCTGAATCTTCACACTTTATGAAGCATAACACAAGCGTAAGAATAATTTAAATGAATAATCAATATGTGAGCTCCTAATGTCCAGCACTTATCACCAGGTAGGTGAACATGAAGGTGTCCCTCATCACTGAGGCTGTTAGAAATACTTCATTTCAAGTTTATGGTGAACACAGAAACAAACAGTGTACGAACATGACTTAGTCACAAAGACCAAGACAATGCAGTGCTCCTGACGATATTCTTCTCTCTTGTAGATCAGATTTTAGGTTGGAGACTCTTTTCCGATTTAGGCGTCTAGATAATAGAGGTTTCTTACGTGCAGTCAAATAGGAGTATTATCACCAACCACGTATGAGTCCATGAAACCAACCGGTACTAATACTTCACGTCTTTACGGTCTACCAAAAGTGCACAAACCAGTCTTCCTCTTTGACATGTTTTAGATATGTATAACTCTCCATTTCACGGAACACCGAAGTGGTTAGTAAAGATTCTGGTACCTTTGCACTGAGATGTGCATCATAGAATTAGTGATGTCTTCGAATTTATTTCTAAAATATCCGAGACTAATGTGAGGTATAAAACCATGTTATCCATGGATGTATCATCAATATTCACTAATGTACCGCTTATAAAAACGGTAGATTATATTTGTCAATAAATCACTTGGACTTCGGAATTCCCATGTGTAGCCTCAAAGAATTACTTCTTAAATGCACAATGAGTTTTCAATTTGTCGTCAATAATTCATACTATCGACAAGTAGATGGAATAGCGATGGGTTCACCATTAGGCCCAATATTAGCTGACTTCTTCCTCGCAAAACTTAAAAACGGGAAATTGAAGGACATCACCAAGGAGTTTGATATGTATTACCGATATGTCGATGATACATTTATTTTAGTTGATGAGAACGTTAACATAGACGAATTGTTGCTGAAATTCAACAACATCTACCCATCGCTTACCTTTACTTGTGAAGAGGAGCAGGAGAATAAACTACATTTTCTGGATGTCTTGCTAAGTAGACGAGAAGATGGGTAACTTGGGAGAAGCGTGTATAGTAAAAGCACATTCACAGGGCAATAAATACACTTCCTTAGTTACGTACCCATTAAATATAAAAGGTCTAGATAATATGGCAACCCTCTCACGAATCAGGGAACAATAATTGCGGAGTATTTCTTCGTGCCCATATGCTACCCCCAAAAAGTTAAGCCGTTTCGCCAACAGTATTCAATCAAATATTCTAAGCGTCTCAAGTACCCGAGATATTAAAAAATAATCTTTTTTTTATTATAGCTTGTTTCCACACAATACTTTTGGTAGACGATATCGGCAGACCAAATTTTCCAGGCCGACCATTGATATCAGGTGTACGTTGGGAGGGGATTGAACCCCGGGACCATGTGCACGGTCGGCGAGAGTCCTAACCGTGAACCATTAATTGATATCACCATGTTTGGGTTCGACTATTTCACAAGCATACATTACACAACAAATTACGTAAACTGTTAGTCACTTTCTTTGTAAAGAATAATATCTTATAATTAACTAACCTTTGACATCGAGTCGATAAGTTTCAATAATTTTCTATGCGCCTCTACATTATCCGATGATGGACGTAATTGTGAAAGCATACGTAGGTATAGCTTTGCTTCAGCGGATTGTGGAGCTTTCAATATTTCAGCAGCTAGTACTGAAACCAAACGATCATGATATGGATTATTCTGCAGGTGTAAAAAGAATAAAAGCATAAAAAAAGTAACGTTAAGATTAGAATTGTATAAATTAAAATTTTGCACAACTTCATTGAAAGGGAGAATTGGAATGTCTGGTTGGAGCTTACAACTGGACCTGTGTTGGATATGCAGGTCCGCCTAGGAGGGTTTGAAAACCTTGATTCCAAACCTATGGTGTATGGGGTCTGTAGAATGCCAATGGCGTATGAAGGTGTTTCGATCACGAGAAATCATGGGGACGTAGCTGCTCCTCACTGCCTTGTGAATAAGAACTCAATTCACAAGCTCAACATGTAGTCCCTTAAGACAACTACCTGCTCCAATCTAGGTGGGTGCCTGGACAGTAAACCAGGCTTTGCATAAACTATGAGATTTTGTGCGGTGCATCTCTTGGTGTCCATAATGTACTGAGCACGTATCTTAACAATAAGAGTATTAATAAACCATTGGTTCTTCACATGTACAAACGATTTCAACCAGAAAGAATACACAGCTTCCGTCATCCCTACACCAAAGCATAGACGATATGTTTTCATCTAACAACATCCCCCACTGAAGTCCCTATTAACAATCCGTATTATACTATTTGTTTTGCACTTCTCAACGACTGATCGATTATGTTCAACCAACATGCGTCATTATTCACTTTGGCTCTCACTGAAGGTTCCAAGGTTAATGGGTGTACCTTCTTTTGTCTGGGTACTTATTTTTTAATCTCAGCCCTATTAACATTGAGAGCAGTTTCTACTTGCATACAAAGAATTACATGAGTACATTAATATATGGTATCTATGAACAGTTAAGGGCGAAAATTCACCCTGAGAAAGCTTTGTGGGCTTACTGAGGCGTATAAGGAGATCTTCATTTTCACATCGCCTACATCAGAGAGTTGATTACTTAGTGGGGTACTTGAAACAGATAAGGAAATAGTGTTGAATAACCGCGGAACTCAAAGAATAGCTGACTGGGGCCGGTCACATATACACGAACTGTTTGAAGTGGTTTTCTGGAGTTGTGCACGTACTAACATCTTACAACCTGCTACACACCTTCGCAAGGTAAGCTAGAGGTCCAATGAGAGGAGAGAGGCAGAATAGGTAAGTTTTCTGGTCATCTTGTTGGTCTCACACCTAGCTAAAAAGGAGGACAGAGTGAACTGCTGCCCTGAGCAGTACACACGCCATTTGGTCGACAGTCGGACACCACGTCTAATTAGCCAGATATGGCGTAAGTTGGCTGACATGTACCAAACCAGCCCTCTGTATCCATGCTAAAATTTCAACAGCGATCAACCCACAACTTCCCAAATAAGTGAAGTGGTCAATACACTCCACCAACCGCTTCACTACCTATTTCTAAGCTAGGAGTCGATTTAGTTCAATCTTGTAACATCATTTTACATTTGATGGGAGCGATCGCATGCCACACATCCGAAGATTGCTGCTTTACAGTTTGTCAGCGTCTTCACCTAGAAGGACTATAATCATCTGCATATTCTAAGTCAACAAGATTATCTCTTGATAACAAATCCATCCCTGATTCGCAGAAGTCAATTAGATGTAAGTCCATTAGTACATCTATGATGAAATTAAGATTTTGCAGGCCAGTGAGGATGTGTGTGTGTGTGAATGCCTTAAGACTCCCAGACTACGATACAACTCAGAATCAAAACTATATTCCAACATGAAACACAACGCAATCATTTTTAATCATTATCAATTAAAAAGGCATAAACTTACAATTTTCTCATCCTCTGCAACAAGTGATACCGGCTTTGTTTCATTATCACCACCTTCTTGTTCTTCACCTTCTTCTCGATCTTCATCATCTTTCTCTTTCGCAACAGCCAGGGCCGTAGAGATGTCAGGTTTGTCTTTTTCTGTATGTGCTTTCAACAAATGAGTGGTATCAGTTAATCGAGCCAGTAGACAGGCGACAGCGTATGGATCCACTTCTGACAATGTTGATGATGCTGGTGCACGAATCAATGTAGTCAATGTAGGGAGGACAGCATCAGCGATAGCTAACTGGTGCTCTAATGCCCCTGATCGATTTCCTCCATGAGCGCAGACATAATCAGAGAAGAAATAGGCTAAACCATGACGAAGTTTTGGTGTCTCATCACTAAGTGGATTGAACCAGAGTAGTATTAACAGACTAAGTATTTGACTTGATATAACACGATCATAGATCAAGAGTTTAGCTAGACCAAGGGCACAAGGTGAACGTAATTCTGCACAATCCTATCACAAAAAATAATCAAACAAAGATAGGATCATTACGGTAATCATTTTATAATAATATTGTCCCAAGTTTGATATCGTGGATTGACACAACAGTTACAGAATCAATGAAAACCATTGACAAGGAGTGTTGGAGAGCTGTTTCCCCCCTCCCAGTTTAGGACTTCACTTCAGCAGTACGGACCCAGGACCTCCAGGTTACAGCCCCAACTCGTTGACCATTTGGCCAATGGAACAGAACATGATGTCTCATGAAGTCACGATCAGTGGGACCCACCACAAGGTGGGATGTGATGATAAATACTCGTTGATGACACCGACTATCAGTTAAAGTTGAAATCGTAAATTGATCGAAGCTAGAATTTATGGACTGTTGGTTGCCCTCCCAGTGGCCGGACGGTCAACGAACTCGCCCCACGGAATCTGAGGATCATGGTTTCGACACCAGGAGTCACGTGAGGGCACGGTCGAAGAGTCACATACTAGCACGACGAGGCAGCTGTCCCTAATGGTCCGATCACCAACATCAATCCAGAATCAAACAAAGACGATTACTATTCCGTGCTTGTATTTCGCATGGATCATATGGTCTCATCAACACCATACACACTGTTTCTCCGCCGTCCTGTTCATCTGGATCAAAGACTGTTTTCCCCTAACCCTTACAAAGCTTTGGTTTTGCTCCTCTTCACATAAACTTCTCTTATTGTCTCGTTTCATCAGCGTATATTCATTCTATTTCATTAGTTGCCAATTAAGTCTTCTGCTCTCAGAGAAGCTTAATGTTGCTTGCTCATCCATTCTGGCTAACTGGTCATTTGATCTTCGGAATCAAGGCACCGGAGAGGGTAGGTTCAGATAGAAATTTGTGGTAGCCTATTCTGTGTGATTTATGTGCATTTTATAAAAAGACTGACTTCTTGACATGACAAAAAGTAACATACATTCAACCACAACGGAATACATACGTATGACAAGTGGGTCGTCCTAGGGTGACCTGGAGGAGATCGTGTGAGGAGGAGGTGGAAGATTAGTGACAATCGTGGACCCAGATGAAGAGGACAGCAGAACGTAGGACAAAGTGGAGATGTGTTGTTGAACCCCGGTGTTCCATTAGAGGAGCCCAGGGAATAATAACACTAAACGACATATGCTCAGCAAAGAACAACCAGTGATTGTGGTATAGCTGAGGGGTTACAATTCAGACAAAATCAAACGAGACCGATATCTTATGTTTAGGAATAACACAGCAGGGGGTAATCAGTGAGTCCATGAGGTTAATCAGTAGATATCGACAGCGAAAGATGGTAAATACCAAATTGAGGTGTTTCGTAGCCAGTGCATTAGGCATTCATACGAACAAGACACCAAAATCCAATTCCAAAAGGTCGCATATATATTTATGATGGATTTTAAACAATAGTCTCCTGAACTCTACAGTCAAATAAGACAAATTCTTTTTCTGTTTCAGGTTACTGAAGAAGTTAAATTCCAAAATGTGAGAAACACCTCCACATACCTCTATGAGCGAACGAAGCTTCTCTGATTATCACTCACATACGAGAGTATTACTATATCCGTATAAGGGAACTACAAACGTGAGCATGACTAACTTATCTCCAAATCACAAGAATGGCGATACACATTCTAACCCCACACTATCAACAATAATAGCAACCAGGCTTAAAAGAATAATCATTAAGGTAGAAGGTCGCGTTCATCACTTAGAATAAAAAAGAAGACTTGGATGAGGAGGAGTAAGTGATCCTTCTATATGGTTTAGAGGTTTGATGTACACGCCTCACCGAAAACATTTCCAACAGGCTGCTTACCGTAGACTTTCAATAACCACTACCTGCCTTCTCTCCGAGTCAATATGGATAAGCCAGCTACAAAGAATTCCTAAAGTGTTTCAAATCAATCAATAAGCAATTACTCGGCAAATTAACGTCGGAAAGAGCGTTGTCTGTCTGTCTGTTTTCGACATAGAACTTTGCACAAATGTGCGGAAGTTCAAGTCGCCACACTCCGTGTAGCACGCGAAGTAAGAGAAGATAGTACAAGAAAAGCATAATAGAAACAGTGAGCAGAGGTGTGAGACAAAGGAGGAGTAATGACGAAGAACAAAACAGCTTCATTGGAGATCATAAGTCACAAGAAGTGGATGCATCTGCGCCACTGAGAACGGTTTTGAGCCATGTCACCAATTGTTTCCAACCATAGATTTTTACCGTCCCGAGGACCCCAGCCTGGAAGTCTACACCTTTCTACGTGGCTTAGACCAACTGTTGTGGATTTCATTGACTGGTGAGGCCAAGTTTTTGTTTGACCGCCGCTAGCTTTTTTCCAGCCTGACCCTATATCCGCTAACATTGCTCGTCGAAGAAGGCGATGGCTTGGCAAACGTAACACATGTCCTAACCATCTCAGTCTTTGTAGCTTCACGACTTCGTCGATTGATTTCCCCTGTTTACCTAGGGGAAAGAGCGTTGAGTGACCTAAAGGCAGCATTCGACTCTGTCGATCGGGAAGTTCTCTGGAGATGCTTGGCTGTAAAGGGAATTCCAAGAAAATATATTGCACTGATTAAGGCACTCACTCTACTCGTACTCATACAGCCAGGTGAGGGCTTACGGCGAGCTGTCATCTGAACTGATGACGACCAGTGGTGTCCGTCAAGGATGCCCATTATCTCCTTTTCTATTCAACTTCATCATAGATGTGTTAATGGACTTAACCCTAAGTGACTTCAGCGACTCAGAGATTGACTTGCTACCTGGGAATAATCTCGTTGACTTGGAATATGCAGACGATATAGTCCTTCTAGGCGAAGACGCTGACGAAATGCAGAGTCTTCTAAACACCTTGAGCCGCAATCTACGAATGTTTGGCATGCGATTCGCTCCCGCCAAATGCAAGATGATGTTACAGGACTGGACTACATCGACGCCTAGTTTAAAAATAGGAAGTGAAGTGGTAGAGCACGTTGACCGCTTCACTTATTTGGGAAGTACCATCAGCCCCAACGCCAACGGGCTGATCTCTGACGAAATCTCAGCACGAATACAAGGTGCTCGTTTCGCATTTGTTAGTTTACGCCGACTCTGGCGTAGACGAGATGTTCGACTATCGACCAAAGGGCGGGTGTACTGCTCATCAGTCCGCTCCGTCCTCCTTTATGGCTGCTAGTGAGACCTGGTCACTGAGAGTGGAAGACATGAAAAGACTAGCTGTCTTTGATCATAGGTGCCTGCGTTCTATTTCCCGTGTAAAGTGGCATAATAAGGTGAGCAACATGGAGGTTAGGCGTAGAGTTCTAGGTAAACAGGGGAAATCAATCGACGAAGTCGTGAAGCTACAAAGACTGAGATGGTTAGGACATGTGTTACGTATGCCAAGCCATCGCCTCCCTCGACGAGCAATGTTAGCGGATATAGGGTCAGGCTGGAAAAAAGCTAGCGGCGGTCAAACAAAAACTTGGCCTCACCAGTCAATGAAATCCACAACAGTTGGTCTAAGCCACGTAAAAAGGTGTAGACTTCCAGGCTGGGGTCCTCGGGACGGTAAAAATCTATGGTTGGAAACAATTGGTGACATGGCTCAAAACCGTTCTCAGTGGCGCAGATGCATCCACTTCTTGTGACTTATGATCTTCAATGAAACTGTTTTGTTCTTCGTTATTACTCCTCCTTTGTCTCACACCTCTGCTCACTGTTTCTATTATGCTTTTCTTGTACTATCTTCTCTTACTTCGCGTGCTACACGGAATGTGGCGACTTGAACTTCCGCACATTTGTGCAAAGTTCTATGTCGAAAACAGACAGACAGACAGACAGACATCATATATCAAACAGACTGTCGTGTAGACCCTGAATGAGAAGGGAGCAGCGAGTTGGGCGTCGTCTAAGATTAGTGGAATCATGGAGATCATCACATGTGAAGATGGGGAAAATGGAAGTTTGTGGAGACAGTCGTATAGTTGTAAGCGTCCAAGTGAAATCGTATGTTCCATGCGGAACCCAAAATATAGTAGGAATAAACGAAATAGTATGTACAAAATAACAGCTAATTTATCACAATAGTGAAGGATAACTTTGAAATATAATATCAACTACACTTACCTCTTTTTCTAAAATTGATGTAATTGGCTTTAACAGACGATAAGCTGTCCTTGACATTTCATTACACCGAACCAGTATACTCTGTGAAGCATGAGACTGATTCCCAGATACCACTGAATCTCGGCACACTTGTCGAGCTAATACGACGTAATCATGTGAAGCTGTAAGAAGGGGTAGTAAGGGGGTGGGGGAAACAGACACTCTTTTCAGGCAAATATATAAAACATAAAACAGTACTCATTTGCACATATCACGAGAAAATTATGAAAATGAAAAATAACCATCTGCAAGGTATAGAGTCACAGTAAGTTTACTAGATTTTCCTACCAGTTACAAATTCTCAGTAGTAGTGATCTGTGGTAAAACGATGGGCATGGAGTTCAAGACAATGAATAAACATCGTCGTCTAGAAGGGCAACAATAAGAACTGTCGAACTGCTGAAGGGTATTTTGAGGAGTAAACAAGAGAGAATGAGGCGAAACAAGTAGGCTTAATGATGTTAACAACTAAATGACTAAGGAAAAAAATATTGATCAGCCACAAGTGCCAATTCAAGCTGTTACATTCCAAAAAAGAGAACAAATAAGAACGTCATGATACAGTCAAAATGGATTGACATACGTCCAACAAAAACAATGATTCCATTGCGATGGTGCTTAAAATAGAGGCCCAAAACTGAGTGACTTAGTTTGAACATAGCACAACACTGCACTTAAGTGCAGCATTTCAAGCCTCTAAACTCCAATCAGCCCTCAAAAAAATAAACAGATAAGAGATTCAAAGAGTCCATAATGAGCAGAAATGTTCGGAAGAAAAAGTGGCAGCATGTGAAAACGTGAGGATTTAAGGGTTCAAGAAGATTACAAAGAGTGAATGCATCTGTACTATTGAGAACTAATTTCAAACATAACAAGAATATACTCTGCGTGCTTCCTACTTTGCATCCCAAGAACTACAACCACTCGTCAGGCAATTTGTATCTACCCACATGATTCATACAAATAGTTACTCAGCTCATGGAACGATTCCAGATTATGATTTCGGCGCTCCTAACACCGACCTCGCCTAGTTCACCAGTCCACTAGTCTTCTAGCCGGTTCTAATCTCAGGCAAATAGGCAAGGTTGAGTGTAAGACCAGCGCTTCTACCCAGGAAAATCAATCCAATCGCTACAGAGACTTCAAAGCACAATAAAAACATAAAATAGAAACTTGTTCTTCGCTAGAATTGGAGAGACAAAAGGACACGGGATGGTGAAAGCCTCCAGGAAGCCAGTCAGCTGATGTATCTCCTTTTGATGAGGGAAAAAAGAAGCAGGGGGCGTGGGAGGCCCGCATGATGTACGAAGCTGGAAAGGTTGTTCAGACTGCAAAACAAATCAGAAGGTATGCCACAGAATTTATAAGAGAAGGTTTGATCGATATGAACTATTCAAATTATCAACTGGAGAGTCAACAAACTACTTCCGTCACCCAGACGACAACCACGGCCACAATGAGGCACTGGGTGGCTATTATAACGTTACCAACATAAGCCAAAGCTCTACGCACTGGTAACCAATCGCCTTCAGGATCACGACAGCAGGACAACTCAAAAGGAAGTAAGGGAAGTCACAATTATCCAATGCTACAAACAACGTGGAACAAGAGGAGGAAGATTTATACAGACGACTGCAAAAAGTAATGGACAACATGCCAAATGGAGACGTCAAAATCCTTTTGGACGACATGAATGGCAAGCTGGGAGAAGACAATACAGGAAGAGAACCCATCATGAGTCGAGAGAATCTGACTCGGAGAAATGAATGAGAACGGAGAATTATCCTCAGATTTCTGCGCTTCCAATGATTTGGTAAACGCAGGCACAGTTTACAAGCATAAGGATATACACAAAGCAACATGGGTTTCGCCTGACAGACACACCACAAACCAGGCAGATTTCAATTCAATGTTGCTCAAGGAAGTAAAGATGCAGCCTGCTGGATACAAAATCGAGAAGGGAAGCAGGTGTGGGCTCAAACCACCATCTATAGTTCAAGTGAACTTCGATGTGAGGCTGAAATCCTTCAAAACAACTGGAGACAGACCACAACTTAAGTTCAACATTCAAAAACTAAGAAAGAAATGAAACTACAAAAAATATCTATAATGCAGTCATGAGAGCAAAGTCGGAAATACTATGTGGCATCAACGATGAAACCTGTGTGAAAGTGCAATGGAACCCTTTGCAAGCGCTGTTCAAGGAAACATGTATAGACGTTTTAGGAAGACAGTGGTGAGATAATGAATGAATTTCTAAGGACACCTGGAAGATAATAAAGAGGATGATGGTAAAACAGAAAATAAACTATGTCAAAAATCGACAACAAAAGGAGAAGCTGAGTTCAATGTACAACGGATTGAATGAAGTGAAGAGCGATAGGAAAGACAATTCTACGAAACATTGACAAATGAAGTCGTATAGTCCGCCGCCAAAAGAGGCCTCATAAGACTACATAACCAGGTTTCTATTCTGGAAGAGATCAACACACATTAAATCAATGAAAGATAACGAAGCAAACCTAATTACTAAAGAGGAAAGTAAAGAGAACAATGGGTTGACCAATTCAAAGGAGTCCTGGACGGATCACTATCTGCAACTAATCCAGAAATATCACCAAACAGCCGCATAACTGCCAGTGGATACAAGTCCTCAAACAAGACCAGTAGTTTGAATACAATCAAGCTCCTGAATGCTGTGAAGGTAGTAGAACTGAACAGATTCCCTCCTAGCTCATTGTAAACGAATTCAGAGACCACAGCTCACGTCACTAATGAAAACGGTTAGGAAGAAAAGAAAGGTAGCTGATCGGAAAAAAGCGAAGTTGTCAAACTACCAAGAAGGGCGACTTAGACCTCAGCATAAACTGGCGCAGAATCATGTCAACGCCAAGCAAAATATTAAGTCACGTTATCCTTAAGAGACTATAAGATGCACCAAATGCAGAACTCCTCTGCCACCGGAACAAGCTGGGTTCAGAAAAAGCAAACCATGTACTACTGATCAGATTGCAACTCTACGCGCAATCATGGAACAGATCATACAATGATAGTCAACTGTCTTTCAGTTTTAACTTCATCGACTTTGAAAATGCCTTCACTATAGAGTCAACCGTAAATCAGTTTGCAAACAACTTCGTCATAATGGAGTGTACTGCCGAAAACATCTATAAACATCAATAAACAGCTACATGACGATGCAATGTGATTCACAACGAAAAGCTCAGTGAAACCTTTGAAGTAAATCCAGGAATAGAACAAGACTGCATACGATTACAGGAATACGTTGGACCGATAAGTACACTCTAGAAGACTTGTACTTCATGGACAACTAATATCTAATGTCACAAAAAACTAGAAGACCTAAAGGCAAAAACCAAAAAGGTGATAGAAAACCAACGAGCACAGGATTTCAAGTAGACAGACAGAAGGCAGTGGTGATGACAACACTCAACCGAAAACAACAAGAAGGATTATTCGCTATCAACAAGGGGAGGAATTCCAAGGTAGTCATTTATTTCATTCATCTATGCAGCCCCCTTCCGACTAGAAGCGGCTCGTATGAAGATAGCAAGGCCAGGATCAGAAAAGTAAGACAGATTTTCATCACTATGATGGAATTTGCTGCAATTAGCACGAAGAAGAAAATTCAGATTTTCAGCACGAATATCAATTCAGTCAGTTTTTTGTGATGATCAGAAACGAAGTGCATGACGAAGAGGCATTTCAAACAGGTTTCAGACTTTTATCAACAGTCCTCTTGGCTGGCTATGTACTGTAGACCACACGATCAGAAAGAGTTGGTAACAAAAGAACTCCAGGAACATAACAATCAAGAAGCTCAGAAAAATATGCCAAAGAAAATGGACATGGATCGGACAAATGCTGAGGAGATCACCAACTGACTTCGAGGGGAACCCAATTGGTCTGTTTGTTTTCGAAATCGAACTTTGCACCGATGCGATGTGCAGCAGTTCAAATCGCCACACTCCCTCCTTTTGTAGCACACAAAGCAACAAAAGAAAGTAGAAGAAATGCATAATACAAACAGTAAACAGAGGTGTGAGACAAAAGGAATAGTAATAACGAAGAATAATATAGTTTCGTTGGAAATCATAAGTCACAAGCAGTGGATGCATCTAACTCCGCTAGCCATTGAGAACGATTTCGTGCCATATCACCAATTGTTTCCAACCATTGGCTTTTACAGGCCCGAGGACCCCAACCGGTCAGGAAATCTACACCTTCCCACGTGACTGGTTTAAACTAACGGTTGTGGATTTCATCGACTGATGAAGCTATGTTTTGGTTTGACCGCCTCTAGCTCTTATCCAGCCTGACCGTATATCAACTAACATTTCCCGTCGGGGAAGGCGATGACTAGGCATACGTAACACATGTCCTAAACCTTCTCAGTCAATGTAACTTCACAGCCTCGTCGCTTGATTTCCTCTCCTAACCTAGCACTCGACTCACGCCTAACCTCAATATTGCCAACCTTATTATACCACTTCACACGAGAGATAGAACCCAGAGATATATGATCGAAGACAGCTAATTTTTTCATGTCTTTCACTCTCAATGGCCAGGTCTCACAGACATAAAGGAGGACGGAGCGAACTGCTGAACCCGAATGGGAGACGAGTCGGGCATCCGTGAGTGACATGGACGTGTTTATGTGGGGAGAATATGAGAGCCTATGATCAATCGTGACTGTCGAAGGCCTCACGTTCCACTCAGAATTCTAGAGAATAATAATATACAACAATTTCCCAACTAATTCAATAGGTCAGATAAAACTGCTTGATACGGAAGGCGATGGCGTGGCAGGTGCTTAGAGTGTCGTAGCCATCTACAGTCGATTGGCTTGCTTGCTCTGATATAACATTATGCCTAACCTCAATATCAGTCATCATACTATAACATCACTTAACATGAGACAGAACACAGACACCTATGATCAAAGACAACTATCCCTTTCATATCTACTTTCAATAGTTACATTTCACAGCTATAAAAGAAGACAAGGCAAACTTGTGTACTGCAGTACACACATCCTTTTATCTATAGACGAATATCACGTCAACACCAGAGATGACGTGAGCTGGCGAATTACCACGCCAACTATTTTGTATCTATTCTGTGAATTCGTTAACGGTCAGCCTGATGACACGTTACAAACGAATGAAGCTGTGTACTCGTTGCTCTACCCTCTATCGTTATTCTAGGTGTAAATGTAGTCCAGTCCCGAAGTAAAATTCTACATTTAACAAGAAAGTATCGCCTAGCAAAAATTGCAAAGTATCTTTATTTATCAGTGTTTTCACCTAGGAATACAATATCTCTCTCTCTGTTTTCAACATAGAACTTTGCACAAATGTGCGGAAGTTCAAGTCGCCACATTCCGTGTAGCACGCGAAGCAAGAGAAGAAAGTACAAGAAAAGCATAATAGAAACAGTGAGCAGAGGTGTGAGACAAAGGAGTAATAAAGAAAAACAAAACAGTTTCATTGAAGATCATAAGTCACAGGGAGTGGATGCATCTGCGCCACTGAGAACGATTTTGAGCCATGTCACCAATTGTTTCCAACCATAGATTTTTACCGTCCCGAGGACCCCAGCCTGGAAGTCTACACCTTTCTACGTGGCTTAGACCAACTGTTGTGGATTTCATTGACTGATGCCAAGTTTTTGTTTGACCGCCGCTAGCTTTTTTCCAGCCTGACCCTATATCCGCTAACATTGCTCGTCGAGGGAGGCGATGGCTTGGCATACGTAACACATGTCCTAACCATCTCAGTCTTTGTAGCTTCACGACTTCGTCGATTGATTTCCCCTGTTTACCTAGAACTCTACGCCTAACCTCCATGTTGCTCACCTTATTATGCCACTTTACACGGGAAATAGAACGCAGGCACCTATGATCAAAGACAGCTAGTCTTTTCATGTCTTCCACTCTCAGTGGCCAGGTCTCACAACCATAAAGGAGGACGGAGCGGACTGATGAGCAGTACACCCGCCCTTTGGTCGATAGTCGAACATCTCGTCTACGCCAGAGTCGGCGTAAACTAACAAATGCGAAACGAGCCCCTTGTATTCGTGCTGAGATTTCGTCAGAGATCAGCCCGTTGGGGCTGATGGTACTTCCCAAATAAGTGAAGCGGTCAACGTGCTCTACCACTTCACTTCCTATTTTTAAACTAGGCGTCGATGTAGTCCAGTCCTGTAACATCATCTTGCATTTGGCGGGAGCGAATCGCATGCCAAACATTCGTAGATTGCGGCTCAAGGTGTTTAGAAGACTCTGCATTTCGTCAGCGTCTTCGCCTAGAAGGACTATATCGTCTGCATATTCCAAGTCAACGAGATTATTCCCCGGTAGCAAGTCAATCCCTGAGTCGCTGAAGTCACCTAGGGTTAAGTCCATTAACACATCTATGATGAAGTTGAATAGAAAAGGAGATAATGGGCATCCTTGACGGACACCACTGGTCGTCATCAGTTCAGATGACAGCTCGCCGTAAGCCCTCACCTGGCTGTATGAGTACGAGTAGAGTGCCTTAATCAGTGCAATATATTTTCTTGGAATTCCCTTTACAGCCAAGCATCTCCAGAGAACTTCCCGATCGACAGAGTCGAATGCTGCCTTTAGGTCAAGAAATATAATGACTGTTGGACGCCGGTAGGAATGCCTATGTTCTAGAATCTGTCGGAGGGTGAAGATATGATCAATACACCCTCTTCCTGGTCTAAAGCCTGCCTGGCTCTCTCGTGTTTGTGCTTCCCGAGCACCACTCAGTCTACGCATGATTATTGAGCCTAAGACTTTAGATACTATATTAGTCAAGCTAATCCCTCTGTGATTATCACAGGAAGACTTGTCTCCCTTCTTGTATATGGGGATAATCAGTGACTTACACCAACCCGATGGGACTTCTTCTGATTCCCAGACGCTGCCTAGTACCTCAGTTAATCCGGACAGTAAGCTGTCTCCACCGTACTTAAATACCTCTGGAGTCATTCCATCAGGTCCCGCTGCTTTGCCTAGTTTCAGATTGGTGACAGCTTTAGTAACCTCAGTTAGTGACGGAGGACCTGTGTTTATATCCCATTCAGGGAGGTGTTGGATGCTCGGAAGGTTGAGCGTGGCTGTGGGCAAATTAAACTGCTCCTCATAATGCTCTTTCCAACGATCCAGTCGTCTATCCTGGGAGCTAATTATAGTGCCATTTTTTTCCGAGATTGTCTCACTGATGATTTGTCTTCTCCCACCCGTTTCCCTGATGAGTCCAAAGAGTTGCCTGGTGTTGCCTATCCTCGAAGCTTTCTCCATCTCTTTGGCTTTTGTCGCCCACCACTGTTCACGGTCCTTGCGGAGACTTTTCGTAAGTTTCCTCTTGTGCAGCTTTCGCTCCTCATTGAATTCGGAGCTCGCCGGAATAAGTCTTCTAGCATCTATCAGTTCGGATGAGGCGGTGGAGATCCAGTGGTTTTTACTCACCTTTGGGTTTACCTTATTCACAGCTTTTACAGCTGTATCTATGGCTGCCTGGATATTTTTCCAAGCTTCTTCAGGGTGAGCACAGCTGTCGAACACAGATATGTGTTTAGCTAGTTCTTCCTCAAATACGGATTTAGTTTCCTGATCGAGCTGGGGACGTGATGGTTTTACCGCCAGCTGTTTCCTACGTCCGTTCAGTCGTAAGCACACCCGAGCGCGGACCAGTGCATGGTCGGTATCTACGCACGTGTTCCAGAAGGAGCGACAATCTCCTACCGACCCACGCCAACGATAGCTTATTGCTATGTGGTCTATTTGTGTCCAGCGTTGGTTTGATGAAGGGGGTCTCCAAGTCAAACAGTGTCTCTCCTTGTGTTTAAAGTTAGTGCTTACAAGAAACAAATGATTATCAGAGCAGAACTGTAGGAGACGGTCACCGTTGTCGGTTCGCTGGCACGGAGCTCCATAGGTGCCACCGACATCCTTCTCAGATTGACACAATTTCCCTACTTGAGCGTTAAAGTCACCAGCTAGAACGACTATGTCTGAGCGTTTAGCCTTTCGCACCAAACTAGACAGCTTTTGGTAGAACTCATCCTTCGTTTCATCTGAACTGCAGTCAGTGGGGGCGTAGGCGGAGATTACGAAAAGGCATCGGCGAGTAGTGCAGTCCTTCCTCCTTCTTACTGATCCGTTCAGGCGGACAGCACACATTCGGCTATCTACCGGGATCCAGCAATGCAATGTCTTTTCTGCCCTAGTACTCAAAGCTATCCCTACGCCAGCTAATCCTCGTGAACTAGCTGTGGCATCTCCTGACACCCTCAAGGTGAATTTTGCAGATTCAACCTGTTGGCCAGGTGGGGTTAGGTGAATAACCACACTTGGGTCTTGTATGCGTGTTTCTGAAACACAGCATACATCAATGGCTCGTGATGCCAGGGTCTTGGCTAGTGATGCTTGTTGTCCTATTTGGCAAAGTGTCCTAACATTAAGAGCTCCTATATGAAATTGGTGGCGCGGCTTTAAGAGGCTGTCGGTGGTGGTTTTTTGGCTTCCATCGTTTTTAGTGGACGCAGAGTGGAGAGGAAGTGGAGAGCTATCAAGTCGAGGAGTTGCATCAGTGGAAGGAAGGCAAGATGATAGAGATGAAGATGAAGACAAAGATGAGTGAGTAATAGAGAGGTTTCGTGTGCATTTCGGATTGTGAGGGCGATTGTTACTTCCCGGCTGCCCACACCGTGGAAGTTGGTTGCGTGACCGCAGAGCCCAGGGGACAACTGCTTGAGGCCGGTCACACGCGGCCTGTTTTTGTTCGTTCTTTTTTGTTTGGTGTGTCTCAGTAGCAGATTTATCACTCCTGCCCTGTGACACGGCAGCAGGAAGCGCGGTCGTTGTTAATCCGGGCCACGGCCGATCCGGCATGAAATTTTGTGATTTTGTATTGGACATGATGTTGGATTGGGTAGCTGCTTTTTGTTTAACCGCTATCCAAACAACCTGCCTGGCATGGTAGTACCTCAAGAGACATAAGTCTCAGCCAGTATAGCTTGAATAGATCATTGCGGTGTTCAAGCCCGACCACCACGTCAAGGTAGCAGTACTCGACGAGTTCACCAGACTGTGGAATGTCTGTCTGTCTGGATTCAACACAGAACTTGGCACTGAAGTGCAGCACTTCGAGTTGCCACGTTCCAAATACCACACAAATCTGGACAGGAAGATGAGTGAAGAGAATTAATAGAGTTTCACAAGTATACGAGTGAAACGGAATGGATAGTGGTAGAAAGGAATATGAAAGATTACAGAGACTGAATACATCTGCGCTGGCCATTGACAACGATTTTGAGCCATGTCACCTATTGTCTCCAGCCATTGATTCCTAGAGTCCCGAGGGCCCCAACCCGGAGGTCTGAATCTCCCTACCTACCTGACTCAGTTTAACTGTCAAGGATTTCATGGATTGATGAGGCCATGTTTTTGTTTGGCCACCACTTACTCTTTTCCAGCCTGCACCTTTATCACCTAGTAATGCCCGTCGGGGGAGGCGATGGTTAGGCATGCGCAGCACCTGAACTAGCCGTCTCAATCTATGTAACTTTATAGCTTCGTCGATTGATTCTCCCTCTTTGCCTGCCCAACACTACGCCTAACGTCAACATTACTTACCTTACCATACCACCTAACGTGAGAAAGAGATCGTAGACATATGTGATCAAAAACAGTCAATCTTTTCATGTGTTCAACTCGTATTGGCCATGTTTCAGAGCCATAGAGAAGGACGGCGCGAACTGGTGAGCAGCAGACACGTCCCTTGGTTGACAGTCGGATGTCACGCCTACGCCAGAGATAGTGTAAGTCAGTGCTATGGTAACAAATTATCTCGTTAGCCACTAAATTCATTTTAGGGTCAGTCAATTCCATTAGTCCATCTATGATGAAATCGAACAAGTAACCAAAAAAAAACACTTACACACTACACTGTCATCTTCATCATCGTCATCAAGAATAATTGTGTCTGTTGGAGCTAAACGTGCATTCAAATTAATATTGGCATCATGAAATGGACGAAATCCATATATCAATAAACAATCAATAATACAACCCAAGGCTGTTTCACTTATTGTCACATTATCTACACGCATAGCCTATAGAGAAAAAAAAAGAGAGTTACATGAGTAAGATATACGCGTGAACATAAGGTTGTAGAGAATGAGAACAGCACAGCCGACAACAACTATTATCAATTTAAATGTTCTCATGAAGCCAAATTAATTAAAACACTGGGGGTATAATTTGACATGCGTCGTTATCGTATATCAATGAGATTTTGTGTGGTGTATCTCGTGGTTCCCACTTAAACTACCAGACAGCCAGTTGTTACTACCTGTTTTGGAACTATTCAGCAGTACAAGTTCATGTGAACTTATCAAAAATCGAACTAAGGAACTTCAGGATACAAGTCGCAGCCACTTGGATAACCCATAAGTTCTAACTATCTCCAATTCATGATACATATGACCGCCCACTCACTCGTTGTTTGAGAATACACTTCTCCTATTATTCATTTAAGCGACGGTGGTATAGCGGTTAGGACGCTCGCCAACCATGCACATGGTCCGAGGTTCGATCCCCGACCGACGCACCCTTTACCTCGCTAGACCAGATATAATGCTGGTAAAGAGGAAAGGTTGGGCATGAGGCTAGCAACCACACCCTGTAAAGTTAAACACAGCCACAGAAACTTCAAGCCACTAGCTTGAAGTCCTATGTTCCAGTGGGGGACCTGAAGGAAAAAAGAATATTTATTTATGTGTCTTCATGAAAACTACCAGTTCAGGGGTCAGGTCCGTATGTGAAGATTCAGCAAATATTACAAGAAGATAATTACGAAGAACAATAGTCGTGTTTGGTTTTTTTCATCGACTATAGCAAGTACTGCATGGCAGACCTAACTACGCCTATATCCACTTGGTCATATCAAAATGAACTTTGAAAACCAGATACTAAACTAATGGGAGAATATTTTCAAGCATTGGTTTTGTAGGGATTTGTTTGATTGGATGGAGGATTTCATCATGAGCTGACATTGGTTAGAGAACCATTGGAAAACCAGCCACAGGGCGTACTGGACAGCTGTTTCTACAGTCCTAGTCTGGGACTCTTCAGCAGTACGCACCCACCACAAGGGGTTCGAACCCTGGACTTTGTCGTTACAAGGCGAGCTCATAGACCATTCAGCCACTGGGACCCAATCCAATGAGCACCAGTGGGTGCGTACTGATGAAGAGCCACGAACTAGGACGAAACGGCTGTTCAGTACTCCCAGGTTTCCTAGTGGTTGTCTAACTGATGTTAGCTCATGATGAAATCGTCCATCTAAAGGGAGAATATGTTAACGGAATGAATACCTAATACACTAGATTCCGAGTGAAACATGGCGTTTAAGTACGATAATCCCATTAGAATTTGTTCTCTGTAGCACTTTTTCAGCTAGCTCCACGATTGCTCATAGAATCTTATTTACTCCTCACACGATCTTATCTATGTCATCCTCAGTCCGATGCCCGAATCGCCACTTTTTTCATTCTGATTAAACCTGAGGGATGTCACTCAGAAGTCTCCTCAGCATATGTCCTACTCATATATCTCCGTGTACTTCAACACATTTTTTTGATTGGACGATAGATTCTTTGTTCGCGTGTTCATGGAGTTCCCTCTTGTATACCCTCTTTCTGACCAGTTTGGCTATCTGTTCTTCAGCATCAACGTAGCGAAAGGAGCCAGTATCGTTAAAATTAGTGTTAAAGCAGTTTCCAAATGAATTCACAGTCAACGCTATTAAACACTCCTACTTAAAGTCAATGCAGTTGAAGTATAAAAGGCGAGCTTCCATTCAAGGCTCTATTCGATGATGATGATGACGATACACAATTCGATCCACGTATGCACACATGATTCGCCATTCCTGAATCTAACATCTTGTCGTCGAAGTTTTGCTCCCACAGTATCTAATAGTCCCTCCAGGAGGATACAACTTACTATTATATTGCAAAGACAGGTTCAATCCGGAGAATCACTACAATAAGTTAGTGTTAAGAGCAACTTGGGAAGGCATATAAAACGGAAAAATTAATCTGAAAATGCGTAAACACACACACACAAACAGACAAGCATCCATTACGAAACTCACTGAATAGAAAACATGTATATACTGCATTGCTAAGGGTAAATCCGTTGTACAGCATAAACCTAAAGCGAGGATTGCTTGATTACGAACAGTAGATTCTGTATGCTGAATACTTGGTAATATCTAGAAATTGACAACAAAGAAGAGGAATACGAGGAAAGAACGAATGATATATATATATATATAATGTTTATTGTTCGAAATAAAATCTCATTAATAGAGAAAACAATTTTGGAGTATGGTGATGAGTAATTTCCGGATCGATAGCTGCTAAGAAGGCACCAATTATGATTCTATTTCAGGTAGCCACCTTAGACAAAGGAGCTAAATATATGTCCGATGTACCTCCATTGATCATACGTTTGCTTTTGACTCTCTACCTGGAGGCCTTTTGTAAAACAAACTTCCACGCACACAAACTGAGTCCTACGCTGTTAACTGGTTGCAGCATTCTCATATCTATGACAGGACTAAGTATACTGTATTCAACGGCAAATCTTTTGTCTTGCTTACTGAAGCTGGAGTCTCTCAAGATGATGCTCTCTCTCCTACACATTTTTTTCTTTCTTTTTACATGAATTTCTTCTTTCAAATGAAATCAACTTCATTAAATACGCTGAAGACTTGGCTGTTTCGCTGTCAGTTACATCCCTCATCCGACTGTGGCAAACTTAATAGCTTGATGTCGGACACTAAATCAGTGGTCTAAAATAGAACGTCTTAAGTTAAATCCCTTCATATATCGAACAGCTAACTTCACCTTTAGGTATAAAAGTGATCTAAACGAACTGGTCTGTTCACAAGATGCTTGTAGCCTAGACGGGACTGCAACAGAAACTAAGTCAAGCATAAAATACGTAGGGATAGTTCTATCCTCTGACCTTTCTTCGTCATCCCATATCTTATTGATATCTAAGAAAATGTTCTATCTAACGTCCTACATTAAGAAGTTAAAGCAATCAGCAATCGTTCAACCTCTACCTTCATAGTGTGTTAACTCTTGCATCTTACCTAACCTATTTTACTGTTTCCCTTTAGTCTTTCTTCGGCTACTCAGCAGGACGGTAAACGTTTTCAATACGGCAAATAGCGTGTCACTAAGTCAGTTCACTACTACCGTAATCAATAGACACCTACATTGCCTTACAACACCTTCCCTATCCTCAACCCACCCACCCCTTGCATCTCATCAGATAGGAAGTCATTGTGAAAGGTTATATATTCGCACGGTTGGTTAAGTACAAAAACTCAACGACACCGTATTTCGCCACAACGGTTACTGAAACTTCAAAGTGCTCGAAGATTGAAACCTTCAATCGTCCAAAGTTCTTCACTCATATAAAAAATAAACAATTCATAAAAAAGAAATACATACCAGTGTATCTAATAATGAACGTAATGAAGCAGGTAAAGTCCATAGTGTAGGTGATTGTTGGATAAGTAAGGCAGCCAATCGATTAGCTTTGTGTAAAACAGCCGGGGAACAACGCTTGATTGGATCGTCATCTTCAGATTCAGCCTCTTCGTCGTCGTCATCGTCGTCCTCTACCTCTTCTTCTTTCTGGAAATAATTTTTACTGCCATTGGCAACACTATTGCCATCGGCATCACGTTTCACACTGGTACCGGAATTATTATTATCATACATATTAGTAGTAACAGACACTTTATGTTCACCATTTGACGGGGTAACGTTCTCTGTCCTATATTGATCAGAAAAACAAAGACGACACACGGATATATATATATATATAATGATTATATATTATTGACCAATATAATACTGTTCACCACACATTTATTTTTTTTATTCCTTCACGTTCTCAGTGGAGCACAGGGCGTGAAGTTTCGGCAGGAGTGGCGTTTATTTTTACGAGATGGGGTTGCTAGTCACATGTCCTTCAACCTCTCCCCCCCCCCTCTTTACAAGTCTTATTGCTGGCCTAGCGAGGTGAAGGAATACGGCGTAAGGGGGTCAGACCCCGGACACAATATGCGTAGTTGGCGAGTATTTCACCGCTGAGACACGCGTGTACATCCACCATACAGAGATTACACAATTTATTTTTCGTAGATGGTGTGTTCATCTTGTGATCTGCATAAATATTGATTGAAGTAGTTGCTTTGCTGGTCTCTGTATGTGTGTGTGTGTGTATCATATCTACGTCAAATAAGTTTAGGAGTCATATATACACATATGGTTGGATGATTTTTATTGAGATTTCCGAGGAAGTGTTGTCGTTGGTGGTGGTATTTGGAATAAGATTTAGATATATTTTTCAGATAAAAATGATAATAATAGACATTTCTAGTTCTGGGGTTCTAGTGAGGAGTCGTGACAAGTAGGGTGTAGCTGGTCGGGCGCGAGGACAAATATTCGCCGAAGACATTGGCCAGGGGTCGCGCTATGTCGTGAATTAGCAGAAGTTAGAATTCATGGGCCATTGGATCGGGTCCCAGTGGCTCAGTGGTCTACGAGCCAACTCGCCTTGTAACCAGAAGGTCCTGGGTTCGAACTCCTTGTGGTGGGTGCGTACTGATGAAGAATCCTAAACTAGGCCGCGAAAACAGCTATCCAGTACTCCCAGTTGGTTTTCCAGTGGGGTTCTCTAACTGATATCAACTCATGATGAGATCCTGTAAATAAACTTTTCTATTGTATTCTTCACACCAGTGTTGCAGTGTATTTTCGCTGTTTTTTTGTATGGTATTGTGTGACTGTTTGGTCTTTGTTGCGATTGATTCACTGTGTACTTCTACTTCTAGATTCTCCCTTGTCTATTCTCTGAACTGTGATATCTCTTGTCATGTCCTGATATCTTAAACACACACTGTTTCCTATATCAGTTCTTTTGTGTTTCAGGTTTGATTACAGATCGACACACCTGTCAGAACACCACTGGACCCCCATCCACCTTGTTTGAGACTCTACATTAGTACCCACTCATAAACCCACAGGGGATCTTCTAATTATGACAAAGGTGTCATAAAAATTGACCAACCAAAATTCACACATAGTGTGTTCTTCAGTTATGGACACACACTTTATTATTATTATTAGACAGACACAAACATGTGACAAATATCCATTATATTGAAAATTGCATACGTGCGTGTGCGTCACTGGCATAGCGGTTAGGACGCTTACCGACCATGCACATGATCCGGGGTTCGATCTCCAGCCGGTGCACTCCCACACCTTGCTAAGCCAGAAATAATGCTTGTAAAGAGGGAAGGTCGGGCATGAGGCTAGCAACCCCACCCTGTAAAATAAACACCACTGCTACATAAACTTCGAGCCACAAGCTTGAAGCGCTATGTTCCACTGGGGAACGTGAAAGAAAAAAACATACGTATGTATGTGTAAGTCAGCTGCTGAAGGATATGTGGGTCTACCTAAAGGATCTGGGAACCCCTGAATCCAAACCTACGGTGCAGATGAACTCCATAGTCCGAAGGGATCGCAGTGCATATGTGAACCTGTTTCGGTCATTAGAAACCATAAGATTGCAAATCTCTTGACGCTGCTCCACTGTCGCGTGGATCAGACTTACAACAGTTACAGGCTCTGAAGTGACCTGTTAAAACAATAACCTGTTTCAATTCGCGTGCGTTTCAGTAGTAATCCAGCCATGTCATAAACTAACAGACAATTTTTTGTGGCTATAATGTGCCACTTTTGTTTCAATAATAATTATTATAGAAACTACTATTATTAGTATATGCAAATTTTGGCGCTGTAAAGGTACACGAAACAAAAATGTCCTCAAAACTAGTAGAAGAATATTGTTATGATCAATCAACCAACATATTATGATGAATTCAACACCAAATGTAATTGTGTAAATTAACTCTCAAAGCAAAGTGAGACAGTACCTTCTAACTATGGTCATCAATCTCTGATGAATCATTCCTATTGCATGTGCTGGGTGTAGACTCGATGAACAAGGATTCAGTGATCAACCTCTCTCTCTCTCCACCTACCTAGATTACTTTTTAGAATTTTAACCCTCTCCCACCCTATTGTGTGGTTGTTTGTTATTGCGTAAAGTGCCATAGCTGAGCTTTTTTCTAAATTACTTATCTTTTCAGGGTCAACCATTCTTACCTTAGCTAAATTCTTATGTTCTGCTAATCTGACTACCCCTGACCTACTAGTTTGACCTATGTAGTTGACCTCACAGTTATTGCAGGGTATTTTGTACATTATATTATTTTGTCTAATTGGGTCAACTGGGTCCTTTAACCTGCACAGCTTGTCCCTGAGTGAGTTTGTAGGTTTGAATGCCACCCTAATTCCTTCTTTATTTAGAATCCTAAGTAGGGTCTCAGATGCCCCTCTTTATATAATATAACTGTAAATGACTTATATTCTCCCTTATTTATGTTATTACTACTAGTTTCATAATTCTTTTTCTTTTAGTCTAAAGGCCAACATTAAGGTAAATATTACTGTATAACACTGTGAGACTTTATTAAAACAAAATTTTTCCATAAGGGAATTACACTCTACCACAGTGCACAAGTTTTATTCTTATAACAGGTCAATTAAGGAAGGAAGTGGAAGAAGGATATCAAAGAGGACATCTTTCTTTGAAATGTTGTATGAATAACTCTCAGTTTTTATTGGATGTGTTAGTCAGTCGTCAATCAACAAAACAATCGTTCAGTAAGAGGAGCTGGATTAGGGTTCAGAATAATGTAGTTTTCCTCATCAATATACCTGTTATGCAAACGCCCCGAACTGTTTTTATTACTAGCCAATACATTCCACTTACTGATTATATTGTCATTTTGGACTTTCTAAACTTCATAGTTACTTCTGCGCTTATTTGATGCCATTCTTTTTAATCCTGAGTAGACCCTTCTACAAAAATTATGCCTTATTACATATATATAAATCGTACAACCTGATGACAATGACCGTTAATACGTACGAAACCTAGATGTCGAAGACTTACACTGCTGATTGTATCTAACCGTCTAAACGTTGATTCAAAGTGCACTGCAGTGACAAGTAGACCCCCCCCACACACACACACCATAGCAAACACATTGCGAAATCGACTGTTATAGAATTTAGTCACTATCATCAAAGTCAAGGATTAGTTACACTCTAGCGACCGATCAATGTCTTGAATACCAGCCCCCTCCTACAGGAGAGCTCAATCATGAGCACGAACAGCTCAATGGCATGTCTATGATTGCACTCATGGACAACATGGATCTTATAAAGGTCGCAGATACGCCTTGCTGGCGACCAGTGCCAGCCACCAATGAGTAGGAAACTTATGTAACCAACCAAGCGACTGATTAGCCCAGTTTCGACACAGAACTTTGAACAGAAGTGAATCAGAGCTCAAGTTGCCACATTCTATTCAGTACACAAAGTACAGAAAAGAAGGAAGACATTCAAGAATGCTATTATGAACAGGAGTGTTTGGGAGAGAGTAAAAACATGGAAAAGATTGGGTTTTAGTGGATCTTGGAAATTACACACAGAAATGAATGCATTTGCACCATTCAAAACCGTTTTGAGCCATATCACTTAATTGTCTCCAGTCATTGACTCTCGAGCGTCTTGAACAGCCATAAGGTGTACACATCCACACGTGATTGGTTTAAACCAACAGCACAAGTCTTTATGAATTGGTGCCAAGCCTTAACCTAACAACTCCTTACTCTTTTACAACCTAATCTTATGTCAGTCAAAACACTACTCGTCGAGGAAGGCGGTAGGTCGGTGGCATACAATCCGAAAAAATTGTACCCTGGTCATCTTAATCAATGTAGCTTTTTTCATAACCTCAATGATTAACACTCCTTACCTCTCGACCAACTACTAAGCACTAAAAAAAAAAAAAAAAAAAACAGAAAAACTTACACAACAGGGAGGACAGTTCCATGTAATTCATGTAACAATTGTGATCGTTCCGCTTCTAATTTATTACACTCATCACGCAGTTCAGTAGCACGTTCAAATTCTTTACGTGTAATACAATTATGCAAGGATTCATTGATTTCATTCAAACGAACTTCAAGACTAGCAATCTGAAATAGAAAGAAAGGAGGAAAGAAATACTGACACATATAAAAAGCGACAGAACCTAGACGGATAACTGGAGGAGATAGGGTTCGACGGCATAGGAATTCTAACTTCTGTTAGTACGCATAATAACAATTTACTGCCAATAACCAGATAATATTATCCGCTAATATCTACACCATCAGATATCCCGATACAAAGGACTACACTAGTCACCCGCTTGTTACTAAAACTGGAAGACGCTCATATCACAGCTAGTCCCCCACCCACCCACTTATGAACAGAAAATAAGTTTTCAAAGGATCGACTGAAATAGCTATCCAGTACTGGTTTTCAAAAGCTCTCAACATGATAACAGTTGACCTTGACCTAAAGGCAGCATTCGACTCTGTCGATCGGGAAGTTCTCTGGAGATGCTTGGCTGTAAAGGGAATTCCGAGAAAATATATTGCACTGATTAAGACACTCTACTCGTACTCATACAGCCAGGTGAGGGCTTACGGCGAGCTGTCATCTGAACTGATGACGACCAGTGGTGTCCGTCAAGGATGCCCATTATCTCCTTTTCTATTCAACTTCATCATAGATGTGTTAATGGACTTAACCCTAGGTGACTTCAGCGACTCAGGGATTGACTTGCTACCGGGGAATAATCTCGTTGACTTGGAATATGCAGACGATATAGTCCTTCTAGGCGAAGACGCTGACGAAATGCAGAGTCTTCTAAACACCTTGAGCCGCAATCTACGAATGTTTGGCATGCGATTCGCTCCCGCCAAATGCAAGATGATGTTACAGGACTGGACTACATCGACGCCTAGTTTAAAAATAGGAAGTGAAGTGGTAGAGCACGTTGACCGCTTCACTTATTTGGGAAGTACCATCAGCCCCAACGGGCTGATCTCTGACGAAATCTCAGCACGAATACAAGGGGCTCGTTTCGCATTTGTTAGTTTACGCCGACTCCGGCGTAGACGAGATGTTCGACTATCGACCAAAGGGCGGGTGTACTGCTCATCAGTCCGCTCCGTCCTCCTTTATGGGCTGTGAGACCTGGCCACTGAGAGTGGAAGACATGAAAAGACTAGCTGTCTTTGATCATAGGTGCCTGCGTTCTATTTCCCGTGTAAAGTGGCATAATAAGGTGAGCAACATGGAGGTTAGGCGTAGAGTTCTAGGTAAACAGGGGAAATCAATCGACGAAGTCGTGAAGCTACAAAGACTGAGATGGTTAGGACATGTGTTACGTATGCCAAGTCATCGCCTTCCTCGACGAGCAATGTTAGCGGATATAGGGTCAGGCTGGAAAAAAGCTAGCGGCGGTCAAACAAAAACTTGGCTTCACCAGTCAATGAAATCCACAACAGTTGGTCTAAGCCACGTAGAAAGGTGTAGACTTCCAGGCTGGGGTCCTCGGGACGGTAAAAATCTATGGTTGGAAACAATTGGTGACATGGCTCAAAACCGTTCTCAGTGGCGCAGATGCATCCACTCCCTGTGACTTATGATCTTCAATGAAACTGTTTTGTATTTCTTTATTACTCCTTTGTCTCACACCTTTGCTCACTGTTTCTATTATGCTTTTCTTGTACTTTCTTCTCTTGCTTCGCGTGCTACACGGAATGTGGCGACTTGAACTTCCGCACATTTGTGCAAAGTTTTATGTCGAAAACAGACAGACAGACAGAACTAAACTGGAAATCAATCCCATCCTTTGGCAAAAACCAACATGTTTACAATTGATATAATACTCAATAATGATTAACTGCAGTATAAAGTTGTCCCTCAGTCATAGTGAAAAGTCATTACTGATAGGGTCCATAAACTTCGTTGGTTGTGAAGATAAATACTCGCTGATGACGTGGATTACGGATGACATATACATATACATCGCGAATCGACAGAAGTTAGAATTCACAAGGTCTGTCTGTTGTCTGTTTTCGACATAGAACTTTGCACCGATGTGCACCAGTTCAAGTCGTCACACTCCACTCCTTGTAGCACACAAAACAAGAGAAGAAAGTAGAAGGAATGCATAATACAAACAGTAAACAGAGGTGTCAGACAAAGGAATAGTAATAACGAAGAGTAACTTAGTTTCATTGGAAATCATAAGTCACAAGGAGTGGATGCATCTAACAGTGCCAGCCATTGAGAACGATTTCGAGCCATATCATTGATTGTCTCCAGCCCTCATTGGTTTTACCGTCTCGAGGACCCCAACCAGACATCCAGGAAGTCTACATCTTCCTACGTGACTGGCTGGCTTAAACTAACTGTTGTGGATTTCATTGACTGGTGCCAAGTTTTAGTTTGACCGCCACTAGCTCTTTTCCAGCTAACATTGTCTGTTAGTTGAGGAAGACGATGACTAGGCATATGTAACACATCTTCTAACCATCTCAATCGATGTAACTTCACAACCTCGTCGATTGATTTCCCTCATTACCTAGCACTAGACGCCTAAGCTCAATATTGCTAACCTTATTATACCACTTCACACGGGAGATAGAACGCAGGCGTCTATGATCGAAGACAACCATCTGGTCTTTTCATGTCTTCCACTCTTAATTACCAGGTCCCACAGAGATAAAGGAGGATAAAGCGGACTGCTGAATAGTACACTCGCCATTTGGTCGATAACCAGCTGGATATCACATCTAGGCCAGAGATGGCGTAAACTGGCATATGCGAAACTAGCCCTCTGTATCCGTACTGAGGTTTCGTCAGAGATCAATCCGTTGCCACTGGCTGATGGTACTTCCCAAATAAGTGAAGCCATCAACGTGCTCTACCACTTCACCCCCATTTCTAAACTAGGAGTCAGTGTAGTCCAGTTAAGGTGGCCGCCATTGGATTCTATATCTCAGGCATATCTAGTAACGTGAAGTTCTTGAGTTCCGTACCCGGGATGGGGTCACAGGTCACAGGTACATAATAGTAAGGCACGTCAAACTGCAACGGAACAGCTGTTTAGAATAGTTCTTTGATTCTGTTATAGTGTGTGATGAAAAGTAATATGAAATTAGCTAAATTTCTGCAAACCAAAACAAGAAAGAAGTGAGTCCGGTGAGAGGATATATACTGGAGATAATGTTAATAACTCTTCATTCCTTGAGTTTCGAGTGGAACATAGGACTTTCAGGCTCCATCATCAGTAGTGTTGTTCCCTGAGGAGTGGGGATTGCTACTCTTACACCCAATCTCATATCCCCCGCCAATTTCAAACTTACTACCAAGCTAGTAGACTACGATATGTCTGGGAATGCGTGGGTCAGGAATCAAACCTAGACCACTGGTATGGGGCTACAGAGCTTTCTACCATAGAACCACCTATGCAATGTAAGTATCAAAGCGCCATATAGTATTAAATTCACAAACCTAATTGGTAGGAACTCCTGAAAGAGCCATTGATTTTTAGCCTCTCTCTCAAGCCAAACAGCTTACACCTCCCCCTATGTGACTCAGACAAACGGTGCAAAACAATCCACCAAATACCACGTTAGCGAACAATGCTTGACGACAAAGGTGATAGCATCACACGCGTAACACATGCCTTAACCACCTCGATTGATGTGAGGTGAGAGCTGGCTGTTAGCCAAAATTGGTGGGCAGTAATTTACGTCAATGTTTATGTCCCCAATATTGGCCGTGAGAAAAATGAGAACAAAGGCTTTGCGTAGGCGGATACGGTTAACATATAGACGATCTGACATCCAAGAAACAGCCACAAAGAGATGCAAGGTTAACCTTCTGTAAGAAACAACCAATCAGAAGAGTGTGCTTGTTTGCTTGAATAATAAGCTATAATAATGTACATGAAAATACACAGATACGTGCTGATTTCCTTAATAAACGATCTGTTGCCTGACTCTTGCCTTCTGTCGTTACAGATGAAGCTTCAAAACTTCACTAACTGACTTTCTTTCATCATCTGAAACTATATCTGACCTAAAGATTACCTTACTATGTCATAGCAAGTGACACAAGAACCCATGGTGAGAGACAGACAGTACATCATACCTTCCTTCCAGTCTCACAGGAGTAAAGAAGAACGAAACGAACTGCAGTGCACTACACACACATACACACACACACACAATAACAACTAACCTTCAAACGTATATTAATCTCCTTTTTCTTTGATATAGCCGTTTGATTCACACGGGGTTCGTTTTCTTTATTTGATACACAATTTTCAAGAATGGTTGAGCTATGGAAAGTTGTTATTGGTGCAGGTAACGGATCCTCTGGTTCTGTTGGTTCACACAATTCACTGATCATCTCGATGACCTTGTTTACACGACGTTTCTAATTTACAAAATACGTGAAATTAATTGTAAAATACAACAGTGAAATATGCGCAAACAATAAAACACAATAAAAGAAGTCAAAAGTTAAACCATGCCTATCAGACCAAAGACTGCAATCGACCGACAGCTTTTAAAATTGACACACAGTGAGGGTCACGCTTGTATATCACCATCTCTACATAGAAAGTTAGAATGGTCAGAACGAAATTTTCTATACGTCCTACCATCGCAACACAGGTTACTTACATGATGTCGGAGGAGGGGGGCTATGAACAAAGTCGTACTGTTGACTAAGGGAAGTGTGACAACAGTAGAGTATCTCCTTCAAATGACCAGTAAGCCAGCTATCGTACCTCTTCGCTCTAAGGAGGGGGATTAAGGAAAAAACCGAAACCAAAACAAAACACCCCGACTTACACTGTGTGAAAACTTATGCACGGCAGTGAGATCATCATAATCAGACAACTCCAGAAACTACCTCAAACAAGCTGTGTGCAACTGACCACAATTAGTTGCTCTTTTGGGTTCTGCCGTCAAGCAGTACTCATACTCTTGTATTTCAGTTATCACAAGAAGTTGACTTCAATTGTGCAGGACAAGTACTACTACTGTACAGAAATCAATCATATGAGTCTGTCTGTCTGTCTGTCTGTTTTCGACATAGAACTTTGCACAAATGTGCGGAAGTTCAAGTCGCCACATTCCGTGTAGCACGCGAAGCAAGAGAAGAAAGTACATGAAAAGCATAATAGAAACAGTGAGGAGAGGTGTGAGACAAAGGAGAATAAAGAATAACAAAACAGTTTCATTGGAGATCATAAGTCATATGAGTTCGGCTATGAAAGATATTCAAAAAGAATTTAATACAGACAAGAAAATCCCAATTTAGACATTTCGAAGACAAAAGGATTAAGCGAAGAAATATCTAGTTTTGAATTAGATCCACATAGACAGTGAGTATAGAATTGATGTTATTAAAGCATTTGATCAAGTTATTTGTCACATTCCGATTAATACTGATTTTTTTCGCTTTACGAGTTCGTCCTCTACGCACAACTGAAACTATCAGAATTCATCTGAAGAAGCCAAATTTGTGTGTCCAGAACAAATCCATGCAGTCAACTGCCTTACGCTGATCATGGTCACATGAATGTAAAAACCAGACCACCTCGCCCTCCTCCTCCTAAGCCTTTTTTACAAGCTATCATTGTCCAAACATATATATTTCTAACTTCATCTATAAATGCTTATTACGCAATTAAACACGAAAACCATTTGATTCTTAATTAACCGTCATTTCACACACATTTATTCCCCTGTGTGAATTTGAATAAAGCACAGTTTTTGCAGAATAAATTAGTACCATTATTGTTTATTTAGTTGGCTTCTCATCAGCTGTTTACAGCCCAAAGACATTATTATTTAGTATATCTATAGAAACAATTTTAACATTCTTATATATACACAGGAAGTTCATCCTTAAACACAAAAATCAATATAGGCATACAATGCTAATAGTAATAATAAACACTTCATCCCAAACAATAATGATCATATACAATGGAATATTCTGGCGTTACATAATCAAATGAAATGAAAGAGAGGATGAAAACATCCAGTTACCAGACAGGGCAAGGAAAGACTGATAACCGCCTCTTTGTGAACACGGAAATCGAGTCTGAGGCGCTTGATGGAGATAGCTTCGATAAACTTAAGAAGAATTGATTTCTTCTGCGCATTGATAATTTTGAACGATCTTGCAACGTCCACCTCATGACCCGTATCATGGAGATGGCTGGCGATGGCATTGTTTAAAACATTTATTCCCTTGAGACATAGGCTTTTCGATACATGTTCAGAAAATCGGAGGTATGCCCTTCTTTATGTTCTTCCAATGTAACTGCTCACTCCGATACACGTAAATTTGTATACGCAGTGGCAGTTAACATGAGAAGGATATCTGTCGACTTTTGATTGCGCCAAAGAGCAGGTTATTCGATAGACAAAACATAAATTTTTCCTCTAATTTCCCTGTAGAGCATATTTCCCTGGCTGTATAGTAAAGAGTCTTGACTAGTGCTCATTTAAAGCTATTTGGACAAACATTATTAAAGTGTAGGTATTGTTCTTTCCATGCAGGTTTTCGGTAAAATTCACCTCTGGAGACTACCATCTCCTAGGCGTTGTACTGCAATTTCAAGGAAATGGAACTTCCCGTGCTTTTCATGTTCCATAGTAAATTCAATATTTGTATGTACGTCGTTGAATAATCCGAGTTGATTGAAAGCATAATTTTCATTGTTGCACACTAAAAATGTGTCATCGACATATTGACAAAAAGAAGTCCATTTGTCCATTACATGCTCCAACTTTGTTTTCTCAAAGTTGCACATGAAGACATCTGCTAAAATAGGGCTTATTAGACTTCTGATAGCTACACCATCTATTTGGAGGTAGAGAGTACCGTCAATTTGGAATAGCACATCCATGGTACACATTAACAGTAGACGTTTGAATTATGACTCTGGTAGTGGGAGAAGATTAGACTGCCGACAAATGATCTCAATAGTTTCATTGATTAGAATCATTGTGAACAAGGAGGTTGCATCAAAAGACGCCATGAAACGTTCATGTGATTCACGCTTTCGGCGAAATGAAATGAGTCTCTCATGGTGTGCACAGCTAATAGTTAACGAATAGGTTCCAACTTCTCCGCAAGCCAACGAAGCCAACCTTATGATGGGATGAGTTGACCATCGAAAGTATAGGTAAGAAAAGCAATACCTTGAGAATGGCTATCCACCACGCTTTATAGACAAACACATAAAGCCGAAAATCAAAAAAGAACTCGTCTCTGTGCCGAAGAAGATGCTATACATACATGAATGTGGCGTTCAAAGGCGACCTTCTGACCGAATTCCCAAAGAGAAGAATATCTAACGCCCTGAAAAGAACATTCTCTGCTGCATTATGATTGGTATTCTCAAGCCACCCATTGTCCTTCAACAACTGCAAAGATAGACTATCGCATTTGACCATTCCTCCCCTTATTTTTCTAAAATTGGCCATTATGCAATCCACTTGTCATAATCCCTTCCACCCTTGATTAATTGTTACCCCTTGAATTATTGTTAACAAACTTACCGCCACTAGGTTGGGGGAATTTTTTTAGTTATATTAAAAATGCTATACATACTACAGTAGAGTCAGTGATGAGGATCTAATTGAAAAATGAATATTTCTTCACTCAATACCTTCTGTTTAATATAACTGATTAAAGCAGGTGGCAAAGCGGTTAGGACGCTCGCCGACCATGCACATGGTCCAGGGTTCAATCCCCGGCCGGCGCACTCCTGTACCTCGCTAAACCAGAAATAATGCTGGTAAAGGGGAAATGTTGGACATGGGGCAAGCAACTCCATCCTGTAAAAATAAACATTGCCACAGAAACTTCAAGCCACCAGCCTGAAGCCCTATGTTCCACTGGGAACGTGAAAAGAAAAAAGCAGATGGCAGTGAATGCTTAAAGGCATTCTAAATTGAAAACGCCTAATGTCTGTCACTATCCAGTATGTGCAAAACAAGTGTCCTCTACTAATAAACTCAAACAATCAACCATTATTTATCATTTTTTTTTTGGGTTACAGCTTGATTCCAAACTGTATTTTTGGTACAAGTATGGAATTTTCAGCATGGATATCGGTAGCCCAAATTTTGCAGGCCGATCATAGATATCGGGTGTGCGTCGGCAGGGGATCGAACCTCGGACCATGTGCATGGTCAGTGAGAGTCCTAACCACTGTACCACCGACGCACACTTAAAACGAATGTACTGTCACTGTTTTTTCATTCCTCTCAAACATAACGCGCCCAGTCAGTTTACCAATAGCTGTCTGAACCTGTCGGATGGGAATAGTTGACTTCTTTTTGTAGTAGTGTGATGTCATCCATAAAGGAGTTCATGGCTGACATTGATTGACGAGGAACAACAGTGTCAGGATGAACTTCAGGGGTAGGACATCCCCCGCTCCCTGTCAGTCTTAGGCAATTTAACCGTAGGGACTCCCTTAGCAGATTTATCAGGATACTTCTTAAGGTATTATTCCACAGTATATGAACGCATACCTAACGCGCCTCTACGAAGTTTATAAAGTATACTGACTGCTAACTTTAAATAGCTATTTCGCCAGTCAAGTAGTAGGACATGTCGGGCATTTTTTTAAAAAGTTGATCCAGGTCAGAAATATGATTTTGTACAAAACGGATTGGGAAATGAATTCCGCAAGACACGTTTCTTTGTATATGGGATGCGTCAGCCAGGTGTACCTATATCCATAGTTAGTGAGTGGTGAGTGAGTGAGCGGTGTGGTTGTTCAGCAGAGATTCCAGTCTAGCCTGCACCAATCTCCTCAAACACCACAGTACTGTTCAGTAGGCCACACTGGATGACGAGATCCACCTCTTTTGCAATCAGTCAGTATCTGTCCCGTCACGTTTGGCTTCTTTAAATCCCTCTCTGCAAACCTTACCCACAAAAACAAATAGCACAAAGACAAAAAATGAAACAAAATAGAAAAAGCTACAACTATACTAACCACACTCGGTTCTAAGATGGCATATAATTTCAGCAATTGTGGAGCTAAATTTGCAGAAACTTGTTGACTTGTTATCCAATCATGAACCACTGAGAGAAGACGTCGTCGGCCATATTCTTCGCTGACGTCAAGTAAACCTCCAATAATTAAGATTTGTTCTACAATACATTCTTCATCAAACACCTTGACATCTTTTTGCTGATCAGCTGCAGATTGTGTGAATTTGTCTACAATACTATAAAGAAAGATAAAATTGAGCGTGAAATGATTTAGAGATTCTCTCAATCCTGTAGTTGACAAAGTCTGCTTCCGAGCTAGTTGGTTAGTGAGTTGGTTTAAATGCCATTTTAATTTAACCTATATTAAAAATCCTACGAAGGGCTTTTGATGGTTCTTTTTTACAGTAGTAATGTTGTGGTGAGAGATGGCTACTAGCCAAAATTGGTAGACAGTATTTTACGTCAATGTTTGTGTCCCCAATATATTTCTCACGACATATAGATGATCTGACATTCAAGAAATAGCCACAAACAGATGAAAGATTAACTTTCAGTGAGAAACAACCAGTCAGAAGACTGTGTTTTTGATTGCTTAAATAATCTATAACAATGTACATGAAAATATATAAATATGTGTTGATTTCCTTAATAAATGATCTGTTGCCAGACTCTTGCCTTCTGTCGCTACATTTGGTATCGCTGCCTGTCGCGAAATGAAAGTCCCATGGCCTGCAGCTTTTGAAGAAGGAAATATATGGATCTTCTTGAGGGACTTCGAAGCTATTGCAGAGTTGAATGGCGTGCAAGAGCCATCAGCGAAGACGCTTTCACTTTGGACGCTACTGAGAGATCGGGCGAAGGCAGCATATGATAGTCTGAGGCAAACAGAAGGGCAAGCAACTTGGAAGTCAGTGGTTGAACGCTTGAAGCAGGAGTTTGACAGCCCGATGGACAGACAGCGGGCAATACAGCAGTTTCGCACCACGAAGCTGGGAGTTGACGGTGATCCTCACGTATTGGCACTGACCCTGACAAGCCTACTGCGTCATCATCAGTGTGCACGCAGGAACACACAGTACTGTCCAATACTTCCTGATGATTTCACTGCTTATGTAATAAAAGAGTAATTACGCGTTAATGAACGCACACACACACACATGCACACACTGACAACTTACTTCTTAACAAAATCAACATAAATACAAACTGTCGGTTGTATTAAATCAGCTATCTGTTCAACAGGATTCTGATCATCAACTTCATCGTTTTCATGAAGTACCACTGCTCCCATACTACTGTTAACACGTAATTCATTGACTTCTGCCTCTTTCTTACGTATAAATTGAATTAATGCTCTCCAGAAGAATGCTGAATCTGGTGTAAGACAATCTGATTTTAATACATGACTAAAATAAAGAAACGAAGAAAAGAGGCAGGCATTTAAAAACAAAATAATAAGACGAATAATAGTAATACGAATGATAGTAGTAGTAGTAGTCTGTGATTGACTGAATTTTCCAGCGTAGAACTAACTTGACACACAAGTACAACAGTTCAAGCTTTCACTCACTTCATCCAACATCATATGAAGACAGAGAAACAAGTCAAAAGAAATGTACCGGAGAACAAAAAAGCAAAATGAAAATGAGGAACTAATGGATATAGGGAGTTACGAAGAGTTTCGAGACATTATCACCAACAACTTGTTCTTAGCATCCCAGTAGTCTACACCCCTCAGGTGACTGGCTTACACTAAAATCAAAGATTTCGTGGATTCAAAGCAGGTTTTAATTTGACCACTCACTTCCAAAACTCTTTTCCAACCTGATCCGGTGTTGGTTGACAATGCTTGTCAAAAAAAGGAGATGGTGTGTCAAGAGTAAAACGTGTCCTAGCCATCATCATCAATTGGTGTAACTTCACAATCTCATCGATCAACTTGCTCACCTTACCTGATTCTCTACACCTACTCACTATACAATACCTTTGAAAACAAGAGATAGAACGTATACATCTGTGATGAAAGACAACTGGTCTATTCATACCTTCCACTTTCAATGGCCAAGAAGCACAGAGTGAACAGCTGCGCAGTACATACATCTGACTGATAGACGAATATAATGTCCACGTCAAAGATGATGGAGAGATGTCAGTTAATGCATTCTACAACGATTTTCCAACTTAGAATCGTCAACCTGACAAGGGTTGCAGGTGTACCGGTGCAGGTCCTGCAATCCTTCAAAGGTAGTACGTCGAGGCATGGTTGACGATAAATAGTTTATTATCTGTAAATACGTATTTACTGTATAAATTCAGTTGTTATCTGGTTTTATCCTGTTCATTTGTTATTCCCGTATCCTATAAACCATGTTATGTCATGTGATTACTTCTGAAGTAGTTTCGAGTCTACTGCAATTTACGCCGGGGAGGATTGAGCTGAAGGTGGGGTGATAGAGAGATGGAGAAGCATCCAAAACATTCATAAGGACAACAATTGCTTGTGGTATTGTCAATTGAGAGAGAAGAGGTTTTTCGACCACGATTCCACACACCGAGGAGAGGGAGAAAGCGCACCGGTGTGATACGAGTATGTCTGTTGTGTAGTGCCGGTTGACCCAGGTTCGCTATCGGCAATCAAGTCAGACTCCATCGATCGCGACGGAAAAAAGGGATGGTCCTCTTTTGCCGGGGAATGTCAGTGCTGACGAACATCGAATTGTTAGCATGTTTAAACTGGTGTCCATAGTGGTGGGAGACAAGAAGGTTTTGATTGCTTAATCGTGTTACTGATTGGCAGAAGATTGGGAAAATACTATCATAAGTATTGTTGCACGTCATATTCACGTTTATTTACAGGCTTCGGCACTGATTAAGCATTGTAAATCTTTTCCGTTATTGGTTGAAGAATAAACAGTTGTACTGCTCAACCGTTTTGTATTGTTCTGCGAATTAGGCTTATTCTTCTGAAACCAGAGATAGTTCCAGGATCTCTGCGATCCGGATATTTGTACACCATATATAAAACTTTTGTACGCAAAATGAGATTCCGTCAGCAATTAGTCAACCTATTAAGGCTGATACAATATCCCAAATAAGTGAATTGATCAACACTCTCTGCTACTTCACTTCCTATCTTTATAAAACAAGGAGCCGATACAGACAAGTCCTGTGGCATCACCTTACACTAAACGGAAGCAAGTCGCATGCTAAACATCCGAAGATTTCTCCTCAATGTCTTCATAAGCGTCTTTACCTAGAGGGACTATATCATCAACATAATCTAATTCGATGAAATCCTTGTTCCCTAGTAACAAGTCAATCTCTAAATCGGTAAAGTCAGCAACGGAAATAAATATAACTACACGGAAAATTATGAGGACTTAGTACATCTGGTACATAACAAAGAGTGAACGCGTCCGCGTACGACTGTGAGACATATCACCAATATAAGAACAAAAAGTTTTGTGTGCACACACACACAAATAATTACACATAAATGCGGTTGTTGAGTGAATTAATTCGCCGAAAGGAGACTATTCGCTGAACTTTTTGTTCTTATATTCATGTCTGGGTATTTTCCGTGAATATCACCGATAATGGCAAGCCACTGTTTCTTAGCGTCTCAAGGATTCCGACCAACCAACTAGCCAGTTTGCACTTCTCAACATGGCTGAAACTAACAGTAAAAGATTTCATGTATCGAGATCTCACCACATTTTCCACGGAATATTACACAGTAGTGAAACAATATCAGTTACTACAAACTTAAGAGACACTTTTTTTCCTTCACATTCTCAGTGGAACATAGGGCTTCAAGCTTGTGGCTTGAAGTTTCTGTAGAAGTGTTTATTTTTACAGGATGGGGTTGCTAGCCTCATGCCCAACCTTTCCTCTTTACCAGCATTATTTCTGGTTTAGCGAGGTATAGGAGTGCGTCCGTGGCCGGGGATCGAACCCCGGACCATGTGCATGGTCGGTGAGCGTCCTAACCGCTGTGCCACTGACGCACAACAGAAACTTACTAATTGTATTTTCATTTGACAAACATAATGTACACACGCATACAAAATAACCATATATACTTGCAACTGTACAGCTGTGAAAATGAATTCAGACACCCAAAAGAGACTCTTCGCTGAACTACTGGTCTTCTTTCTATGAATATTGAAATAATACAGAAAAAAGATTTCAGAAATCACAAAGAATGTCTAATATCATCAGAAGCACTTCATATTAAATGGAATCCGAATTGTCTGATGAATAGGAATGATGGAGTACAACAGAATTTGACGTGATTACAACACCCCTTCCCTCTCTCATGAAAAGACAAAATCAACACGAATATGATAGGCAATTTCATTATGTAAACACACGCTGCTTTTATAACCCTACACACTTATCAAATCCAACAGACATCTACACCTGGTTTTGTTATCTTTGCACCAACTGACCAACTTGACAACAACATAAAAATTACCTCATGTTACAGAACGATGATTAAGTTTGCTATAAATAAGCTGAGATTTTTGTAAATTCCGGTTTAATATTACTACTTTGATAAAGCCATTAGCAGCGTTAAATAAGCAAAACACCAGTTATAAACAACAAAGAGACACATACCCACACATAAAGGCAGATATAAAGAAAGCTGCAAAGCAGGTATAATGAACGAAGTGAAGTTAGAAATTATAATTACAACTAATAACAGCAATGAAAATTTAAATGGATCTGGGATGGGAGGAGATCAGTCACAGACAGTGAATGCATTTCGATTATTGTGAACGATTTTGAACCGCATTATCAACAGTCTCAAACAGACAGTCAACAGATACACTGACTGACGACATGTTTTCATCTGATAACACTCTGAGAAGAAACTGACAGAATTTAATTGGTCTCTGAACTTCAATAAAAATTTACTGATAGACAGAAGACGGGAATAACTTCATTTCTGATTAACGCAGCGTTTATCAGCATTTTCGAGCTCCTCAAAGTAGACCTAAATGCCCTCCACTAGCCCATTTGTAATTCTTTCTTTGTCACACTTTTGCTTATTGTCGTTCTTTTAAATCTTTTTTTGTCTTTTGTGTGCTGTACGGTGTGGCAACTCGAACTTTGCACTTCTGTGCAAAGTTATATGCTGAAACCAGTCAATCAGTCAATCCGTTTCTAAGTGCCAGACATTCGCATTCACCGTTTCATTTTTGTGACGAACACTTCCACTGCTTGATGATAAGATTTAACTGAAACCATAAGATATTGTTGTCAGTCTCCTCGGAATGTTCCCATAGCCTCTGCCAGGTAAGTTGTGTTATTCACTATCTTCAGATAACCCGAGTATTCCTCATGAAAGTGGAAGGATGGATGCAAACCCTTGATACTTACAACCGGATTAATGGAAAAGCAGATTCACCTAATGGAGCTGATAAACCCTGATTCAAAGCCTATGGTGGACATGACCTCTAAAATGCGAAAGGATCGAATAGTGTGAATCAACTTGTTTTGGTCATCGGTAACTATGAGAATGCAGCTCCACTATCTTATAGATACGACTCAGTGATTGCTCCCTTGATACAACCGCAAACCGAAGTTTGGACATCGGGGCAGTCTCTCAACCCTCGCATAAACTATGAGGAAATTTTGTGTGGCGCATCCCTTCGTGCCAATGATGCGCCAATTAGGTGTTTTAATAATAATACATCTAAAAACTCACAAAGGAAACTGTATACAAACATTATTCAAAAGAGATAAAACCTACACTGGAACACTCCAGTCTGAAGACGAATAAAAGAGAAATATGTTTAAGTGTTGGTTTGGAGGGGTTTGATTTGATTGATTACAGGATTTCATCATGAGCTAAAATTAGTTAGAGGATCACTGGAGTTTTAACTTCTGCCAATTCATGAGCCATTGGATAGGGCCCCAGTGACTTAATGATCTATGAGCTCGCCTGGTAAATTGAAGCTCCTAGGTTCAAATCTCGGTGAGCGAGTGCTGATGAGGAGCCTCACACAAGAGGGACGAAACAACTTTCTAGTAATCCCGGGTTTTTCAATGGCTAACTAACCAATGTCAGCTTATGATAGAATCCCGTAAGAAATATATTTATTCACTGTCACTGGTAAAACTGGATAGCTTCATAACTTCATCAAAAAGTAAGTCTAAATTCAAATCGAGCTGCCAGCGAAAAGAACCGTCTTCAGAAAAACGAAAGTTCGTCCGACTATATGTGCATTTGAAGAATATTTTCGAAATAACACCTGGAATAGCAAAAATATTCGGAATATACATCACAAACACATAAGAAGACACACCGGCCAACGTAATCACTATTTATGCAAATCGACAGACCCACCTAAAAGTAAAAGAAGCTACGATCAAGATGACTTGTGATAGGCGATATTATATGGGTCAAAATGAGCGTCCCCTTAGACTCTCAATTCAAGCAAATAAAAACTGGCTATCAAAAAAACACGATATGTATTCCTCAATCATTTAAGGCATACAGACAACTAATGTGGACATCAACTTGACTGGTAAAATTATAGGAATTTTAAACAATGGAAATACCACGAAAAATGACAGGGAATTCTTAAAAAAGCCTACGAGTATTCACTCAGACGAATAAGTGATTAACAGACATATATTATTATAGATGAAGTATATCAACTAACAGAGAATAGGCCGTATGACAACCAAAATTGAATACCAGACAATCACGACAAAAGTTGTCACGAGATACCTAATTATGTTATTCCTGGAGGGCGAATTCACACATTGAAGACTGTGTGATGTTCTCTTGAAAGACAGACAATGAAACTTTCGCAATTAAATCACCACTATGCAGCTCAATGTGAAAGTAACCATATCAATAAAAACAATATGATGAATACTTACAGGAGACATTAAAAACAGTTAGTTAGTCGGTTGACTTACTCAGAAGTTAAATAGGCAGCAGCCCAAGTTTGTACAACTTTAAGCAACTCATCCAAGGATAGAATATCAAATAGATTGTCTAACACTTTTTGACATGTCTCTGCTTCACATTCTGGATCTAGACGATGTAACAATAGGATTGGATCTCTATTTGAAGCATTGAACCAAGATAAAATTAGTGCTTTCGTGGCTTTACGAACATCCTCTGAAGAATGAGAAAAGACAGAAAGACGGATCTTTGCATCAAGGTACCGAAAATAATCCCGTTATTAAGTGAATAAGAAAAAGAACACGTAAGTTGTAACTTCCCTTCAAAGCTGTACAGGTACTTATCTAGAGGTTTATGCATGTACAATGTTAATTGACAACACAAAGATAATAGGTTATATTGTCCGTTAGTAACAACGATAAACTACAGTCCAATCATGAACTGATGCAGCAGCTAAAGAGATGCATTGAAATCATATTAATATATGTGTAAAACTTAAGCACTGTGGTAGTTAGTAATTCCATATTAATTTGTTTATTAGATGTATCACACAGTGAAACAGTATTATTTACTGGATGACGTTTCGAACAAAATTTATTGTTCATAGTCATTTCATCAATTATAATCACACGACCTTGAAACTTGAGTTACATAGTATTCCTTGTCTTCTCCTATATGTCGTAGGGGTAGTAGAATTTTCCAGATATCTGGGACATGTGATGAATCATTCCTATAACACGTATTCTTTTCAGTTGATTCGATAAACAAAGCCTCTGTTGTCAATCTCTCCCTCCACTCTGTGACATTAGATTTTAAAACTGTCATTCTATCCCAGAAGCTTTGTTTATCCAATCAATTCCAAATACGTGTAATAGGGATGATTCAACACCTGTCCCAGATATCTGGAAATTTCTACTACTATTACGACAAATAGGAGAGGACAAAGAAAACTATAAAACTCAAGTTTCGAAGTCATGTGATTATAATTGATGACATGATTATGAACAATGAATAAATTTTGTTCGGAACTTTGTCATCCAGTAAATAATACTGTTTCACTGTGTGGTACATCTCATAAACAAACTAATATGGAAGCACCAAAATTCACCAGGCAGCACTAGACAACTGACTCATCTTTCTAGTATGGCAATTTTCATCAGCACGCACCCGTCGGGGTTCTAACCTAGAACCAGGCGAACTCGTAGACCATCAGGCCACTGGGACCAGATCCAATAGCCCATGACTTCCAACTTCTGCCAACTTGCGATATATATATATATATATATATATATGGCGCAACAACCAGCTGATGCCATCATGACCAACCCTATAACCAATCAAATCCCTGCACACATTTAAATAAATCAAAGTGTATGAGAAAGAACAATGTGTGAATAACCTTGCGTAATCGAGATATAGGCGACAACTTACCAACTACATGATGGAGAATCCCTTGGTAATAAACGATAGGAAATAAGGGTTGAAAATAGTCAGTAAAAGAGACTGAATAAGACCCTATGTGAACACAAAGTTCTGCCACTTCCTTATGGAATAGTTAGAGCTTCAGTTGCATGATGAAGATTTAAGCTGCATTTCCACGCCTCATCTTTCCCAAAAATGCACCTGTTCACCAAAAACGTCAAAGACATCCAGTTCTAAAGGGAATGCACACTTAGCTAACTTTTACAATATTTTACCATAAGCAGAAGCAGAAACTTCATCACCCCTCTTACAACCAGAATATCGCACCGAAGATCCATTGAGTAAAAGAACTGGAATCATTCAGAAGTATTCAAGTCATCGACTGATATGTATCCACATGATGTGTGTTTTGTTTTTGACAGCCTGTTATATTTTGCTATGTGTATGTGGACCGATATTTCATTATAACTGACAATATGTTTCTGTCTGTCCACTAACTAAATAAACATGTATGACCTTGTTGTCATGTGACATCACAACCAATCATGTTAAGACTGTCTTATTGGTTCATGTGTATTAGCCATTTTCACATATACTTTTGTATTAGACACTTGTTTACTTTCTTGTGTTCACACGCATTTCGTACACTCGTACCCTTCCACTCACACACTTGTGTGACATTTATTTTCCTTGTCTGGGAAATACAAGTATCATCGTAAACCTGGTGGTCTTGTGATTTCCCTCTTTCCGCGTCAGGACTATTAACTACTCGACAAGTACATAACATCGACAAACACTTAATGCGAAAGACGGATACTCCGTGAAACCTGAATATACCGGAGAATTAACTACTTGTAGATCTGAAATTTTGTAAACACCTACTAGCATGGGTGTAGAAAAGACAAAAGAGAACAGTCGACAGATCAATTCTGGAGTACACTATTACTTCTGATCATGCAGCATACGCAGAATTTTCATCGCCATATACATATATATACTGGATGACGATGTTTCGAACACAATTTATTGATCGTCAACGGCCAACAGTATTTCAGTTAACATAGACAGCACCCTCAGTACTAAAACACACGAGATTATACCAGAACCAGTATATGACAATGAAATATTCACAGGTCTATTAAAGACAATAGTCATCATAGGTGTTAATATTACATACAATAACACAAACGACAGAACTGTGAAATAAATAAATCTTACCTGATCTATCTGATAAACCGTCTTGTAGGATACGTATACGCTTGGCAATTGATAAAGGTCGTATGATACTTCTATCCGCTAGTATTTTATATGCAGTACGACGTACATTATCCGCTACATCACGACATCGTTCAAGTAGATGGCCTAATGTTCGTGTTGTCAATACCATTGCAGCTGCAGCAGCACGTCTCACTTCAGCTGTTGGATCATGTCGAGTAAGCCACATGAAAGCTTCTACTACATTACACTGTGCATCATTAGGATCTTGCATACGTGATATAGCTTTAATAGCTTCAACACGTACAGAAACCTATTGAAAGTTAAAGTGAACATTAATATATTATATGTAGTAGACGTTATGCTAAATGACAGCAATATGAGTAAAAATAAACATAATGCACTAATGGTAATTGAATCAGAGTTTTTTAAAAATTTGCCCACCTCATGCTTAACAAGGCGGAACATTTTCTTTACATTCAATTCTATGCTGTAATCTTTACCAGGCTTAATGAAGGCCACCATAAGCTTTCATTTTCCACCCTTATACATGATCTCTTCTATATCACCCTCGAACTCGTGTTCAACACATCGTCCGCTTTCCACTAGGCTTCCTCACGAAAGCTTGGCTTCCATGTGATGTCACTCCTAAGTCACTGACAAAATAATCTTTAGAACACCTTGAGAAGAAATCTCCTAATGTTTGACATGCGAATAAGAAAACTGAACATTGTGACCACGTTAACTAACCTTCACATCATAAACACGACGTAGTAACACATCTTGTAGTTTTGTATAGATTTCACCAGGTAATATTCCGTTATCACCGATACCATCTAATAATTTGTGAATGATTTGCATACATCGAAATCGTACAGCAGGATTTGGACATTCATTGTACTATGAGCCAAACAAAAAAAATAATTACATAAACAGATAAAGTTGAATTTCAAGAGTATTAATATAAATCAAATCAGTATATATGATGAATCCTGATCAATGATTGATTGATGCTGGAGAGACAAAACGGAGGTTCTCGGTGCAAAATCCACCCCCCCCCCTCAACTGGGAAGAAGCTGTATTCAAGATTCAGGAAAAAACAAATGTATGTGGACTTTTAAATTGCAATGCTACGCATCATCACTAACGAACAAAATACATAGAACGGCAGTCAAACCTTTACTATTAATTTCATGGAATTAGAAATGAGGCCTCTAATACCGTTGACCGTGAAGTAATTGGGGGGGGACTATTTCAAAACTACGGACTGTTCCATACTTTCATAAACCTTAGTCAACAGCTATGTGGCGATGCCACGTGACACAACAGAAAGCTCAGCGGAGCCTTTGAAGTAAAAACAGGAGTAATACAGGGCTGTCTATTATCACCAATGATATTCTTGATTGTGGTGGATTGGATCCTGAAACAGATCGCGAGGAAAGATATGACAAGTATATGTTGGAGTGACAAGATGGCCCAAGGAGATCTAGAATTCACGACTTATGTTTAGTGCCACACAAACTCAGTTATACAAGCGAAAACCAACAAAAGGACAGAGATGGGAAAACAGAACTTCACGTTAAGATAGAGAAGATGGCAGTGAAGACACCTAGTCAACAAAACGATAAGCACCAATAACCATCACCAACGGGAAGTGTCTAAAGGAATTCACCTACTGCTTCGTCTACAAATAAACATCGGGATTTAAGTGTCAGTGCATATAATATAGGCGGAATACCACTCCCATCACCAGTTCAAATACATACAGATCGGAATATCATAGTAAGTCATGACCTAAAAAACCACGACATCGAGTGGTGGCAGCTCACAGTTTTAGATATTCATGAGCAATACGTGGGGTCTTTATCAGAATCACCAGTGAAATTTTCGCTAATTCATATCCATCTGTGATGAGATCAAAACTAGAAAACTGTAATATTCAGCACCCGTATCAAAAGCGACTCCCTTAGTTTACAAAACACTTCAAGGAAAGGTCATATGCACAGTTGCTGGTATGACTAATTTATCATACGAGGAAAGAATCTATTTTCGATATCGTACGTTAGGCATAAATGAGAGGTCTCTCCATGATGTTTAAAATCCTAGGCTAAGCAACGGTTATGTACCTGATGTCTCCCCTTTTCTCGTTCCCACCAGGGTGTATAGCAGAAGAGATGAAAAATGAATTGCCGTTTCTGTTAGAAGAAGTGGTGTCTATGACCACAACCGAATCGTTTAAGGAGGGAATTGGACAAGGACAGTTATTTATTTAAAAAAGGATTAAAACAGGTCTGGGAGAATCTATTCTCACAAAACAAATTTGAATTATAACCTTAATTTTGCTTAATTTGCATTCGCATATGAGACAACTATATATATATATATATATATATATATATATAGTTGATACTTCTAGTGTTTACTACCACAGAAAAACTCCCTGACGAATTTTTAGGCCGGAAAAACAGTATCTAAGTGCATTCCAGAAATTGATGGAAGATGACACAGTGAACGATGTGCACTGGCTAACAAACAAAGCCTGAGGGAAGATAGACTATAGCAGACACCAAATGATCTTGGAAAAACAATCACGTCACTCATGAGTGCGGCCTAATTTTTCTTCAAGAGCTTTCTGCTGAACTCATTTCAACGTCTACGGGCAGCGCCAGTGGTTAGGTTTTGAATTATATTAGGGTTAGGAGTCATAGTCGTATGTCAGATTGAGGTCATGAGTTACGTTTAGGATCAGGCGTTAAGATGACGCAGAATTGCCTCATTAAATAGTCCAGCCATTCAAATATACAATTTATCAACAAACTCATGATTTTAGACATTCTTGTATTCGGATTGTTCGTTCAAGGTTTTTAGGTAGTTGACAGTTTATCCTCAGAGAGGCTTGTTCTTATTTTGTCAGTTATCAAATGATCAGAAAAGCCAGGACGGTGCCGCTTGACTAACGAGTCATGAATTTGAACCCTCGTTACAAATGCAACCATTAAGGCAAACAAGTATTACTAGCCATGCTACATAGGCGTAGTCAATAACCACCTACATGTAAATGCAAATGAGTTTTAGTGACACTACTAAGAATGCCGACACACCAACATATTTTAGCTTAGATTATCAAATATAAATCTCAAGCTCAGTGGCTAGTAGGTAAATGTGCCGAAAGCGCAGCAACAAGTCGTGTTCGGTAGGGCCCACATCAAGGTTGTTCAGTGGATACTCACCAAGAAAGGCTGGTTGGCATTGGTGGAGTTGTATCATATGAATTAAAAGAAGATAGAATCACCGGGTCACTGAATTCCAGCCCATTTGGTTAAATGGTATACGAACTTAGCCCTGTGACCTGAATATCGTGGGAGGGGTCCCAAACAGCTATTCACAGCTCACTGCTGGTTTTTTATGATCCCCCCAAGCGAGATTGGTTCGAGACGAAATCTACATTGAGAATATATGACAGGTTTGTGAACAACAATTTAACAAAATCAGGGGTAAACAAGGTTAACTTACTTTAATGCAGAATATTATAAGCCTTAGTAAGATACGATTATGTATGGTATTTAGAACGCCATCCTCATTCGAATCTTTTCCACAAAATAATGCAAACTTTGTAATGAAATCAACTGTTCGTTCACGGTATAACGACCGTTCAGAAGACACCAAACTGTATCGACAAAGCTCAAGGAAATCATCAGCAAACACTGAGAAACGTGTCTAAGATTTTAAAAAGAGGAACAAAAAGTGACACCTTGACAACATAATGAACAAAAAGTCGAACATTTGAGCTCATCTAGAGAAACACACTTGTGAAACAATGGAGTCTATAAGAACATAGGTTGCGGATAGTACTCATCGGAGCGAAGTTAGAATGTAGCGATAGAACTAGCCAACTACGCGCGTGGTCCAGGGTTCAATTTCCGGACGACTCACTCCTTTACCTCGCTAAGCCAGTAATAAGCTTGGTAAACAGGGAAGGTTGGGCATGAGGCCAGTTACCCAATGCCGTAAAAAATAAACACCAACACTACTGAAACATCAAGTTTCAAGCTTGAAGCCCCACATTCCATGGAGAGGGTTAAGGAATGAAAGACCTAAGGTAAATGATGTCCAACAAAACACAGTTGTTGCGAATGGTAAAACTATATCAAATTATGCCTTGTGATATGGATTTGCCTAGAGTTCCATGCAGACAGTGTACAACTGCGTGAACAGTGGAGTTACAAAAAACATTACGCACACGCACAAGTAGATTAAGCAAACAGTCAGGGATCCCAACCAATTCTAAAACACAATAACTGATTGCCATCATTCTAAAAATATGCAATTTTTATTGCTACTTATTTTTGATTAGTTGTTCCATATGTACGGTAGTGTATTTCGGGATGGGTGTTGCATGTTATGGCATATCAGACACACAAGCTATGCTTGTATACTTTAACTGTGTCAGCTACTGTGATGATATAGCACTCAATCTTGAGAGTTAATAAATATTTCCAATTCAAGTCGATTATTTTTTACTTTAAAATGATAGTAGTAGCTTGTTTTTAAAAAAAAAACCTATCAAGATTCAACTCCCCTGGAATTCCTTTCTCTCAATTCGTGTAAAAATCACTTTTTTACTTTTATACATAAGTATTCTGATAAGGCAAGTACCTTTTAGCCTGCAGTTTACGACCTCATCTTACCCTAATTAAAGTTCAAAAGATACGTAGGATACCTTGCTCAACTTCCATATCAAATACAGTTGCTAGTGACTTACGTTATCATAGATATTCTTCAGCTTAACGCAAAGACGATCATGAGCTAAGTGGTTAAGTTGGCATTCTTCGAATACTTCCAGAATCTCTGGATGGGAATCAACAGCTGCCATTTTCCGAATTCAAACAGCCAACCACGGATGCAACTTTTCGTCCTTGACACGAACAAACAATTCTAGATCCTCACTTCAAAATATTCACTACAATATTCAGCGCTTGCTTATATAGCCAGGGCATTGATTTAAGCATAAGCTTATTTCTTCGTCAAAAACTTTCAAAAAGAGAGTTGTATTACCCCTTAACAAAAACTGAGAATTCACTTTTGAAAATATACAGTGGTTAGGATATTTTGATGGTTTTCATTGTTTAATGTTCCAAGCAATCTTTACCATGAAAATAAACACTAAGTTGTCTCATTTACCTTACGGGATAAACAAGGAGGTGTGGGACCTTACACTTCAACTGCCCCCGTCCCAAATAGAAACTACAAAAACATAAGCAGTGCTTAAGTGAGAGCTGACAAAATTCCTCTGTAGGCCAAAACGTTGGCATACACAGAGGTTGCTTCAAGCAGAGAATACCTTGGATAGGTCCTCACTATATTTCTTCGTCCAGCTGCAGCAGCTTGTGGGGAACAGCGCACCCGTCTTAAGCCAGGTCACTGGTCGTGCAGTATATTGACTCTTCTCTTGAACAGTTGGGACGCGCTGCTGACAGAATATTGAGGGACAGGCAACATACGTGAGGGTAGGTGAACCATGCATGCATGAGCATAGACTCAATAATCTCAGGATTCGTGGCCAAAGTTAGATCACTAAAAGGAGGACTGGCACAACATAGGTAGCAAAGGACAAAAGAGGCAGATAGACAAATAGGGAATATTCCAGGTCGGAAGGTAGGCAACCTGGATCAACTAGTCATTTCCGTCGGTGTATTGTAAGAGTGCGAGGACCAAGATCGCCAATTGATGTGCATACATTGCTTGATACTAGGTCTGACGCCACGTTATTTGACGACTAGCTATTCAAACATTATGGTATTGAAGTACCTGAACAATCCTTGTCAATGTAGTTGAAGATTGAACGGTCAATTCATGGTTGTTTGCTTAAACCCAACTTCCCTATATTTTCGCGGAGACATCGATACACCAGTCATCGTCTCATCGGTCGCTGTACAGAAAGAAGTCAGGCCAAAACTGTCAGAAACCTTAGTTAAAGCTTAATTTTAAAGTTGGCTATATATTGGTGTTACAATAAAGAATTCTCGAGTAGCCAATCGGTGTTTTGGTTTTGCGTCCGTTATTACTAAGCGTTTCTGAGAAACTTCGTGAGCGTGAGTCCCAGCGTAGCAAGAGCTGGGCATTGACGGTTTACGAGACGTGGCTGACAATCGTTGATATCGAATTTGGTGGGTTTTCTTAACACCAGGTCTTGCGAATTAATTTGGTTGTCAATGGAAGCTAAATGTGAAATTAGTGTCACCAAGTTCTGACTCCGAATTTTGTGACGATAGCGGTGCAGTAAAGAAGCCTGTAGTTGAGACTGGTAAGCCATTGTTGACGACACCACACTTTGTTCAGAGTAAGAGGATTACAGTTTCAGAGTCCACTTTTGACTCCACAAGTTTTCAAGGTATTACTAGTCAGAGTAAAAGTACAAAACCCTTAAGGATTTGTGAAGAAGAACCCAATTCATCCACTGCTGTTATTAAAGAGTTTGAAAATGATGAAGTCGGTCAAAAGAAAGGCGGTAAATCGAATACGTCTGACAATGGTCATGATAGAACACATTTATCTTTGGCTGATTATGATGAGATGAACGGAATGCTTACTTCTACTGAGGTGAACAAATGTCCTGTACAACTTGAACGTGAAGTAGAATTAAAGGCAGGTGCGGCTGCAGAAGGTATGTATACTCGTGAGACCGTCAGTGTAAATAATCAGCGTGTAGCCCACCTATCAACAGATGATAGTGCTAAACAGGAGCTAATCATAAAAGATAGCAGTGGGGGTAATCCTGAGGTTAGACAATCTTCTAAAGGCCGTACAAAAACAGCTTCTGATCCACAGCCAAGTTCATCAACTGGTATCAATCAGTCGTCGTTGATGTTGTCATCCACAATGAAAGAGAATTCCATGAAGTCAAGTGTCTTGAGCTGTGACTATGCTAGTATCACTCCGTTTGAAGGGACGAAAGTCATTGGTCCGTTTAGTGAAGATAAACCAACTGCGTATGAAAGTGTAATTGTTAAATTGACTTGCACGAATAAAGGCGTTTCAAGCTTCTATTTGAATGTTATCATCTTTGGTGTAAATTACTCTGTGCTTACGCTTGGTTGGTCAGATACGTCGTATGTTTGTTAGTTATCCACATTTCATGGTTCAATGTCATGGGCGTGTCACTCTTCAGAGTTGAGGATATAGCTGATAGAAGGGGGTCAGCAGATAAACTCTTCGACAATTTTCCAGCCCAGGGTGTCAACCTGTGAAGGGCTGTAGGCGTACTGGTGTAAGTCCTAAAATTCTTCAAGGATAGTAAGTCGAAGCGCAGTCCATCGTACTGAGTGTGTTATTTTCTACATATGTTCACATTGTATATACTGACTTGCTTTCATCTCTCATCTATCTGTTGGTTAATTTTGTTTGTGTCCCGACGTCTTCCACTTGGATGGCCCCCCCTCCGAGAAGGAATGTAGGCGTACTGCTGTAGGTCCTACTGTTCTTCAGAGGCAGCTCGTCAAGGCAGAATCCACAACATTTGATGTATTGATTGCAAATATATCTGTGTTAAGAAAATTGAATGGGTTCCATTTCATCCTATTGTTGGTTTATTTATAGTTGTCGCATTGTGTGTATCATTTTGTAATGTTATTGTAAGTACTTCTGGAGTCGTTTCTGGTCTTCTAATTATGTGAATGAATCGAGTAGTGCTAGATTCAGTGTATGCGATTTTATGCGTCAGGGAGGGGATTTTGCCAGAGTGATATGAAGCAACCTACACCCCGTGGACCAGATCAGTGGTGGTACTGTCGACAGAGAGCGTAGATTCCACGCGCCGGGGAGAGTGCGTCGGTTTGATGTGGTATGCTTGTCTGTGTGTTGGGATTTTTGTCTTGCTTTTCCGATTTAGCCTAGTCCCAGTTGGCCCAGGTTCCCGCGTTGGCAGTTCAGTTTCGGTTATCGGCGCTATGGACAAAAGGGATGGAACCTATTTTGCTGGGGAGTGTCAATGGAGGTGAACACTGAACTTTGGTTCATTGGCCTTGGTCGTCACTGGTGGGCAACTCGAGGGTGCGAATGGTTCGATCGTTTACAGGTTAGACGAAGACGAACGAAAATGAATAAAAACTTGTATTATTTTCCTCTTTAATTGCCAAACAATATAACCTCCTTCTTACAATACTGGTGTTTTGGAGTTAAAGTCGAAGAAAATACATAGTAATCATCGGTTCGGAGCGTCTTCGTAACATTAGTAACCTCTAAAAAAGTAGCGGACATATGTACGAAATGTCGATGCTCATAGGATTATTGGTGAAGTCATGATACCTGACCGAGAGTTGATTGACACAGATCTTCAAATGAAGAACATGCCATTGCCTGGTATCCACAACAAATGAAGACTAATTTTCGTGTGCAGTGTCTTAACAGATCAGAAAGCCGTCGAAGAGAGATTCGCAGGTAAATAGGACAGATATGCAAACAAGATGCTGATGCATTGGAAAATGGGAGGTTCCAAATTTAGAACCCATATACTATGCCTCATAAAAAGTGACGTCACAGAGGCGAAAAATGCAGTTTTATACCAGCCACTAACCAGTGATGGCATAATCATTTAGGTAGCCCATTAGAAAGTTAGCAGTATATACACTAGCAACTTAGCATCCAAGAACGCGTTCATAATTAAAGCCAAAGTATAGCAGTTTAAACAGCTTTAGTCGTTAATTTCAGCTTGTACATCACGTCCATGAGCCCCAAATTACCCAATCTTCGCCTTCGATATCCGAAAGAGTGGTTGTCATTTGGTGGTAAAGTTAAAACTATAACGTCCATCAGCTAGCAACGTATCTCAAATGTTCATTTATACACAAAAATTAAGGAACTCATATAGGTGATTCTCTTCGATTTCGTCAGTTTTGTCCGGCAAACAAAGTTCCAACATGTGATCTTACTACTTCTTCGTCGAACAACAGGATTTTATTGTAAGTCGGAATTCGTCAAGACCACAACTAAGAAAGAACCTTGAAAGTTTACATTTAGGTTAGCCGGTTGTTCATCTTTTATGTAGGCGATGAAGCACTCCTCAGAGAGCGTCGAAATCGTCTTATACTTTAAATATTCCCCCATCCTTTTCTTTTTACAACGATAAATTCTATGCTATTAATTTCACACAATTTACGTAACGTTTTTGTTTTATTCGATTTGCCTACTAATCCTATAATTGCACATCCTTTTTCAAGTTCTATCCCTAACATTACAGTTTTCCTCATGGTTAGGTGAATAAATTGCGATTCAATAATTAGAACGAGGTGTGGTTCCACACCAGCGATGAAGTGTTTGTACCCTGCTCACAGTGGTCCTCTCAAAGAGTCACTTCCTCAAATGGCAGGTTTTACCAGCTGAATCGGCACATGGCTCCTGTCTCCATGTGCAGGTTGAGTTTCTAAGACCAAAATGGGCACGTCAGTCTTAATTCCAGTATTGAGCACGATGACTGTCAGAATGTGTAACGTTGTCATTCTCCCAAAACAAACGTGTCCATAACAGAAGCGTCGATAACAGGGGATCAAGAGGACTGTAACTTCATAACACACGTAAAAACACGTCAGAGAATTACGGTTCTAAAGTCTTGAAACAGTGTTTGACGAATCCATTGCTCATACCGTTAGTCCCGGCATTTCTTTCCATTGCGTGAATGTAATGTAGTCTCCTTTGTCTTAATTAGCAAAAGTCTGTTGGAATCTCACAGAGTTTGTGGTTTAGCCTAGGCAGAAGAATATCCTGCTCAATGATTTTGGAAGACTTCCGCTTGACAGCTAAATTAGTTTACAGACAGTAACTGTTGTTTACTAGTTGATGTATAAACTATGGACCAGTTGGTAACAGTATGGCGTATTAAATTGAAAAGGAAGTTTGAACAACCAAGAAGATTGGAGAATGACAGTATCCCTTCGATTCGTAAAATGCTTTGTGAACAATATTAACCAGTTCCACAAAGATGTACCGCTCACATCCTCACGTTCATGTTGTGGAAATTCAAAGTGACGATTCATCAGCTAACAGCATATTTCTATCCAACCTCGATTCTGAAATTGCGAAGCGAAAACAGGTGCACTAAATGGAAAACCCTACATATTACTCCAAAAGATAGTTTAGCCGAACCGACAGTATTTGGGAAGTCGCTTCTGTAGGGAATGCTGATGGAGGATCCCGTCGACACAAGATGGTGTGGCCACTTGGTGGGAACTGGCGATTAAGGAGCTTATAAGGAAGCAGGACTTTCAGAATAGGCTCTCAAATGAAATCGACATCTCACACGCATCATCGGTTGGTAATTGGGGCTTGTAACATGATAATTTTGATGGTTACTTGAATATCATGCGAGTTCATTTGGCCTGTTTCATGAGGCGTGATAATCTCCACCAGAGTGCCAACTGTCGGTACTGAAGTGTCAAAAGAAACAATGGAAGAAACTGAGACTACCATAGATATCAAAACGGCAGCAATAACTGCTGTGAATGTCCTTCCAAAACTTGATACACACATTAATTGAGAAATCGCTGAACCAATATTGAATCAGTTATTGACAGCGGACTGGAAAATTATCCGATTTTTAGTCGCCTATATGTACATACTTTATACATACTTCGGACCAGACCTTGAAGTGTGCAATACCACAGCAACCCTAATGCTTAGAAGAGACGCAAACCTTCTGGAAAGAGTGCAAAGGTGGGCGAAGAAAGGGGTGATGGGACTCCGAAAAAAACCGTATGATGAACAGCTAAAGAAATCGGGTCCCTTATCACCTAGCTACTGTCAGCTTAGGCGGACCTTGATTGCCGCTCGTAGGATTATTAATGGTCACAATCACCCAAACAAATGTGTTCTGCCATTGGGTACGTAGGGGCTTCCCCGTCGGAATCAAAGAGGAACAGCTTACCAGAAAGCAAATGTTCTGGTGCTCTCTTACTTCTTTTTGTTTTGAATTTACTGTCACTGGAACGCTCTACAGGTAGATGTAGCAACTGCGCCATCGACGGAAAATTTATTCAGAGACTGAACAATCGTACAGCGACACAGGGACTGCGTCCAAATGGCCTATCTCCTTAGAATCTCACACAATATCAATGGTTAGACGCGCAGACTCATTTTATCCTATACCTTTTTTTGTCTCACTATTTTGGCTACTTCAACTTTTACATCCCTTACACTGTTATTATTATGGATGTATATATATATATATATATATATATATATATATATATATATATCAATTTAAAATTCCATTGACTGTTTTTGTGTTTTCTTTTTTTTCATTTACATACCCTACACTAATTATATCTGTTATTACCTCTTTTTTCGATGACATCGGATGAATAATGGTGAAACGATCAATTCAATTCAGAGTGTCAACACGGTCTTAAAACACCGCATGCTACAAGCCCTGACCCTAGGGCCACTGTTTTCGGAGTCAACCGAAGCTTCGACAGCCGAGTGGGGAGACTAACGACGCAGAAGTACATTGAAGACCAGGAAACGCCACCTCACAATCAAGAAAAGAGCACAAAGAAACCAAATTGGTTTACGCTAGCCCGCAAAAAACGATGTTGGATATTCAAATTGACCTTGGGAGCTTTTCAAGATGAAGCGTTACTAGGATGTCTTGTTTCACATTTTTGTCTCGCGTTCTGCGACCACCAACCAACATACCTGCTGAGTCACTTGACACCTGCATAAGCCTCAAGGTTTCTGCATTGTTATTCTTACCGAGATGTAGTTAATGCGACTTTGTGGTTTGGTATCTTCAGATGCTAATGGTATTTATACCTTCCGACCTGATTTATTTCGTTCTCTGCGCAAGCTGGAAAACCTAGTGGATGACCAGATGACAAAGCTAGGAGCTCAGCGTGTTTTGTTGCCCACCCTTGGTCCAAGACACTTATGGGAGAAGTCTGGTATGGTAATGTATATGAGTCTATATGTATTTAGAACGTTGGTCAAATATGCAAAATAGCTTATTTAAGCTCAAAGACAGACTGTCCCACGAATATTGTTTGCAACCGGTAAATTTCTGTGATATTTAAACCATCTTTTTCAGACTCATGAAGAATCAATTACTAATTGGTTGCTTCTCTAAAATTAACTTACAAGGATTTGCCCATTTTATTGTATCAGGTACACCATTTCAATTTGTTGTGATTTCGCAGATAACTAGCAAATTTCGAGATGAGCCTCACCCGAAAAACGGTCTAGTTCGCGGACGTGAATTTCTGATGCAAGGTATTCCCAGTGTATCTCTTTACGGGATTCCTCAGATCTTTACACGTTTGATACATGTGCTGAAACGGCTAAGGAAACTTACAGTCATGTACAGGCTGCCTACATGAAATTGCTAGACAACCTGGAGTTGCCATATCTGGTAGGTGAGTTCATAATATATCACGTTTGTTGCGCATTTGGTGAGTATGGGCAAATACTAGTTACGAATGTGTTTCTCTTGGTAAAACTACAGAAAAACATATATTTGTATTAGTTTCAAATTTCTCATGATTCCAAATTCACGGTTGACCATCGGAATTCTTAAAGTGGAAAAAGTCTTAATGTTCTGCGTACGTTTATAAAATTGAAGTTAAACTCCAATTGATCATCATATGTTAGCAGTAACCATCCTATAATTTTTTTCTCACTAAATTTCATCTGCAACATGTGTAACGCACTAAATGTAAGAATTTGTTGTGCCTTACAATTCATCAATCTTTAAATACTAGCTAGCAGTGCTTGGAAGGTAAGACGTACCCCATGTAATTAATCTTTCAAATTCTCAGAAATCCCCAGGTTGACTGACTAAGAGTAAGGGTAAGAATGTCACCGAAGTCAAAATAAATTACAAAAATATCATAAGCTTTTATGCTTCTAATGATTGTTATAGACTGATCACCATAGAAGGAAGCTGAGAGGTATATCATTTCAGGAAGTGTCGATAAAGTATGGCAAGAAAGGTAGAACGATACTGCTACAAACAATCAAATTGAATTAATCACAAGTCGGTGGACTGATACCGCAAATCAAGCAAGCAGATATTAATCTAAGTTGAAAGTGTATTTTGTTAGTATGCTGGTGGGCAAGTGGAACGAAGATGCTTATGGGAATAATTAAGTAAAGACTAGTGAGTTCCAGAATATTACAAGAAATAAACACATTTTCACAACTATGAGTGGTACCAAGCCATATTACAAAGAGTTTTTAATCAATAATTATGAGCATCTCGTAATCCCAACTGAAAACATTCCAAACAACCATCCATGAGACTCAGTACAGAAGCATCGGTGTGACAATCCCTAAGTTTCTCAACAAAAAGTCGATGCGATCTAAATTACCCTTCGATGGAGGCGATAGATAACAATGTACGCCGCTAACATGACCTAGCCACCCTAATCATTTAAGCTTCATAAATTCATGGCTCATCATCTTCTTTGCCCAACACTACGCCTAAAATCATTTTTACTCACCTTATTGACTAATCTAACAAGCGAGGTTATACAGAGGTGTCTGTAGTAAGAGCCAGTTATCTTGTCGTCTTAACATTCACCAGTCATGTCTCACAGAAGGAGAGAACGAGTTTCGCAGTATATGCATCTTTTTGTGATGGGTATACGAACAAGTGTTAATATGTACTGATAGTTTCATGGCACTCTGTTCAGCAGTCATTAAGGCTGATGCAGTCTTCCACATGAATCGAGTGGTCTATACTCCCAATCATTCTCCTGCTTATCCATCCATGAATCAGGAGTTGGTCAGACCACAACATCTAAGGCTTGTCTAGGATGAACCACATAAATACTGGCTTGTAATGGAGTATGAATGTGCTTGGTCTCGAAATATTCACTCATGATAGACCCAGATCTTAGTCTTTTGTTTGTGTAACAGCATAATATTCGACTTATTTTCATATAGCTCGTGCAGATTCAGGCCATGTTGGGGGCGAATTTTCCGATGAATTTCACATTGTTTCATCCGTGGGAGAGGATAAAATACTAGTATGTCCCAAGTGAGTTTAGATACGAGTTTTTCCTGCTCCACATAGAGGGTCAAAAATGCGTAGTTATGTGTGCATACTAACCTAATACAGTGATTTCATGAGGTGACTTTGAACAGTAATGAGAAATAAAATGTCTTATCCTGTACTGTGAATTATAGGTGTGGCGTCCAGTTTACTCACTTCGACAAAAGCAAATGAGCTGGTAAGCGCATACTGATGTGACCAAATGTGACAGTTTCACTCTCACTTGCTGACCGCTGCAACACAGTGTGAGTGATTTGCACAATGATGGGTAACTGCCTTTTAGTCTAACCGTTCTCTAAATAAATATGTTGGTGTGGGATAACCTTCAAAGGTACCGATTCCAGTTAGCGTAACTTGCTGCGACACGCAGGCTAGACCGCTATGTCAAGTGGGCGGCTATTTATGGGGTGTTATAAAACACTCGTTTATCAGAAACTTGTCAAATAAAATAGTATTTGAGATTATCTTATAGGGTGAGTGATCTTCAAGTGAAATTTGGCATGTCCTAAGATGGTGGGAACTTCCCCTAAACAGTTTCAGTTGCACCGCACTATCCCTGAGGTAATTGTGTGTGTGATGATCACTCACTGTTCAGGCTTGTGTCATTATCGTATTCAATGAGTGATGCTACTCACTTATTTTCCTGTAACTGATATGTGTAATCCTTATTAACAAGGTGCCAGTCAGGATAGCTGTTTAATGTAATCAGAGGTATAAAAACAGATAGACTTGATTATATGTTGAGATGCATTCAGCACAAATGACGAGCTTTAACTATCTCCGAATATGTCACTCAGTCAATCAATATAGGATGCGGTTATGTTGAAACAACAAGCAAATAATGCTGCTTACCATGAAAGCACATTGATTGAGTTCTCTTCGAGAAAATGTACTTGATGTTGTGTTATTAGCACACTCGTCGATCAGTGGAGTTTCCACTCACACAAGACTATTTTGTAATTATTTCAAATTATTTTTGACTCAGAAATGTAATCAAATCCCGCTACTTGAAATCTCAAACCAAAACGTGTATTCACCAGTCTAAAATCATGATGAAAGACCATCAGGAAGCAATTAATCGTTTGCTAAGCAATGAAGATATCGTCATACCGCGACCAGATAAAGTTTCAAGCGTTGGGGTGATGAACAAAGCTGACTATTTCCAGGAAATGGAATTCATTCTCAATGACACGTGTAAATTCAAGATTGATAACTACAGGAAGGATATGACACATTCGACAGGAAAGAAAGTCACAAAGTCATTCAGAGAGCTATTTCGAAAGAGAATGATTGACAGCCACACACACACACAATGAATTAAAGCTTCAGGTATCTCTACCATATTTGAGTGGTCTACCCAAAAGACATAAAAAGGAAAACGGCAAGAATCGCCTACGTCACATTCTTCGAACGTGTTCCGAGGAGCTTTCGGTTAAAGGGATCGAGCAGTGTTAGCTCTTCAATCACAAAGCACCTGACACACACTGGACACCGAGTAGACGTGGTGGCATCATTCAAAATAATCAACAGACGAAATAGCTCAAGTCCTCTTTGGTTTGCTGAGGCTATCACAGCTAAACGGTTGTAACCTGACCTATGTGTCCGAAAGGAATTTGTCGTTGTACTTCAGTGACTCCCTAGCGACTCATCTCGCAATAACTGTCTGTTTTCTGATTTCCTTAAATTATCTTTTCAACCCGATGCACCAACCAATTTTAAATAATCTCATCGTTTTTTTGAACCGATTCAAATTCTAATGTACTTTAAATATTAGCACATGTTGATCGCGTAATAAAATTATTCTACGTCTTCAAAATCTACAGGTGCTCTGCCGCTTTCAACGCTGAACTCCAAGGTATTTGCCATTTTAAATAAAAGAAGTTAACTTCAGATCAACATAACCACCATTCACGATGCACATTGAAGTCTTGTCCACAGGCATTCCAAGAAGTGCAAGGAGTCGAGGTAAGCAATATGATGATGCCACTACATGAATAACTACGCAGTTTTCATTCTAATTTCCTGTATCATCTTTTTCATGTGTTTTTTAAAATAAGTTGGTATTTCAGTAGGTAAAAAAGTACGAAATACAGACATTTTTTGAGGCATCTCATTACAACATCATAGAGTTGAGTATACGAAACAGTTGAATCTTGTCTTTATTCTTGATTATATAGGTTGCTCATTGTTTCCTTCTGGGTGAACGGTATTCAAAGTGCTTTAATGCTGCTTACCAATCCCTAACAGGTCAAAGGTAAATTACAACAATCCATATTACATAGTAATAAACTCACAAAACTTATTTAATAGGCTGTTGTACATGGGATGCTATGGTCTTGGGATAACGCGTCTACTTGCTGTGTGTATCGAACACTTAACAAGGACTTCATTTCCTGAGAAGCCTGTACAGCAGATTAATCAGCTTCGATGGCCTGTTCGAATCGCACCCTACAGTGGAGCTATAGCCTTTCAAAAGGTGAGATTATTTTCATAAAGTGTCATTATTTTACAAAGATTCTGATGAAAGTTCAGTCTAATAAAATGCCTAGTCCCGAGGGTTTCTCTGTACCCTCTATGCGCGTGTATTTAAAAAGCTTATAGTGTAGTCAGCATAAGACTACCGTTAACCTGTCAACGTTGAGTGAATAATAATCATCTTATTGTATGATTGTGTGTGACTGCATGTAATGCTATGGCTGAACTATTCTTATCTTATTTGGGTCAACCAATCTAGATGTTTATGTTCGACTAGTCTGACTGCCCCTGTTCAACCTATATATTTGACGTCACAGTCGTTCCAGCAGGGTTTTAGATAAATTAAATTGTTGTTTTAAAGGCTCCACAGGATTAATCCTTTAACCGACAAAGTTTGTTTCTAATTGAGTTTGTAGGTCTGAATGCCACTTTTATTCTTGCCTTGTTAAGAATTCTGCGTAAGGTTCCTTCCTTGTATGGAATTACTACTGATGATTTAGATTCCTTATTATTGGTGTCGTCATTAATATTATTATCGCCATGTCTATCATTATTTTTACATTTCCTGACTAATTTATCCGGGTAATTATTAAGTTTCAAGGCTTCTTTTATTTTTAAGGAAACCGCCAAAGATGCACTCACTATACACGAACAGAAGTCTATTCTGGATACTGTTCAAAGTCATCCTACAAATATGTTGCAAATGCCAGGTGATATTCTCGTGGATGATCGGAAGGGAATCAGTCTGGGTAGGAAGGTGGTCGACCTCAGTCGTATCGGCATACCCTTCATTTTCGTTGCCAAGGTATTTTATTTACTTATTTGAATATTACACAGATTTATCTGACGAAGTATCTCAGTGTTGTACGGAAGTCATTTTAAGACGAAATAATACAGTAAAGAATTTAAGGATGTGGCGTTGTTCTGGGATTAAACATTCCTAAGAATCATATGGTAGTTGATCTTCTTAAAAGATTGGTAACCATCAAAACTGCAAGCTTAATGTACAACTGAATCTCGGAAAGTAAGGCGCACAATACGAATTTCACTGTCATCGGTGTAATCATGCGTGCATGTAGTATTGGGACAGGAATGTTGAGAGTCATTGAATTTGGCCATTATCCTATTTTTTTTTAATTCCTTCACGTTCCCAGTGGAACACAGGGCCACAAGCTAGTGGCTTGAAGTTTCTGTAGCAGTGTTTAATTTTACAGGATGGGGTTGCTAGCCTCATGCTCAACCTTCCCTCTTTACCAGCATTATTTCGGGCTTAGCGAGGCAAAGGAGTGCGTCGGCCGGGGATCGAACCCCAGCCTATGTGCTTGGTCGGCGAGCGCCTTAACCGCTGTGCCACCAACGCACTGGCACTATCCTATGCAAAAATTATTCCATTTAATAAATACTGATATCACACCAAAATCCTATCCACCCCACTGATTAACAAAAATTAATATTCGCAAATTTTCAACACCTTATTATTCTGTATTAATATTAAGGAGGGAAAATGTACACATATACGTAGTCCTGCTCATAAGGTACCATGGTCACCAGAATAGGATTTCTATGCAACCGTCCTCTGAAAGTCACGTTTGTCGTTCAGTATTTAAAGAAGGAGAATAAATACTAAAGCAGCACAACATCAATTCCAAAATACTCATAATAAACTAAACAGTGCCACATACACACAGCCATTCGATTTGTACTCTGATCTTTCACAAGTCTTCTAGCTGTGGTCTCTGACAGAAAACATCAGTTGTCGTTCATAATCTCCTTTTTTGACGCAAACTAACATGTACTAAATTTACTTTCAGGGTCAGAAGAATGGCATATATGAAATGATCGATGTGTACAAGGAAAGATCATGTGCAGTTACAATAGAGCAGGCGAAAACAGCACTCAACAACCCTGGGACATTTGATTCAGCCTCACTTCCATCTTGGAGTTATCAACAAGATGAAAGTATACAATATGAAAAAGGCTAACTGCAAATTTATCAAGTGAAGAAATGAGAAATGTAAAGCTGTAAACTGTACAAGCAAAATGTGTGTATGTAGTGCAATAAAACCCAAATTTCATATTTCACTTTTTCTTCCTTGTCCATACTTTGCGCCAAACAGACTTCTCAGATTTCTTGTCGCTCGAAACTGTGTCTCTCGAAGTATCCTTGACTGCTGGATAGGCTTCCACGAAGCGAGCAACTTTCATTTCTGAATCATGAGACACAGCATGTTTCAAACGCATATGTAATCGTTTAGTCGCTGAGGTTTTATGCTTGTGGTCAGTTCTCTTGTCAATCAATGGAACAGGGTTTCGTGACACGAAGGAAGTAGTCGCGGAATGAGCAAGAGACGAATTCTTCCCAGATCTCATTTTCAGAGGAACTGTGGCTAACTCATGAGCGCTGCGAGCGCGGGGGAGAGTGACTGAATTCAACAGATATTCCGGGGTTTCCGGTATACACGGCAATTCGAGTGAAGAAGCGGTTTGTGAAGAGATAGTCTGCAAATAATTAGTAAATATAAAAACAATTATTACTTCAGTAACACCGTAAAACAAGTCGCTTCACTAACTGTAAACTCGATGTTTAAAATAATTAATGGTTTACAAAGGAAATAAAGTGAATCCCCCATACCTGATTTTAATTTCTAGGTTTTAAACGCAGGAAGTACATAGGTTATCATCAATCACACAAGTTATGCATTCTGAAACTTAACTCCCACAGCTATGTGACTGGCTAAGTGACCAAGGATAGAAGTTCGGTGAATTAAACCGGAAAACTTTTAGGGGAAGTCTTTCAAAGCACAGAAATATTAGCACACTTCCTTGTATCCGTTATTTACAAGTATATTAAGTAAGGTAGTACTCCTGTGATTTCAGGATCCAAAAAGATATACTACATCATCCTAGCTACTCCTGAGACATTAAAATAAAGTCTCCAACAACATTACTTCCCTTCAGGATCCTACACACAGAACTCCAAACTTCCCCACTAAGATTAACACCAATAATATTTGAATAAAGCGAGAACAACAATGATTTGTGCAGAATAACATGGTACCATCATTTATTTCGTTGGCTTCTCATCACCTGCTTACAGCCTAAATAAATTTTGAGGTTTAAGTACAGAAACGTTTGAACATACTTGCAAATTTTACATGTTATCAGTTGACAGAAAGTTTCACAATTAGTAAACAGTGCTCAGAAAATTGCGCTTATATAGTTTTTACACAGGCAGTTCAAGTTAAGAAAATAAATGTATGCATATAATGGTAAGGGAGTTACATAATAAAGATGAGATGTGCGTTAGATGCATAGTGACTAATAAGTTAGGTAACAATGTACTGAGTTGAACTCAAATCATAGAAACAAGAGACAAGCAAAATTACAGAATATAAAGGAGGGTGAGGTTAAAGACAAAGATTACGCAATCAGATGAGAGAGAAAAGACATCCAGTTACCAAGGCAAAGAAAGACTAATAACTGATTCTTTCTGAGCACATAAATCTGGTTTCAAGCGTTTGATAGAAATTGCTTCGGCAAACTTGAGGAGAATGGAGCTCCTTTGTCTATTGATAATTTTGAAGGATTTCTCGATTTCCACCTCATGACCCGTGTCGAGGAGATGTCTGGTAATAGCGCTGCTATAAGAGTTTGTTCCCTTGAGACGTAGGTTTTTCGGCACATGTTCAGAAAATTGGAGGTGTGCCCTTCTTTCTGTTCTCCCAATGTAACTGCTCCCGCAGATACACGTAAATTTGTATACACAGTTGGAGTTGACATGAGAAGGGTATCTACCGACTTTTGACTGCACCAAAGAGCATGTTGTTCGAAGGACGGGAACCAACTTAGCTGCAGGATAGGCTCTGGCTAGTGACGTCCTCAGTCTTCTGTTGACCATTTCTGCAATGTCTTCACCTTTAAAATCTAGTTGAATGAAGACAGGCTCTTTTTCGACTGTGATTTGTTTGGTATTTGGGCCTTCACATCTTCCATATTTGTTAATGAATTTTTGAGGATAGCCGTTGTTTTTCAGCACCTTTTCGAGATTCGTGAATTGTTCCTCTAGTTTCTCTGCAGAGCATATTCTCCTCGCACTATAGTACAGAGTCTTGACTAGTGCTCGTTTATAGCTATACTTACATTTTAATAGTTTTGTCCAACTCTGTCGTACTCTCTCTTTCTCTCTCTGTATGTCTAACAGGACCACCGAGGGTTATGCTTCAACTAGTAGATTTGTGTAATCTGGCCAGTAATTTATCACCACTACATTTGAACAGCTTCACAACACGAACCGTCATTCCGTCTTACTTCACCCTGATGCGCTTTACAACGAAGCCAGTCTCATCCACCATCAATGAATGTCTTCTTTGGATACCAAGTCGAATTAGGTAATTACTAGTCAATGAGATTGTGTTTAACAATTTGACTTTAATTAGACGGTTTTCTAATGAGTCGTTTTACAGTCCCCTCTGTGTCTTAAGCTTTCACTATGATCATCATTCCATCTATCGGCTGTCAAACCCCACTGATTCATTCACGAAGTAAACTCCATTCTGTGAAAATGAATCATCTTTGTAACTCCATCCCCCCATGCCCCCAAAAACTAGAGGTGCTAACAGCATTTGTCTCATGGAATAACTAACTCTTGTTTACATTCCTCACCAGCAATAACATTATAAATGTATGAGCGCATAAAAATGAAAGCAACATTTCAAAAAATCTCTACACAATTTATGATAAACATACTTCTGAGTCTGGTTGTCGTCTTATCACCTCTCCGACTGACTTGCGTGCAGAGTATAGGTCGAATAATTCCGTACCTTCTGGAACTAAAGCAACAGCAAAATAATAATTGTAAGACAGTTTTACTACAATGATAATAATAGGTACAGTGCAATATGACTTTCCCCTTGTTCACAGTGGCAACAAACAGTGAGGCAAGATAACTTAAGCAGTGAGTGACTAAATCTAAGCTAACTAATTTAGCTCCCCTCCAGTAGGTATGGATGACGCGTGAAATCGAATCACAATTCCATCTCATCGTTACACTAAATCCGATTATCGGAACAAAATCAGTGTATAACTCCAATTTCTCACATTCAATAACGGCTTTCGGCCTCAACACGAATAAGTCTAGCCAGTCCGTGGCAGTAAAGGTTCTTTGATAGTCACAGCTAAGCACCAGGTTTCACAGACACATAAGAACCGCACCTTCATTCTTCTATGCTAGTTAGTATACGTGCTTTCTTCCTGAGATCGAGCACTTCGGTCCAATCAAAGAAATATTAAATCCATTTCGAAGATAGAGAACGCCATTCTACCAACATTTGGCACCAAGACATTCATTTCAAGTGTGTAAGAAGATTTGATGAGTGATCAATCAACTCTCAACAAGAAAATGGGAAATTTCTGTACCAATGAACACAGAACTTAATCATAACCACATATAATTTACAACTTACCCATATTATCTGTACTTCCTGCGTTCGGATCCACCCGACACTGATGATCTCCGGCTCTTTCATGTACGATTATTTTCACCTGTTTCGCTTCTTCTCCATCAGGAGGAGGAACTGAACGACAATGATAAGTCACAGAACGTGACATTACATAGCTCGCAGTGTTCCTCAATGTTTCTCGACTAACTGGAGCCATTGGTTTCACGAAGGAAGGCCATCCTAAAATTCGACAAACACCATTATTCCTAGTGATACGATCAACTTATAACACCACACAGACATAGGATACACGTCAATTAAATGGAGAAGGTCATCACCTACGTCGACAGTTTAGATAGTTCCACCATAAATTATTTCTCATTGAAACCTCACACCTTTACACAAAATTGCAACACTTCAACTTTTCACATTTTAGAAAAAATTACATTAACTTAAAGATAAAACACACAAAGAAACATCAACGAGCAGGATATATACCAGAGAGATTGCGTAGATGAGTAAATCTCTACACTTATATGATCTGAAAGTAAAAGCATCAATACCACTCAACATCTCGAAGATACCAGTCGCAAAAGGCTAAGAACAACGCTCAATAACCGCATATACTGCTACCCTGTCTTTGTCTCAGTAACACATTTTCAACCTGATCCTATTTCAGTGAGCATTGCTCGAGAAAAGTCGTGGGTATGAATACAACATAGCCATCACATCAGGTGAAGTTTCACAATCCTATCGACTGCTTTCTCCACCCAACCAAACAATCTACATTTTACCTCATGATAACCCATCATGCATATTGTATCACCTACAATAGGTCAATATATAGCTGAATATTTCAGGCGCAAACCATCATACAACATGCGAAATGACAAAACAAGCCATTTCTTCATGTCCTGAGATCTCATTGGTAACCAGTCTACTAACCTGACTGACTGCAACTCCTCAAATAAGTCAGTCAGTGGTCAACAACACATCCAGCCATTACACTCTTTATGCATAAACTAACACCAATAGGCTCATTCAATTGACACAAAACACGCCATCGTTGCACATTCCACAGCATACAATCACATGCAGAACATAAACTGACACGTCTTCTCAGGGTGATTAGAGGACTTTGCACTTTGCCAGTATTTGCGCACTCCAAATCAACAATACACCTTCGTCTGCGGTTAATTTAAGTCGCCTTCAAAAGGATACACATTAGAGACGTCATTCATCAGACTCCGTGCGGCATCCGTATCCATCAGAAAAACTAGAAGTCAATAATGCGATTTTGTAGATATACAGGAAGCTGCTGCATCCAGCAGCTATAACCCCAAACATGACCACCCCCCACACACAGTCATCTACATACACCAAACTGCTCCACAGTTCTACAACACAGTGAAATCATTGTCTTGCACTGTTCGCCTTCCAGTGCATCTCCAACTCATGTCGATCGCTGACCCGTTGGCACCTTGAAACACACACACATACAACTAATCCCAAAACTTCTAAGCAATTGAATTCGCATAGTAAATAAATTCAAGAATATTTCACACTGATAGCAGTCAAAAGACAATCTTATTAACAGTCAGGATGGATGCGTACCTACTACTTAACTCACTGCTTCGTAAAGATGTTGACGATGATGATGACATAAAGTCTGACATTTTAAACACCAAATAACAGTCAGCTAGTTTTGATAGTGTGAAATATTCCCATATTATGAATTAAAAGTCAATCTGAACGAAGAATATTCTTTTCAATAATTTTTCTTCAGGTTCTTACAATTATAAAATGTAATATTTGTGGTCGTTACAATAAAAGCCAGTTATGCGCCACTCACCTGACACCTTTTATAACCTTGAAATGATTTGTCAATTTTCCTACCCCACACTCTACAATTCTATTATGATTAATCACCACTATTGTCTCCCGTTTTACAATATCTTGTAATCGATTTCAGCCTAGCACGTTTGTCACACAAATATGACTATTTATTTTGACACCCCATAACTAATCTGTTATTCTACGTTAAAAATGTATCCGCCGCATACCTGGCTATCTTTATTGTAACGACCACAAATATTATATTTTATAATTGTGCGAACCTGAAGAGGAATTATTGAAAAGAATATTCTTCGTTCAGATTGACTTTTAAGTAAGCTAGTTAGTTACTCAGTACTGGGATTCTTTAAAAGTCTGCAATTATACAAATGATGCATGTAACAAGCATAAACAACAATCGAAATTAAAACAAATTTCAACACTAATCTAAACGCGTAAAGTTATCCCGGATATTATCATAATCACAGCCAAAATGATAAGTGAATATTATATGCGACAATCATTACATACCATCTGATGAACACATTTCATGTGAATGCGGACCACACATTTGCACAGAAACATCACGAGTTGTTTTCTTAATAGCTTTATTAGTTGTAGACATTTTGTCACCCGCTACACCTCTTTCCTCACCTTCCCTTAATACACCATCATCCTTGTCAACAAGGTTCAGCAAACTTTCACATACCGATTTCGAATCCTGATTTGTTGTCGCTTCGACACCACGACGGCATACTCTTGATAAATCGCTGCCAACATCCGAGTTTGATCGAATGCTTCGATGACCTGAAACAGGACAAACACGACATGCAAACTAGTATATGCAAAAGACAATATATCACAATGTTAACTCACTCGAGTTTATTACCATATATGACTGTAGTGAAGCATTCCTCAAAACTGATACAAGTGTATCTATATTCCAACCCATACCAGGAATTCAATTTTACATACAACGTGGCAGTCAAGGAGTGTAGAAACACGGCGGCGCCTGCAATATCATAGGCATGACGTACTAATAAGTCATGCCATAACATACATGTCTCCACAGTTCCGAATACAGAAACTTTACAGCAAACATAGTTTAGGGGTAAGCTGAGGTATGCCATAAACAGGCACCTACCCACCAACCTCAATAGTCTATTACACATGAACAATTTAAAAGATGCATACAAATCAAACTAGTCAGTCTACATATCCTGCGAACTTTGAAAAGTTATCTTCACAAAATCAACATCTACACTGTAAAATTTTTACTTACTAAGTGATTGATATCATCGGTGGCATAGCGGTTAGGACGCTCGCCGACCAGGCAAATGATCCGGGGTTTGATCCCCGGCCGACGCCGCACTCCTTCACCTCGCTAAGCTAGAAATAATGCTGGTAAAGAGGAAAGGTTGGGCATGAGGCTAGCAACCCCATCCTGTAAAATAAACACTTCTACACAAACTTCAAGCCACTAGCTTGAAACCCTATGTTCCACTAGGGAACGTGAAGGAATATAAAGACTGATAATTCACAACACACAATTAAACAGCACAAGACAAGTCGATACTTACCAACTTCAGTTTTCTTCCCAATCAATTCTAAACGTGTACACAATTCATTTTTCTCAAACTCTGCACGTAACAGACGCAATCTATGCACATGCAGCAATTCCTCCGTTTTGACCAATTGTTCTCTCGTCTCAGTCAGCTGTTGACGAGTAGACAACCAACCAGCCTCCATTTCGCTCACCTGCTTCCGAAACACTCCACACTGATGTTCTAGATCCTTCTGCACACCTGTCGCTGACTCAACAAAACATTCGAGTTCACCGATCTTTTCACTACTTCGCTTATTCTTAGATTCCAGTTCAACGATTTCAGTTACCAGTCTGCATATTTCTTTCTCCTTCGTTGAACAGGAATTCTCAGCAGCTGACAGTTGAACTGTCAAATCTTTATTCGTCGCCTGTAAACGATCGATCAACTCATTGCTACTTCTCAAACTCTCTTCAGCCTCTAACAAATTTTCTCGCGTTTTAGAGAGATCACATCGTAACTCAGCCACCTCATTTTTAAAAACACGTGACAAAGTTGACGCTTGAATCGCCTTCTCCTTTTCATCACTCAGCTCATTCTTTGTATCTTCCAAAAGAGCTTTTAGTCGACCTGCCTCTCGCAAACCCATCTCCTTTGAATCTTCCGCAAGTTTAATGTCTGATAAGAGTTTGTCTTTCTCTCGACGATGTTCATCCGTCATAAGACTAACAACAGATTCATATTCTGAAGCAGAAGTGGCCAGAGTGTTTTTCAATCGTTCTATCTGGAAAAAAGTTTATGTGATGAAAATATTATGTCGTGTAAACATTAAAATGCGCGAGCATGTGGATATTGAATAGATATGTGGGCAGATATGTACCTTGACAAATACAAACGAAAAAATATTTGGAAAACTAATATTAGAACCTCCCTTCGTTTGTTAGCCAGTCCTAAGCTTCCGGAAAAGAGAGAGGATTGGGCATGGGACTACCGACCCCATCCCCGGAAACCAACCGGATTCCAAAACAAACACCAACACACACAAAATACATAAAAAAACACTCATTCTGCCAAGAAAATCGAGCGACAGAATGACACCGGATGGTGAAAGCCTTCTGAAAGTCAGTCAGTTAGTCGATGTGTCTTCTTCTGAGAAGAGCGATAATAAGCGTGGAATGTTAGCAAGATATTCGAAGGTAGGAATGCCGGTTAGATTATAAATCATATGAGAAGGTATAACATAGAGACGATAGGAATATGCGAGAACAGGTGGAATGGAAGTCGAGTCTCCACACTACCTCCTTTTCATCTTGCACAACCCAGTCAACTTTAGCTGGCGACACGCACACACACTTGAGATTATCGAATTAACAAATGGCTTCGGTGGTGTCATACTGAATATCAAATGGCTAGAAAGGATTAACAACAAGGAACTTTGGCAGGCAGCGAACCAATCAACAACCTAGTGCCCAACAAGTATGTCGAAGACAGTGAAAACGGCACGGACACACATCGGAAGTCCATAGCCAATCGTGCGATCACGGTCAGCTAAAGACGACTGCAGAGGACAGGATGAAATCGAGATGTCCTGTTGAAGCCCTATATTCCACCCACCATCTAAGAGAATATAGAAAATCAAAACAAGTGATTCAGCGAAGAGACTCTTTCCAACGAATTTATTATCACGCTGTACAATCTTATATATAAACCATATACTATTGTACAGCTTCATAATAAATATGTTACAATGGGAATTTTCCACAAATCTAAGGGAATCATAATAATGATATTGATAAAGTCACAAAAGTCTTAAAGCAGCAACGACACCAAAATGCATTCATTCATTGTTAATTAACCCAGGAAGTCAGTAACTCAACTTACATGCATCCAAACTAACTAAGTAGTACTACAATCAATACAATAGAGAAAACAGTAACAACCAAAATCTACTGCACAGGAACTCACAGGCATAACCCTCTTCAGCGTAGTGCATAAACATTTCATATTCAAGTAGTCGTTATTCAACGTGACTTATTCGCCACACCTCACTTAAATGTAAAGCACATCTTCCTAGTGATTTCCACAAAAAATCAAACTTCTTCGCCAGATTTCACTGTCGTCTGTCTAGCTATCGTAGCTAGCCAAACATACATGCACGACTTCACAAATATCTCCGCGAACTCAACACTTTTTGTTTAATACAGACTAGACACACATTCACAAAAAGCAACAAGCTTTCTCTGTATTCCTTTGAAAATGAGATCACACGTCGGTGGTCAATTACACAGTAGTCAACTCTCTTCATTCACCACCAATCCAATCCAGTCACTGATTGACAGTCACACACACACACAATCATTTCTTTCTCCATTCAATAAACCTGTAAAATCAACATCAAAGTCAAGTCTCCGTATCTTCGCCTCGTTGTAGAGGCTACACTTGACTATCATCAGAACCGAATTGCTCTCACTCAAAGAACAGACTCATGAAAAGGTTGTTTGTCAAGATACACACTTCTATTTCACAAGAACTCACCTCTTCTTCAGCAGCTGATCTAAATGCTTTATTCGCATTAAGTTGCTCATTCAGTTGCACGCGTAGATTATGATTTACAGCTTTCGATTCATTAAACATCCTTTCAAGATCAGTAAGTCTGAAATTCAACCTTTCTACTTCACTGGCAGCCTCATCGATTCTCTTCAAATCTTCATCCATCTTCGCTTTATTATCGCCAAGATGACAACGCAGAGACGTCACCTAAACAAAATAATTGCCATTCATTTAAATCTGAAAACATACAAAGTTATCGTCTTCGTATATATATATGTTAAATTTTATGGTGGTAGAGGTACATTGAAAAGGTAGTCAGTCGGTAATTCCTTACTCAAAATAATATTTCGCCTTTCCAACAACTAATCAAGTCACTCACTTGAATCCTCATCATAGCAACACTTACAGATTTGTCTTCAATGCACATCTGAAAAATCAATATCTCTTAAGTTCAATTATAATCTCTACCATCACACACAGATAGCTACATGAAAGCACCTTCAAACGAATCTTCACTCATAATTTATTTCACAGTGTCAGACAAATCAATTTTCCAAATTTTGAGACGCCCAAACACACAGCTGTTACCACCTTCATGTCATAGCTACACTGACAAATACTCAATAAGCTGTGCTAGCCGTGGTACTGCTTTCTCAACATCGTACTGTCATTCTAACAAGGGATCTATACATAACAATAAGACAGTAATGAGTTGTAATGATTATTGGCTGCTCAACTATCTTACACGACCAGGCTACTTTGAGAACGAAAGAGAAATTATTGCACAGAAGATGAAATAGCAGATTAATTCCAATCACTAGCCAGTCCGTCAGTCAGAGAAGGTGACACCAAACACCGTGTATTCACACTCACCCAGTCAACATGCAGGGTACCTACATAAGCGTACCCTCTCTTCTTGTTCACAATCAACAAAGTTGTTTGTCTTTAAATAACCAAATGAATTATACTCCTCAATTATCCATCTCTAATCACTCAGTGAGTCTGACGAATCTGAAAGAATCCTGATATGACGATCAGCGATCACCTATTATTCATATTACACTGAGTATTTCATAAGCTCACCACAGTAAACAGAAATCATCGATTAACTTGTACAAAACAAACACTTCGACAACTTCAAAAATCAATCCTTCATCAGAAACAAACACTAATGCAGCAGCATCATAGTCAGCATACAGTCAAAATCAACTGAGAATTATGCATACTCACCTCAGCACTAAGTTTCTGATTCTCCGCCATAAGACAATCCACTTCATTCTCCCATTTGTGTAGGACCACCTCATTCGCCTCTTGGATTCTACCCAGTTCACCGGTTAACCGTCTGTTCTCACCACATAATTCACTAATCGTTTCACACTGCCTCTTCCGCATCTCTGTGACTGCCTCTTTCGTATCATTCAATCTCACCTCGGCATTTGAAACCTATTTTATGATATGATTGAATTGAGTAGAGGGAAGAGAAAGTGACCGTTCAGATTACTCACTTCCAACAAAATGTAATATCGCATGTACATACCTACACTCTTCATTACTACCATATACCTCATAAAAGACATACTCAAGGTCTGTGCTGATCATGGTGATGATGATGAAGATAATATGGAGGTGCTACAGTCGAATACAACTCAAACCAACACCTACCTACCTACCGACCTATTGCATAAAAAGGCGAATTCAATGAGTAACATCTTCACTAGAATGTCTCACTGTTGTGAGATCAGGCTGCTAGATAATTGGTAGACATTAATCTACGTCAATGTCTAGGTCACTAATATTGGCCGTGAGAAAATATGAACAAGGCTGATTCAACAGCCAATTACTGCAAACTTAGCGTGGGCAAATATGATTTGCAGATAGATGGCTCCACTTTTCGATGTTACCCGAAACAACCAATCAGAAGACTGCGTTTGTCTACTTGAATAAGCTAGAATAATGTACAGGAAATATATATAAATACGTGTTGATTTCCGTAATAAAACGATCTGTTTCCAGCCCTTGTCTTCTGTTGTTACATCACAGAAACAAATAACACGACACGGTATGAAAGTTATCCTCTCTCTCCAACATACAAATACAACAAGCCTCACAACTAGTTAGTCAGTTAGTTGAAAACAAACTGGTAAGTGTAAGCAGCAATTATTGATTCTATTCGTCATTAGTCTGTTGTGTTGTACGAAAGCCAACACTATTTATCTTCCCTAACTAACTATCACTACTCACTGAATCTTCAATACACGCTTATTATATCGAAATTATCAAATTCCCATGCAGATATACATATGCAAACAATCAAATTTAAACAATGTGCCATATGGAATAGGAGAAGAAAGGCAAGAAGACATCACATACTAATCATACAATCCAATCATACCTGTTCAATTAATTTCTCAATTCTTCCATTTATCTGTGAATATCTTCGACTCATTTCTTTGCTCAAAAGCTAAAAATTGAGTAAAATTCACTGGATGAAAAGTAACAGTATTAACCATATTTCAAACAACCCTGTACAAATCACAAATCGAACAAGACAAATTCATCAATTCAGCTCAATTAACAATTATCATTAATTATGGTTGATATGACAGCTACATAGTTACATAAAGCACAATTATCAGTCTCACATCAACACACCTTCTACTCATTCAACTAGAAAACTATGCACAATTCACATTCTCTAGGCATTTCCATTGATTTCGACGTAGACTTTGTCACGTGAAGGTATCAGCAGTTATAGAATTATCGAAAACCAAGAAGCTCATCAGACAACCACTGTCCAATACTGGTGGATTCACAATGGATATCAATGCTGATCTAATCAAAAGTCATTGCGTATGTGGTCCACTATCTTCGGTGTCAGACACATTCTCACAATTGAGTCAGCTTCTCTAACAGGCGCACTAGAAACATACTGCAGTGGTAGCTGCGTACTTCAATCAACCTGTCGGGTGTCTACGCTAAAAGGAGAATCGTCCACGTGATAACACTTCAGATAATGTGGAATGTCTTCCCCAACCCTGAAGTTGCCTAGCCTCCATCATCTATCTGCTATTCAGGCCTACCTCAGATCGATTACATTGCTGTCAGTTTCCCATCGCATCCGTGAAAACACGACTGACGCCCCTTCTCAATCGAATGTGTCGACTCCGATCATATCACCTCTGAGAAGTACAAAAACTGAGAGAAACTCAAGGCAAGCTACCAAACCTCTAGGTAGATAGCATACATCAACACCAGCTATATCCATAAGACTTCATGAAAATAGCAAAATAAGTCAATTGCCACGAGTTTCTTGCTTCTTCCATGAAATAACAAAACTAACACCATATAGGAGGCTCTCACGCCTAAAATCCAAAGCGCGTTACACTAGCACTGAGTACCCGACTTGTCACCTGAAATAGTAACAACTCTCCACCGACCAGACAGTGTAAACTTCAACACCTACTGGATGTATTTACGAAATTTGAATAGCCTGTCTCGTCTGAGACAGAAAATCTCTTCCATATATATGTAAATATATGTAGTTACATATCATCAAATTGTCTCCGTGTTTCATGATAATATTATAAACACCATCTCTAAACATTTGAAATCAGTAATATAAGAAATTAGTAAACAGACAAAAGGTCTACATAAAATCTACCTCAATTAAATGTTTTGAGTTGTCGATAACACTGCCTCGATGTCTTACAACAGCCCGAAGAACTAACGAGATGAACCTTTGCAGGATAAACTTCTTCTTCATACTTTGATATTCGCTTTCAGCTTTCAAGACATCTGACTCCAATCCTTTCAGTTGACTATCCACCATCACAACGGATGCTAAACTCTCTCCAAAACCCAAATCATCTATTTCAAACAGAAGTAAGCAAGTTAGTAGGGGAACAATGCAAAGAGATACAAAGGATTATAATGCAAGGCTTTAAAACTCAATTATAACGAGTAATAATCTAATCTTGCAAATGATGATTCAACATTATCTTGAACAAGTTATTTATACATGGAGCAAGTTAGTTGACGCGGTGTCTATTCTTCATAATTGAAGCCAAATCACTAATCATCAACTCTTTTCGCCACGAAGGGAAAACTCAGTGAAACATGAAAATCATGTCTCATGTAGGTGGCGGGGCAGCGACAAGTATTCACACATTTATAAAGTGACAATCTCATCCAAGATGGATACTAATACGATAACATCTATACTCACGACATCCACCCCAATACTATTTAATTAATGTCACCGATAATCAACTTCCCTCTTCAGATTAAATCTAAATTAACCACATCCACAATCAGTAAAGGCATCGTTGAATTCATGACTCATTTCACTTTTTCCATTCACAAGAATATACAGACTTCTTGTTCCAGACGAACAACATTCTCTAAATCCCTTCAACAATGAACATCTTTATGGGTAACCTGGAAGAAACAACAATGAAGGCCGTAATCGTATAGACAGACTTCTATACCAGGTATGTCGAGGACACGTTTGTCATTTGTGATCGTTTTAATGACGGATCTCAAATATGAAAATACGTCCTGAATAGTGCTCATACTAATATTAAGTTTACAATGGAGTGTGAAGATGAGAAGAAGTTTCACTTTTTGGACATTGGCATAGAACGTGATAAAGATGGAAAAATCATGAGGTACATCTATAGAAAGGAGACCTAGAGGCCGATTCACCTGAACTTCTAAAGCTTCTGTCCTATGAGTTACAAAAAGGGATCGGTGAGAAGACTGTTTGATCGTGTAAGGAAACTTAGTTCAGAAGAAAAAAATGAAGCAAGAACTAGGTACTTTTGAAAAATGCCTGCATGATAATGGTTACCCACAGAAGTTCATCAACAAACATGGAAAATGTAAACTTGACGAGATGGGGTACAGCAAAGTAGATAAAAAACCCATCTTTCTACAGCTTGTCTTCAAAGGTGACGATACTGGTAGTAGAATAAGATGCAGACTGAATGCTGCCCGAAAAGAATATATCCAGCTGCCAAAAGTGTATGCGGTTATCAAACGACCTGTGGTTTAAGACAGTCGAAAATGGGGAACTCCCACCTCATGTTACCTGCAACTGCGTCTACCAATTTACATGTATATACCAAAGCACATACATTGGAAGAACAGAGAGAAGAGTTATTGTCCGCATAGCTGAACTCACACCAACGAACCTGAGATTAAAGGACGCACAAACATTAAACAGTGCGATTGCACGCCACCCACTACTAGACATTGGCCATTTTGTGTGGACAACCTGAAGTTGTTCAAAATAATCAACAGACAAAAGAAACCTAGCCTGCTTCATTTAGCTGCGGCAATCTCAATCAAATGTCCAACACCAAATCTATGTACGCAGAAAGAGACGGTGGTGAATCTTGCACTGCCTTGGTGACAACAAAGCGCACAAATCTCAAGATGACTATCTTCTGTCCTGTTAAGAAAACTTGAATTATTTTGGTCAAAACTGACTCAGCCTATAAAAAAGTGTCTATATGCGGTTACGTAACTCATTACACTCTATACTCTTTCTAGTTAAACTTTATTTCTACCCCCATAAAACATTTGTTTAACCCTATCCTTTTGTTTTCAAGCTTAGGCATACAGTCCTTCTATAAATAGTTGATTCTCTTCTCACTCTTAATTATTCAACAACTTACATTATTTCTGACCAATGTTACTCTCAGTTCCCATCAAATAATCACTATAATAGTAAAAAAGAATATGCTTAAATCCCTGATTTAATTTATAATTTCCGTATTGTTTAGGTTGTAACCAGTTGAGAAGAATCCAAGAAATAATAAAAATTTTAAAAAAATGGGCTCAGGTTATGCTAGTACATTTGTCATTCTTCCTTTGGCGATATTCAACAATAGCGTCCCAGGAGTGCGAACGCTTCAATGACCTTGAACGCATGCTGGTCGTTGGCTAACGGTATTTGTCATGATCATAGCTGAAATATCAACGCTTTTCATTAAATAAGGAGCAAGTTTCACCCAGATAACGCTTTTAATTACTGTTTGAACAATGTGTTAATATCTCGTTAGGGTTAGGATAAGGGTTAAGTTAAGTATTGCGGTTAGGGTAAGGTTTACGGCAGGATAAGGATTGTCATTAGAGTTAGTGTTAAGTTTAGGGTTAGGGTCAGGATTAAGGTTAGGGTTGCGATTAGGGATAGATTTATAGTTAATGTCGTTTATTTTAATTTGTTTTATCCTGATTTCCCTTGTATGTAGTCGTCGATCCGCCTACTGAAACCATAGTAATGTAACCGAGGGCTTTGGAGAAGACTGTGCAACAAGAGAAGAGAGATGAACGATTCACAAAACAGCACATCTTCAGTCACTTCGGTGAATACATCTATAGAAACTAGTCCAACTTAACAATTGATGTTCTTCATCATAACTGGGACGTATTTTTAAGTCATGTCAGAGAAAGATAATCTGTTTAATATATTTTCAAGCATTTTCTTGTGAATATAAGTCATTTTGTGTGCAAAAATTCCTGATTTATATGATTGGTTGGCTGAAGGTCACTCGTGCGTTCGCATCCCTTGGGACGTTATTGTAGAACTTTGCCCTTCTTTTAATCAAATAATGACATTATTTCACCGACACTCTGAATAGAATTTTCTAATTTCTAAACGAATACCCACCCACTTTACTCCATCAAAAGTGACACGAATGGATACACACATTATGAAAGAAACCATAACTGCTGCATCAGAACACATACCTCATAAATGCAAAACGTGTCATACAAAGGAGATGATCAGTCCCCCCACCAACCCACTGCAACTTTCACGTGTCAATCAGTCAGAACCTTGCAGATACACAATGAGCAACCCACACTTTTAGATTAGCTCAAACCAGGATTTCTGTGCACATACACACTTGTTCCAACATAATACACACTGCTTGAAACTCGCTTTACTTAACAGTAGATTTGAAATTCTCTTTCACTCAAAGTCAAATTACAGAGAACAGATCTTTCATGTACCAGACAGACTAAAAGCCACATTCATACTGCAATGGCTGCTCATACTACCCAGTTAGATGTAGAGCTTCAAATATGTGAAACGAGACTCCAACCTGTCATCAGTCAGTTGGAAATAGAGTGCTTATGGCTAACTGGTTAATCAGTCACATCTCCACTTCAAAGTACACTACAATATGTTTCACCAGCTACCAACAATCATCACAAGTCACAAAAAACGGCTTCAAATACGGAAAGAGAGAGAGACAAAAAGTACTCACTTGACACAGGAACCTCAGTTCTCGTATCCACTCCTGGCTGAGATGAGTCTGGAGAAGAAGGTGGACTCATCCCAAAACAGCTCAATTCCAACCTACATGATTCACCAGAAGGCGCTCCGGAAACACACCCTTGGTTGCGAATCAAAGAATTCTCCTTCGCCAACTTCTCCGCTTCACATCTCGCCAGAAGTTCTTCACGCTGACACAACAATTCGTGTAACTACAACAATGTAAATACAACATATGTTTAGGAATAATCTAAACAGTCATCAGACAAACGATTCACTACACTACGCCAAAGTTTAATGTTGATAGTATGATAAAATCAATTTTACTGAACAAGAGTTAGAGCTGTTAGAAAGTGTCTCCTCCTACTCGTCCTCTTCCTCACACGAATACACTACTCAGTTCTCACTCCACGGAGTAGAACACACCACTCCGAAATTCTAAAGGAAGCCCATTTACAAAGCATCCACTTCAGCCGGCTTCAACTCAGTGACAAAACAGGAGGACAGTGTAGAAAATCCCACAACATTAAATTCGCTTCAATTAAATTACCATACAAAATCATACGAAGACACTACGAGGAAGTAAAACAACAGAATGTTATAAGTGGTAACAGAATTCAACCGGAAACAAGTGGCTATTGTGAGCACATTCAAACTGTCACTTGTTAATCTACTTCGAATAACAGAAAACCGAAGGAAGCCAACTACACTACACCCCTCACGATAGCCGCTTCAATTTCCACCAATTCTTCGCTGCATAAGTGCCATTATGTTTCTGTCAAAACCTAGCTGAAAACTTGTAATCCACCGACACTTTCCTTCACACTACAACCATATTCAATTCTCCACCCCTGCCCTGATGCATCACAGTATATGCTTTTCACAATGAGTCCTCAGACCAGTTAAATATCGACCACACCGAGTTTTTCACATGGCCCACACCTATACAACTGCTTTCACCGATCGCTATCCCCAATACCTCAGACAAATCTCACCAAGACAGCCATGACAATAAAACATTCTTCAAATGCCCTCCCTCAGCTTCCATGCATCAAATTCCATAGTTAAAAAACACTCTCACTCAAGCAATTTACACTCCATATCCACGATTACACTAACACAGATCTCCATTTCACTTGAGCTATTATGCACACAACTATCATAACACTCATTCATATGTAACGGACCCATTTCAAAAACACAATTTTATCGCATATGCCGCCTAATGTCTACCGTAGACATCAAGAAACACGTTTGCGATTTCCACGCATTCCTAAGAATCACTCAGTATCTAGAACAGAATTCAAAGCAAACCATTACTCCCACTCAAAAACCATGTCCCATACCTATGGAGTTAATTCAATATGACAAGACATAGTAAGTTACGCATGAAATGCTATCTAGTAATACCAATTATATCAAGTACTTGAGAAAGATACCTCATGGACGTCCTCCAAAAGAATAGATATCCACGAAGTTTCATCAAAAAACATATACCCCCAAGCCAACCTATCAAACCAAAAGCCTCCAAGGAAAACATAAAGAAAATTGCCCTACCATACATATAAAGGATATCTCGGAAATCCCAGCAAAACTCTTCAAACCTTTAGGAATTGACGTCGCACACAAACCAAAAAAATCACTTCACTCAATCCTATCTCAACCAAAAGACTCAACAGCGAAAGAAGATAAAAGCAACATCATCTAAAAAATAAATTGTAACAATGATATAAGAATAAAACTTGTGCACTGTGGTAGAGTATAATTCCATTATGGGCAAATTTTTGTTTTGATAAAGTCTCACAGTGTTATACAGTAATAGTGTGAAATATTCCCATATTATGAATTAAAAGTCAATCTGAACGAAGAATATTCTTTTCAATAATTTCTCTTCAGGTTCGCACAATTATAAAATATAATATTTGTGGTCGTTACAATAAAGATAGCCAGGTATGCGGCGGATACATTTTTAACGTAGAATAACAGATTAGTTATGGGGTGTCAAAATAAATAGTCATATTTGTGTGACAAACGTGCTAGGCTGAAATCGATTACAAGATATTGTAAAACGGGAGACAATAGTGGTGATTAATCATAATAGAATTGTAGAGTGTGGGGTAGGAAAATTGACAAATCAGTTCAAGGTTATAAAAGGTGTCAGGTGAGTGGCTAGTACAAAGTGGTCTGAGTTAAACAGGAGATAGTAAGACTGCAATGAGAGGTTCATAATGAGATAACGAATATCTTAAATAAAACAGGTAAAGGCATATATTAAGAAAACAGATATCACTAATAATAAGTCCGTATAAATGAGAAATTCGATAGTATTGAGGGAATGTTTGCATACAGGGCATAAATTATGACGAATAATAATAATAACTGTAATAATAATATTTATAATAATAAGCAAAGTAAAAAAAAGAAAAAAACCAAGAGGGTTAAGGGTAAGGAGCACTCTTGGTGAGAAGAAAAATCTTCAATCCAAGGTTGGCTACGGTAGGAACAGTGTCTGGAGGTGTTCTTTTTGGATACAAAGTTCCAGTTTAGTCGATCTCATTGCAACAGCTTCAGCTATGTGTAGGAGACGTAAGCAAAGTGTACGTGAAAACGACTTCGCGATCCGGTGTATAAATCTGAAAGCTGTGTTGACGTCGATGCTATGTTCAGTATCGATCAAGTATGACAGGATCGAGCTATTTATGCACCTGATTTCCCACATCTGCTGAACCAAGCTGGTAAATGTTGTCGAACCCGTAGACGAACCTGCCTAATCGTGCGCCCTATATAACTTGAACCACGGGAACAGCTGAAATGGTATATGCATGAAGAAGAGCTAAGGTTAGGTAAGACATCTTTGAGTTGCTGGGTGAACATTGGACGGCTAGTGAAGGATAGACACAGACGTGCAGAGTAGAAAGTTTTCTTGATCACCCTGGTTAAACGTTGGAATAGAATCTCCGCAGGAGTATCTCCCTTGATTTGGAGACGTAAAACCAAAAGCTTTTTCTCTACAGTTGCCAGTTCATGATTACGACTATTGTAACCTATGTTGGCTTTAATGAACTCCTCTGGATATCCATTCTCGCCTAGAATGTCTCGAATGACCTGCAGTTCTTTCTCTACGCAGTCTTCAGAACAAATAGACCTTGCTCTAAGTGCCAAACACCTGATTAGATTACGTTTGTATTTCATCGGTACAAAGCTAAGGAAATGTGTATACTGAGCTTTGGTCTCTAGTTTTCTGAATATGGTTCTTTCGACGGAACCATCCTCTCTTCTCGTTAGTAGGACGTCGAGGAAGTATAGAGAGTCGTTGTATTCTCCTTGGTAGGTGAAATGGACCGCTGAGTGAGCATTATTGAAGTTGTTCGAAATCAAAAACACCCCATAAGTAATCTGTTATTCTACGTTTAAAATGTATCCGCCGCATAACTGGCCTTTATTGTAACCACCACAAATATTATATTTTATAATTGTGCGAACCTGAAGAGAAATTATACAGTAATGCTTACTGATGACCACGTTTCGAGCACAATTTATTACTGCTCATAATCATATCAAGACACTACTCACACGACTTCCTAACTTCATTTATATAGTTCCATTATTTTTCACTTGATTGACAGTAGTACTTTCCATATTTCGGGTATGACTGATGAATCATTCCTATTGCATGTGTTTGGTGTAGACTCGATGAACAAGGATTCAGTAATCAACCTCTCTCTCTCCACCTATCTCTAGATTACTTTACCACCCAATTGTGTGGTTGTTTGTTATTGCGTGAAGTGCCATAGCTGAGCTTTTCTCTAAATTACTTATCTTTTCAGGGTCAACCATTCTTACCTTAGCTAAATTCTTATGTTCCGACAATCTGACTACCCCTGACCTACTAGTTTGACCTATGTAGTTGACCTCACAGTCATTGCATGGTATTTTGTAAATTATATTATTTTGTTTAATTGGATCCACCGGGTCTTTCAGCCTACAGAGCTTGTCTCTGAGTGAGTTTGTAGGTTTGAATGCCACCCTAATTCCTGCTTTATTAAGAATCCTACGTAGGGCCTCAGATGTCCCTTCCTTATATGGTATAACAGTGGATGAATTATATTCTCTCATTCATCATCTCATCCGTTAACGGTTAAGTCAGGCTTAGTGAAGTGTCTAACAAACCAAGCCATAACACTAAGTAGCACAACAAAAGAACTAAATGACGAAATAAAACAGATAGAAGAAGCGTTGATGTTGAATAACTATCCTATAAAATTCATCAGGAAGATCAGTAAAAGCCAAAAGCAAAATAAAAATAATGGTGAAACTATTAATGATAACACAAATAAGAAAGAATACAATTCATCCACTGTTATACCATATAAGGAAGGGACATCTGAGGCCCTACGTAGGATTCTTAATAAAGCAGGAATTAGGGTGGCATTCAAACCTACAAACTCACTCAGAGACAAGCCGTGTAGGCTGAAAGACCCGGTGGATCCAATTAAACAAAATAATATAATTTACAAAATACCATGCAATGACTGTGAGGTCAACTACATAGGTCAAACTAGTAGGTCAGGGGTAGTCAGATTGTCGGAACATAAGAATTTAGCTAAGGTAAGAATGGTTGACCCTGAAAAGATAAGTAATTTAGAGAAAAGCTCAGCTATGGCACTTCACGCAATAACAAACAACCACACAATAGGGTGGTAAAGTAATCTAGAGATAGGTGGAGAGAGAGAGGTTGATTACTGAATCCTTGTTCATCGAGTCTACACCAAACACATGCAATAGGAATGATTCATCAGTCATACCCGAAATATGGAAAGTACTACTGTCAATCAAGTGAAAAATAATGGAACTATATAAATGAAGTTAGGAAGTCGTGTGAGTAGTGTCTTGATATGATTATGAGCAGTAATAAATTGTGCTCGAAACGTGGTCATCAGTAAACATTACTGTATAACACTGTGAGACTTCATCAAAACAAAAATTTACCGATAATGGAATTAAATTGTAACAACTGCGAGAAACACTACATTGACCAAAGTGGACGTCTCTGCTCTTCGTCTTCGTAGCCACGAACATAAGCTAGCCGTCAAAAGACATGATATCCACTCTCTCATATCACTACATACAGACAACCACGGACATCAATTCCACTGGAACAACCAGCGTTCAAATATTAGACAGAGGAAACAACAAGAATGCTACAGAATTTTTAGAAGCTTGGCATTCCAGTGAATCACCAATCAATAGACATTGAGATAGACAAAATTTATCAACCGATAAGAAAGAAACCTCATACACAAAGATTCAAAGTTCAAGTCAAAGAAACAATCACCTCCAATACAAGTAACCTAGAAGGTGTGAAAACATACAAAAACAACCAATCACGTCGAAGGTCACCAACCAGGAGAGATGATCAATAAACTCGTGGAAAAATCTAAAAGCTCACTTCGACGAATTGAAGTATGTGCTGAGAATGTCGCCTAGTAGGGCGATGAAAGTTTCGCAAACTAACTATCCAGCTCAGAGAACACAACCACATTAAAAAGACAAAGAAAGTATCATGCATTCCGACTTGGTCAACTGCACCAGCACCCGCCTAACTACCTACATAGCTGATGTGACACTGCTTGAAAATATTTAATAGTATTACAAGTTGTCAGAGAATTTGTCGTCACAGAAGGATATTCCCTTGAAGTACACTCTGAAACTACCAACTCAATCATAGATACATTGACACTTGGCTATTATTCGTGTCTACAACGACTAGTTAAGGTGATACTAGCTAATCGAGCTCCATCATGACTAACTGACACTAACTAATTAATCATCATGAAAAATGAAGTCTTCTCTCCTGTTAAAGTTTGCCAAAAGTAGACTGTAGACACTGTGCTCAATCTGCAATAACAGTAGACACTCTCTTTCAAATAAGTACTTTCCCCCACCTCCCACTTATTGTCACACCCTGCTGACGATTTAAAACAATCCATCGACGTAAAAGCGTAGATGCAAGCGAACATAAACCTGAACCAATAAGTGACAAATACAATTCCGCCACTAGACAATTCAAATTATTAAACAAATACATTTCAATTTTGAAATTAATTACGTATCATCAAAATGAGAAATATAGTATCAAGGCAAAAACCGTTTATGCCTACGACAAAAAAAACACACTTCAAACTGTGCTTACCTCATTATCAGCAAGTTGGGCAGCGACCCTCATTTGCGAAAGTTGACGTTCAAGTTCCTGTTGATAAGATGCTTGTAGACGAAAACTTTCAAATTCTTTTTGCTTAATAAACATAAAATACTTTATACAATTTATCGGTCAATATCTTTTGGAAAACAAACAGTTATACTCAACTCAGCTGAACTCAAAACCAGACAGTTTTGCTGGCCGATATAACAAGTTGCTCTGTTAATAATGGCAATAATAATTACAACAAAAACAACAACAACAACCACAACAATAAGTGAATGTATTTGCGAATCCTCCAGTAATACGTACACCATACAGATGTTCAAGGCAAAGAGTTAATAGACGTAAACGTTTTGGTGTACATCATACTTTGTAAGACACCAGCTTTACGAATACCTAGTGCTTCTAATTTCTTTCATTCACGCGTCAATCTCTACACACAAAAATAGTTCACCATGAGCGAAATAAGAATAGTGATCATAATTTTCTGCAGGAAAGTTAGTTATTCTGACTTATTATTACTACTACTATAACTACTTGATATAGTGAGATCATTTTTCACTCAGTTGTTCTCTTAGTGCATTCGCCAACATTTCACGATAACTCGCACACACCAGAATACAGACAAAAAATGAAATTCTACAGCTCCGTAAACACGGTCATATTATTAACAAAGGGAATAATGCACATGGTGGTAGCTGTTATTACCAGTACTGATCGAAACTACTTAAACAATTCTGCAAGTGATCATTTAAACTCGATCAGAAAACTCAGCACACAACACAACAGTACAACAAAGTCTTATAACTACAAAATTTATAACCAGAACTAAGTATACTGCACCAAGTTCTAAATGTCAGTCATTCTCTTAGCTTCACTTATGTCATACAACAATCTGTCTGCATTTAAAACATGCAAAAAAACAGTACTGTAAAACCAAACCAAATTCACTGAATTAAGTTGGACGGCCTTTGAAGCTATATGGGCACTGGGTTCGAGTCTCGGTGTGAACATCATCACTCACTGGGGACACAGCAGGCACATCCAGATGACGAGTTCCAAATAGGACGAAATGCACATTTAAGTGGATTCCACTGCTAGTCACCATCCATCAATTACATTCTAAATACATGGCTAGACATTGTCGAGGCCTCTGCACAAGAACCCGACATGTCAACCTAAGACCGAGCACTTCGGTCCAATCAACCGGCGGGAAAATCTAAATTTCAATTAAATAACTTGGAAAAATACTTTCAAAGATGCCATTCCGTCAAACTTCCTCTTCTCCTCTGTCTTTCTCAAGTATGGAATTTAATACATAAGCAATCCGATAATTAATACATCACAATAATTGATGCATACATGCAAATGTCACACCACTAGGCACCACCATTACGCTGTTTACAAATAACTGTACAACATCACACAATACCTCCAATATATAGTTTATGAAATAACCATTGTGAAACTGCATCACATACCTTGGCTTTCAGACGACTGTTTTCCTCCAAAAGTTTCTCATTTTCTTTACTCACATGATCCATAGATTTCAATTTCTCTCTAGCATCCTTCAAACTATCCTGTAAACTGAATCACAAAACAAATTATCTCATAAACTCCTTGTTCGACTACAAATTTCCACTACGACAGCATACCAGAATGAAAATCAAATGCTTCTAGACATTCTTCTTAATTTTAAAAACCTAATACCAAAGCTTACAAAACCACAGGGGATTTCTGCTACTTCATGCCAACTGACTGAGTGAGAACACTGATTCCGGAAAGCCCCAAACATCATCGGGAGCCAAAGCTGTTCAAACGACAACTCACGAAGTTTTCGCAACCACCACCGACAATGGTGGACGACAATAGCAGAAGAAATGCAAAAGTCAAACCACAAGTGAGACAGCCTGCGAGGAAAGTCACACATTAATTAGATCTCAGGGTAGACAACTGAAACGTTGAGGGGAACACCTTCAGGAGAAATGTAACTAGATCACAGCAACGCTCAATTTTTCCACCATCCAGCACCTACCTAGATGCTGTGTAGATATCAGCCCTACACATGTAACTCATATCACAAAGACTGTCTCTAATCTGAAACAAGGGAAAGAAGCACCATTCCCAGTGGGACCACCCCATTAGTATTTAACTACGGTGACAAACTGTTCTCTCGGTAAGCTAAGGTATTAGGCAATGTCTAGGAGTCACACATACTTCCGTCAGACTGGTTGACCCTGTTTGTTAGAAAAGAGAAAAGTCTTACTGTGACAATCAATCAAAAGTGGAGTGGCCTCACTAATATGGGGTCTAAAGTTCAAGGTTCAAAACTCAAGCCGAGATTAAATGGTGCTCTGAAGAGAAAGAGTAACACGGGGAAACCAGACAGGCTTTAGGCAAAGAACATAATGACTCCAACATATCTTCATCCTTCAACAGATTCTTGAACAGACATACTTACCTGCATCCAAAAATTGCCACATCTCGCAACCTCAAGGTGGCATCCGACATTAACTGTTAAGGCAGTGTAGAGAAATTATATCGCACTAACTAACGCACTCCACTCGTACTTATCAAGGCGTGTAACAGCTTACAGAGAGTTGTCATCTCAAGCGACGTCCATCACGCATACCTCTTCTCCCCACTTCTCTTTAGGTTCCACCGTACATGTATTGATGCAGTCCACCCTATTTCACTTCAGCGACTTACGGATTGACTTGGCATCAACGAACAGTCCTGTCAACTTAGACTATGCAGATGATATAGTCCTCCTACATGGAGATACTGATAAAATCAACAGTCTCCTCAATACCTTGACCAGTGGTCTTCGAATGTTCCACATGTGGTTTGCAGGTGCAGGAATGGACTGAACGAACTCTGAGCTTAAAGACACCCGGGGAATCGAGTGATAGAGCGTGGTGAACACTTCACTTATTCGGAAAGTTGCATCAGTCACAAGGCACTAGTGATTGGCGACGGAATCTCGTCACACATACAAAAGGCTCCCGTGGGATTTGCCAACATACGTTGTCTCTCGTGTAGACATGATATTTGGCTACTGATCAAAGCACGTGTGTACTGCCCAGCAGCAGTTCGCTCCGTCCTCCTTTACCGTTGTAACGCATAGCCACTGAAAGTGGAAGACATAAAATTCCTGCCTGTCTTCAATCATAACTGTCTGCGTCTTATCCCCATGTTAAATCGCATTATATAGTGAGCGATATTCACGTTAAGCGAACTGTTAGGTAAGGAGGGAGAGTCGAACGGTCAGGCTATGAAGGTGAACCAATCGATATGACCAGCACACGTGTTGCACATTCCTAGTTTTCACCTTCCTCAACGAGCAATGTTAACCAACATATGATTCAGTTGGGAAAGAGTTTGAAGTGGTCAAACAAAAGCTTCACATCATTCCATGCTATCTTTTACAGGTAGTTCCGGCTACGTCGGGAGGGAGATGTAGGCCGTTTGAATGGTGTCGTCAGGATGCTATGAACCAATGACTCGAGACAATAGGTGATACGGCTCAAAATCTTTCTCAATAAAGCAGATGCATGCACATCCTGTCATCACACATATCCACCGTACTGTCATATTTTCCATGTTACTGTCTGTCTGGCTGGATTCAACATAGAACTTGGCACCGAAGTGCAGCAGTTCGAGTTGCCACGTTCCAAATAGCACACAGAGGTAGACAAGAAGATGAGTGGAGAGAATTAATAGTTTGACAAATATAGGAGTGAAACAGAATGGGTAATGGTAGAAAGGAATATGAAAGATTACAGAGACTGAATACATCTGCGCTGGCCATTGACAACGATTTTGAGCCATGTCACCTATTGTCTCCAGCCATTGATTCCTAGAGTCCCGAGGGCCCCAACCCGGGAGTCTGCATCTCCCTACCTGACTCAGTTTAACTGTCAAGGATTTCATGGATTGATGCCATGTTTTTGTTTGGCCACCACTGGCTCTTTTCCAACCTGAACCTATATCAGCTAACAATGCCCGTCGGGGGGGGGTGTGGCCACCGCCCTTTTTTATTTAACCTCGTATTTTCCATGTTACTAATCTTTCTCTATAACATTCCTAGTGAGTAAACCCTTTTCCTCTATCTCTGTTGTCTACTTCGGTGTGCTACATCCAATGTGACAACTTCAGCTGCTGCACTTCTCTACTAACTTCTATGTTCAGACTCAGTCTCAGTCAGAAATTTTCAAATCCTACTGGAAGTCTATATTTAAATGACGCTAAGCATGATCGCGGTTTTTAACATAATTGATATGTATTCACATATATATATATTATATATATATATATATATATATATATATATATATATATGGTGGTCTCTCTTTCTGTTGCTCTCTTAGTCTGTGACCATTTCACTTTGATGAACCTGTCTCCTTTAACGATGTATATTCCCCTTATATTATATATAATGTGTGTTTGTTTGACATGTCTGTTATATTTGCTAGGTATATATGGATCGATATTCCATTATAATTAGCCAATCATGTTAAGACTCTATTGATTTGTTCATTTTGGATGTTCGCTCACACACTTGTGTTTACACACTTGTTCGGACATTCATATACATTTTTGCTCTCACACTCTTGTGTGACTTGGATTCTCCTTGTGTTTTGGAAAATAGAAGTATCATCGCAAACCTAGTGGTCTTCTGATTTCCGTCTTTCTTGCGTCAGGACTATTAAATTCTCGACCAGTACATAGCAATAATTTGGCGACGAGTACATAACAATAATACAACTGCATATGTATCCATAAATTACAACTTACTCATCAACAAGATTCGATCGCTTTTCATGATGTGAACGCATTTCAATCTCACACGTCAACTCGTCACGTAATTCCAGTAACTCTGATTCACGTCGCTTCAGACGCATCTCAACCTCTTTTCTCTTCATTTCCGAAGTCTTTAGCTCTGAATTTAGACGATTCAATTCGCACATATTTTCTTCATACAAATGCTGGATCTCCGAGAGTTTTGAAGATAAACATCGTATTTCATCCAATTTAGACAGAAATTGACTCTAGACAAAAGGTATACAAGTGTAAATCAATAGTAACTGTCACACTAACCTCCTCATCAATTTAGATGTATTTATTTATATCCTTATTTTACTTTTCATGTTTAGACTGAAGAGAACGAAAATTGATTACTAATTGATATAAGCACTTCAATTATCTACTACAATTCGAGAAATGATAACCCTTCAAAAGTTTATTTATCTATTTACGCGATTGTGCACATGGAAACCCAACGCTAATAAGCATAACAAGTCAGCTAGAAAGTATCTCTAGTCTCACGGAAATACAACCTTCCATTTTATTTTCATCATTTTGCACCAGTTCATAGTCGAGAGAAGACATGGAAGCGATTTGTCAAATAGTGTACAATTCTCTGTTGGCCTTCACAAAGAGCTATAAATCTCAAGCTATGTGATTTCAAATTACTCCAGGTGGTAAATTGAAAACACAATTGCTTTATTCTGCTTTCTTTTCTCATACGATTAAATTAGGTGTTGGCAGGATAGGCAGTTCATCGAGGAAATGACTCAAATGAACATTATAATTGACAAACTCCATTGTGATTTCCTCTAAAACATAGTTAAAACTCATCGGTTTTCAATATTAGTACACATAACAAAATGCATGACCTGTACAATCAGTTGATAAGTAGTCAAAATACACTACTGTATACCAGCTTCACATTTTCTACACAATGCACTAATATCTTCAACTCGTTGAATACACTTTATGTCATACGCTGAAACCACTTTACAATAATTCCTTAACACGTCCTCTGCCTTCATCGTAGACGTTAAACACCTGAACAAAACGTACTGTAACATTTGCACTACAAACACACTGGACAACATTCGCCTACCTTAGGGACGACCTGTGGTGATTCTAAAATTGACTTCAGACAATACAGTGGTGATTCGATTACTGATTCAAAGTCAGCCTTTGTCACATAACTTTTCACTTTATGCACGTCACAACTAGAATGAAAACACTTTCCTGGAGACAAATAAATTGAATGACCAGTTAATTTGTAAGGGCCTTCATTCTCGGTATAAAAATCATCAAATGATACTTTGGAATTGACCATTGTTTTCTCCTTGTGTCCAAACGGTAACGATGGGACTCTTGAGAAGGCAGGGCAAGTCAGAGGAGCTAACAAAAGTTTATTAACAAACGAAACTTACCCTTAAGAGACTTGATTTGACGGATTGGTGTAACTGCCTGATTCTCCGAGCCAAAAGACAGAGTCTCGAAAGAAGACACTGATATGGGGCAATCTTCAATCAGAGGTTGAGTCATTTCAACAATGTAATAATGCATTGTGCTAGGAAGCTGGAAGGCTGCGTTCATAAATAATTTGGGTTTCAAACGCAGTCCCATAGTTAGGACTAACAATAAAAGCTACATAATAGTGACATATTCATAAGACTTACACAGTAATGCGTGTACATCGGTGGACGATTTTCTTCACTGCTCTCCGGAATAACCGTGTTTACGTCAATGGAATAGAACTCTGAAACACTTACTACTAATCCAAAAAGAAACATACCTGACAAAATGCTGTACACCGTCTGAGGTATGCTTTCGATCTCCTCTCTACGGCAGAAATCGGAATCCTTCCTACGTGTGTGATACAAAATGTAAAGAGTAGTTGACTTTATCAGCTGTATCATATGCATGCATACACTAAAGTCAGAGAACAACATTCCAATCACGATATCAGTTAGAAATCTGCTTTAAAGTCAATATTCCGGACTCTCAAGTTTGCATATAAATACTGCATACTACACAATATTAAACGACAACTTCGGTAACAACTACATAACTTTCATAGCAAACAGTTAGCATGTTTTGGGATGAATTAGAGCTGTAGGTGACGTGCACAATTTCTAATCCAATCCCTATCTCATTTCTATTTGAAAACACTTCCGAAACAAACATGGACGATTAACATCCAACATACCGAATAATTATATATTTATTGTTTCATGTATGAATATAACTTATGGCTAGATTGTAATGCGAACAAGAAACAAAAATCATGACGAACTCCCACCGCCAAATGGATGCAAGTCTTGCTATCGTATGTATTACATACAGGTATTCATTATCAGACATGAATTTACAAATTCTCTAGACAGATGATGGTTTTCGAATTTTAAAGAGACTATATTCTGGCAGTTTCGCTTTCTAAGCATTCTAAGCTGTCAGCATGAAGTCATACGTGTACACAATTCACCCACCAATGCCTCTGTGAACAGTTGAAGAAAGTGGTTCTCTGAGCACGTAGAATTGAAGTCAAAATGACTGGATCAAATTTTTCCACCCCTTATTCATAGAAATTGTTACTAGTAAAATCAATAAAGATAGTAAGTAACAGAGGAAAAGTGCACCTCAAATGAAGTCTTGAGTCACAATCAGTGTGATAGACTAAGTGCAGTAAGAAAACATGCCTAAGTTGATTAGCGTAGTCGCATCAGCATATCAAACCAACTTCTCCTAACTTATCACCCAGCACGAGTCATGCTTTCAATGCTATCCTTAACCGCTGATGTCAGTCGCTTTACTCAGTGTTTAACTTCTAGACAAAAGCTGGCGAAATAACAAAGTCACCACATTACCTACTAGGAGCTAGCTCACCGTCTGTCTGTCTGTTTTCGACATAGAACTTTGCACCGATGTGCAGCAGGTCAAGATCAGCCTAACGAACATAGTCTCTAAAATCCTAGGCTCAGTAATCATGCATAGACTAAGCAGAACTCGGGAGGAACAGACAAGGGAAAATCAAGCAGGCTTTAGACCAGGTAGAGGGTGCATAGATCATATCTTCACTCTTCGACAGATTCTAGAACATAGACACACTTTTCGGCGTCCAACAATTGTCATATTTCTTGACTTGAAGGCGGCCTTCGACTCCGTGGACCGAAAAGTACTATGGCAATGTCTGACTGTGAAGGGAGTGCCAAGAAAGTACATTGCACTAATCAAGGCACTCTATTCAAACTCACGTAGTCGTGTAAGGGCTTATGGGGAATTGTCATCTGAATTAGTAACAACCAGTGGTGTCCGACAGGGATGTCCACTTTCCCCATTTCTGTTTAACTTCATCATAGATATGCTAATGGAAGTATCCTTAACAGAACGTAGTGACTTAGGAATCGACTTGTTACCAGGGAATAATCTAATGGACTTAGAATATGCAGATGACATAGTCCTGTTAGGGGAGGATGCTGACAAAATGCAGAGTCTTCTGAACACCTTGAGCAGCAATCTTCGTATGTTTGGCATGCGATTCGCCCCTGCAAAATGTAAGATGCTGCTACAGGACTGGACGACGTCAACCCCTAACTTAGTGATAGGGAGTGAAGTGATAGAACATGTTGACCACTTCACCTACTTGGGAAGTTGTATTAGCACCAACGGACTGATTGGCGATGAAATCTCAGCACGGATCCGAAAAGCTCGAGCTGCTTTCGCTGACTTACACCATCTCTGGCGTAGGCGTGACATCCGGTTATCAACCAAGGGACGTGTGTACTGCTCATCAGTTCGCTCCGTCCTTCTCTATGGCTCTGAAACATGGCCAATACGCGTTGAAGACATGAAAAGGTTGACTGCTTTCGATCATAGATGTCTGCGATCTCTGTCTCACGTTAGGTGGTTTCACAAGATAAGTAATGTTGACGTTAGGCGTAGAGTGTTGGGCAAAGAGGGAAAATCAATCGACGAGGTTATAAAGTTACATAGACTAAGATGGCTAGGTCACGTGGTGCGCATGCCTAACCACCGCCTCCCCCGACGGGCATTGTTAGCTGATATAGGTTCAGGTTGGAAAAGAGCCAGTGGTGGCCAAACAAAAACATGGCATCAATCCATGAAATCCTTGACAGTTAAACTGAGTCAGGTAGGGAGATGCAGACTCCCGGGTTGGGGCCCTCGGGACTCTAGGAATCAATGGCTGGAGACAATAGGTGACATGGCTCAAAATCGTTGTCAATGGCGCAGATGTATTCAATCTCTGTAATCTTTCATATTCCTTTCTACCATTACCCATTCTGTTTCACTCTTATATTTGTCAAACTCTATTAATTCTCTTCACTCATCTTCTTGTCTACCTCTGTGTGCTATTTGGAACGTGGCAACTCGAACTGCTGCACTTCGGTGCCAAGTTCTATGTTGAATCCAGACAGACAGACAGGTCAAGTCAACACACTCCATTTAGCACACAAAGCAAGAGAAGAAATGCATAACAGGGACAGTAAACTGAGGTGTGAGACAAAGGAATAGTAATAACGAAGAACGATATAGTTTCATTGGAAATCATAAGTCACAAAGAGTGGATGCATTCGCGCCATTGAGAAAGATTTTGAGCCATGTCACCAATTGTTTCCAGCCATTGGTCTTTACCGGCCCGAGGACGCCAACCAGGAAGTCTACACCTTCCTACGTGGCTTAGACTAACTGTTACAGATTTCACTGACTGGTGAAGCCATGTTTTGGTTTGACCGCTGCTAGCTCTTTTCCAGCCTGATCCAACATATGTCAGTCAACTAACATTGACCGTCGAGGAAGGCGATGGCTAGGCATATGTAACACATGTCCTAGCCATCTCAATCGACGTAGCTTCACAGCCTCGTCGATTGAATTCCTCTCATTACCTAGCACTCGACGCCTCACCTCAATATTGCTCACCCGAATATATCACTCTATACTGGACATGGAACGCAGGCACCCATGATCAAAGACAGCTAATCTTTTCATGTCTTCCACTCTCAATGGCCAGGTCTCACAGCCATAAAGGAGGACAGAGAGGACTGATGAGCAGTACATCCGCACTTTGGTCGATACCCGGATATCATGTCTACGCCAGAGACGACGTAAACTGGCATATGCTAAACTAGCCCTCTGTATCCGTACTGAGATTTCGTCAGATATCAACCCGTTGGTACTGGCTAATGGTACTTCTCAAATAAGTGAAGCGGTCAACATGAACTACTACCTCAATTCCTACTATTAAACTAGGAGTCAGTGTAGTTCAGTCCTGTAACATCATCTTACATTTGGTATAATCGAATCGCATGCCAAGCATTCGTAGATTGCAGCTCAAGGTGTTTAGAAGACTCTACATTTGTCAGCGTCTCCACCCGGGAGGGAGATATCCCTGTGGCAGCAAGGCATCCCTAAGTCTCTGAGTGAGTTACGGTTAAATTCATTAGTACATCTATGATGAAATTGAATAGAACTGGGGATAATGGGCATCCCTGACGGACACCACTAGTCATCACCAGCCACAGCAGCATTCGGGCACGACTCAAAGCAAAAAGATGAATTTAGCGAAAACCTCAAGCCTACATGAAATGCATATAAAATCGACAAAAACATATTGGTAAAAAGCTGAATACTACTGCTTACGCTAAATCAATCAGTTCCAATAGGGTTCGCCACTCCCCAATATCTAAGTTTTCGTTTCCCGGGATGATGAATTTGACCCATTGTTGTAGACACTTCACTTTGTTTTCACTTACTTCCATAGTTTTAGCTCTTACGTTTGGGCTAGCAAATAATCAGGAAGTTTGTGGGGACCAATGTTTGTCCCAGATCAAATTCTGTTGCGCAACAGAGAAAATCAGTCGTTAAGGAGATGTACGATGACAAACCACTTGAGTAGTGAGTGAACCGTCTTGATGAAATACGTTGGCTTAGTGTAGACGACCGAAGTCAACAGACTAGAACAAAGAAAAGGTAAGGGTCTGACAAGGTTCTCCGGAGTATCAAAGCGCCCCAACAGAGTTTGTGCGCCCTCTCTCGATAAGTTAAAACAATTCGATGTTTAGGTGCAAAGTATAGGAATTCTTCACATTAGTTAGCATACATATCTAATTTAACACAAGAACAGAAAGCCAATATAGCCGTCAGCAAAACAGTCGGTGGAGTTCCAGCTTTTAGCTTCAAGTTAATAATAGGGAACTCAGGAGTCTTAAATTTCTATACACTGCCATTATCCCTTATGATATGTTTGCCTTCCAGATTAGCGTAATATCTCAAACAGGTTTCTTTCACCGGTATTTCTCGATCGGAAAACAGGTATTCTACGAAGTAGCAGTGACACCAGCTACATTGTGTGCTGGAATTCACTGTTTTAGTGACACGCAACAGGTGAAACTATTATATCGACAACCGTACCATTCAACCCACTGTCTTGTTCTCTTCGGTGGTGTCTGATAGGTGATTTGACAACGCTGATCCACACTTTGCAATATCGAATTGTTTTTCTCGCTTTATATCAATTATGATTCGTGTCGTGTATTTTTTGACAAGATTATCCTCTTCGGAGCATGATATACACACGCTTCAATCTTCATCGCGCCACGTATCCGATATCTAATATCGTTTTTACGAGCTAGTATAAACCAATTTGATTTCTTTGTGCTCGCTTCTTGATTGTAAGGTATAGGTTCCTGATCTTCGGTAAACTTCTGCGTATCTCGTCCAGCCACTCGACTGTCGTAGCTTTGGTTGAATCCAAAAGGAGTAGTGCTGGGATTACTTATATGTGGTTTGTAGTATGAGGTGTGTTAAGACTGTTACTACTGTGAATGAAGTTGATCCTTTCGATAGTTAGTCCTCCGGTATCGTAGACAAGAGGAAAGAGATAATAATAGATATAACTAGTGAAGTACACTGTACCAACTCTGTGAACATGTCTGTGTGTTCCACTGTATATTCAGTTCTGATGATCTCAGAGAGTCTCGTTCGAGCCACTTCACTGAATGATGTTAGTGGTTCCGAGTGAATAATTTATTGCACTTTTATATATAATTAAGTCTTTTGGAGTGCGTTATGGCGAATAGACTTGCGTATTCGTTGAAGATGTATTCGAACCGTTCAGATATCTCACAAATCTGAGTCCAGAAGATAACTAACCTCATAGGTTTCTTTATTAGGTTGTGATGGACTGAGTCCTAGTACCTCTTCACTTCTTGGTAACCTAAATCAAAAGTCCTGATTTCATAAGTGGTGAAGTTTTCTTTTGGCTAACGCCACACGGATGGTACTTTGATAATGCTTCTGTACAATCTTGAAATAAATGGGGCATGCTATCTACTTGGATGGCGAAAACGCCTTAGTACAATCGCTATCGTATCGTTCACATATCCATATCGGCCAAATATGCTCTCAGACATTAATTTGGTTTCGTTCTGTACTTCTGGCGACTATGCTTATTAGACTGAATGATACGACCAATGTATCTTCTCTCATTTTGAAACAGCAATGCAGACACGTAACTGCCACATGCAGAAATCAGTTCACACAGGTATACCATCACAAAATAACGTTCACTTGTCCCGGAAGCCACACACGTATTGCCTGCGTAATTCAACCGGTATACGACATGGCACGAGGTTGTACTGAAACAATCACGAGTTATGACCATGAACATATACTGGTGGTATTGATGACAACCTCAACAATGCCACTGATTAACTATTGCAGTAAACTTTCGTGATTGATTCAACTACTTCATACAATAATTCGGATCATGGACGGGTTGCACCAAAACCAATTTTTACAACATCTTGTCAGTTTAACAGTAGTATAGCAATCTATTCATTCCATCACATGAATATTCAGGCTTACAGTCGAGGAAATCTCCTGCACAATGGTCGGTCTGCCGCACCAGCCCCGACACTTACGGTAGTGACAAGGATGGATCAATCGCATGAGTTGGGAGTTATCCTCCCCTTGTTTTCGGCCCATGCTCCGGCAACTGACCTGTTGATGTCGCAACCCGAAAATACTCAGTACACTCCCTGTCCATCATCTCATAGTGCAGTGCTCTCACCTGATGTCAACAGGACTCTTCTGTCAACTGGGTGAAGTCAAATCACGGACTAGATACACTTAGTCGTCTCTGATATCATGTTTCCACTTAAAATTCAACAGCAACCTCAAAGTCTAACTCAGTAGGTTAGCCAGGCTAATTTGTTGTGAAATAATTGCCACTACTCATTACCCAGAATAACCAATGGTGTGCATCTTGCTCTCACTCTTCCTGCATTTCGTCCTCAGCATCACCGGGTAGTCACTTTATAATACCAATTTATATTTCTAATAGACAGGTATTTTCGCGTGAGATTCATGCCATTTCTACAGGCACGATCAGATATGTTATAAATTATAATAGTGAAGAACCATAAATTAGGACTTCCAGAAGTCCTAATGGCAATTTTGAAGTACAAATAGTAGGAACTGGTTCGTATAAATGTTAAATTGTAAGCCCTTCATTCAAGTTGCCGTCAAGGTTGAGCGCCAACCCACATTTCGTGTTGTTGCCACCTGATAGTCACGGTCAGCCAATTTGCAGCCTGTATTTCGGTATGTGTTATGCCCCCATGTGATTAAACGCTATTTTAGGAAGGGAAGAATATCCCAGAAGGCTGCAAAATTGTATAAAATACAATTATGGATGATACATAATTGAAAGCACATTTGACAAGATAAATCAAACAAGGGGCTATAGAGTCCTTGGGATGACAACATACATCCGCAATGTGTAGTGCTAACGACATTGGTCTACCATGAAAAACTAAGACATTTTCGCTGAAAATGTAGCCTTCTTCAGACATTGGTGTTGTCGTCGTGTTTCATTCCATCAGAGAAACCAGACTTTAAGAGAGCAAGGGATGCGGACAAAAGAGTAAGTTTTAGCTCTATTGAATGCCTGGGTAGTTAAGATTAAATCGAGTATGACAGTACTTATTTAAAAAGATTATCGCGAAATGTATAAGTGATATTTCAGTGAGAATTGGCTTTGAAAATCCGGAAGATTAGAATCTGGAGGATACGATGGCCTGTAGGATGTCTCACGAATTTCTGTAGGGCCTGTGGGCAAGCATCTTGATAGGAAGCCGAGCAGGCTTGTAGATGTTAGGAGCGAACGCACATTTTATATCTGTAATTTAGATCTGTACAGTCATTGTCTTTTGATGTTATGTTGAGGATATGAGCTCTTGGTTAATTCTCGATCTGTCAAAAAAATGCATGTTTCTGTCCTACAGATCGGAGCGATTCACATTTGTGACCACTACCATACCTGATGATAAGTATGCGTCGCCCTCCCTCCATTTTTGATGGTATGATCTGAGAATTTTTCGCAGTAAATGAAATTGTGGTATTGCATTGTTTTGAACCCTTCCCAGTCATGCAGTATGCTGCACAATAATAGCTTCCAAGATAAGTTGTTCCCTGATATAAGAATAGAACTGGTGCACTGCAGTAGAGTATAATTCCACTATGGATAAAATTTATTATGATAAAGTCTCACAGTGATACTGATAATGATTCGAGCACAATTTATTTCTCATAGTCACATCAACGTATCCACACAACTTTCTGGCCTGGTATATATAAACCCATCTGTCAGTATAATTGGGGATTGAACGATCAATTCATGGCTTTAAATTTTTATTTATTTATTTACTTTCTCGGGAGACATCAATAGTGCAGTCATCGTTTCATCATCCTCTGTTAGCTGGAAGAGAGAGAAAGACTATCAGAAGCATTATTGTGACTTATTGTTATGACATTTATTCCCAAACTTTGTGTACCATAACGTAATGGTTGGCTCCGCATTGGGGCAAAAGTAAAAGAACTTAAGTCACCAATCTGCGCTTTCGTTTTCTTTGTTGGTTATTGCGCATACTTCCTGAAAGACTTCAAAGGACAGAATGAGGTCCAGTGTCCATCAAGACTCAAAAACCTTTAATGCCCAGCTCTTGCTACGCCGGGCCTTACGCTGTCCCTAGAAGCCTTTCAGAAACGCTAAGTACTAACGGACGCGAAAACCAGAACACCGATTGGCGACTCGAGAATTCGTTATACTAACACCAACATATAACACAAGCATTACTGGTATTACAGACTAAGGTCTAAGAACAAATATTACAGCAATATATCACGATATTAATTCTAACAGTTGCTTCTAGCTTCTTTATGAACAGCGATCGATGAGACGGGGTGAGGATATACGTTGGGACGTGTTATATTTTCCGCGACTCTGGTTTTCCCGTCTTTCATTGGCTAGAACAGTGGCGGTCAATTGGATTTTGAATTGTCCTTGGGTGGGTGCTGTCGGGTGCTGTTTTGGCGTGGTTATGTTTGCGTCGTTTGCTAGCATATGTGATGACCATAAACGTGACTTTGACCATTGTAACGCTTTGCTTTTCTTTGTTTGTGCATGTACTAGGCTTTGTTTGTCGTACAATTCGTTGTTTGGTCTATCGGTTGCTTGTGATGTCAACGAACCGGTGGGTTCTTGTGTTTTTTATTATTTATTTTTATTATTTTTTTATTTTTGATTACAGCTTGATTACACACTGTATTTTCGGTACTAGCATGGAATTTTCAGCATGGATATCGGTAGCCCAAATTTTGCAGGCCGACTATAGATATCGGATGTGCGTCGGCTGGGGATCGAACCTCGGACCATGTGCATGGTTGGCGAGAGTCCTAACCACTGTAATTTAGGTTA